AGGCGATAGTGGTAGCGGTTTCTCGCATAACTTCTCTTTTTCCTCAGCTTGTGGAGCGAGGAACTTAGTGGCTACGGTATCTTCTCTTCCATCGGGAAATTTTACATGCGCATACTGAGGATTTGCTTCGATTAGCTCTACTTCATCGACAGATGGGTCATACTTAGATTGTTTTACTTGACGCTTCAACAGTACCAGTCCAGGTTTGGATAGCCACGTTGGTATGGAAGTTCCACTCGTCGATCTTCGTTGGTGGATAAAGAGGCGTTCATGCGGTGTTACATTAGTAGCGGTGCACAACAGAGATCTGATGGAATGAAGAGCATCATGCAAAACTTCTTGCCAGCAGCTGGTCGGTAGTCCTCGCGTCTTCATCGCGAGGGAAATAGTCTTCCATAGAGTGCCGTTCAAACGTTCTACTTGGCCGTTCCCTTCTGGGTTATATGGTGTGGTTCGGCTTGACGAGATTCCTTTCTGGAGAGAAAGTCTTTAACTTTTGCACTCATAAAGCCAGAACCTCTATCCGAATGTATGTAAGCAGGCATACCAAAATCGAAAACAATTCGCAGAGACAATTTATAATTGACTCCGCGCTAACGTCTTTACAAGCGAAAGCAAAAGGAAATCTTGAATATTCATCTATTATAGTAAGAAGAAACTTATTATGATTAGTCGTCGGCAATGGTCCTTTGAAGTCCAAACTAAGTCTCTCGAAGGGTTGAGTCGCTTTTACTAAATGGAAATTTTCTGTTTTGTAATATTGAGGCTTACTTTCCCTGCATATCTTGCAGGACTGTGTCATGAGCTTAATTTCATCCATAGAGAAAGGGAGATTACGGTTTTACAAAATGTGCCATCCGCGTTATTCCTGGGTGACACAAGGATTCATGAAGCTCTATCAGCTTATCGGAGGTCATGCTCATTGCTCTTATCCTAGAAAATGTATCCGCTGGTACATTCTCTTCTCCTGCTCTGTAGATTATATCAAAATCATAAGTGGATAGTTCCATCCTCCATCTCATTATCTTATCGTTCTTAATTTTGCTCTTTTGCTTGGTATCAAACATGTAAGCTACTGACTTCTGATCAGTAATTAACATAAAATGCTTACCCGTAAGGTAGTGTCTCCACTTCCTCACGGCTTCTACGATAGCCGCTGCTTCTTTCTCCACTGAAGCGTGCTTAAGTTCTGATCCGCTTAACATCCTCGAAAAGAACGCAACTGGGCGACCGTTTTGGTTGAGAGTGGCTGAAAGAGCAAACTCGGAAGCGTCTGTTTCCACCTGAAAGGGCTGTGCTTCGTCAACAGCTTGGACCACAGATTTTTCGACATCGGACTTAAGTAGATTAAACGAAGTAAGAGCATCGCCTACCATTGGAAATACAGTATTCTGTGTCAGTGGTCTTACTTTTGCTGCAAAGTCTTTGATCCATTGAGAATAGTAGGAAAAGAGACCCACAATCCGTTTCTGTTCTTTTAAATCACGGGGCAGGTAACTCTCGCAGAGGTCTCAATCGTGCCGGGTCCGGCTTTATTTCTCCATTAGCGATTATACTACCGAGGATGCAAATACTGGTTGTTGAGAAGGAGCATTTGTCTTGATTAAACGTCAAATTTCGCTTTCTAGCTGCTTGAAGGAACTTTTCGAGATTTATGTCATGCTGGGCTTGGTCCCGGCCACAAATCGTGATGTTGTCAAGATACACAAACGTGTCTTCTAGACATTCTTTAGCGATAAAGTTGTCCATCATTCTTTGAAAGCTGCTGCTCCATTTGTTACTCCAAATGGTACTCGACGGAATTGGTACAAACGCTGGTTAGCTTCGAAAGCAGTATATTTCTTTTCTTCTTTTTGAATTGGGACTTGATGATACGCACTTTTCAAATCAACGGTGCTGAAAACTTTGTACTGAGCGATTTTAGAGACGATATCATCTATTCTAGGCAAAGGATAAGCATTCAGGTGTGTGAATCTATTTATAGTTTGCGAGTAGTCAATCACTAATCTTTTTTTTTGTCGATCGTTTCTAGTTACGACCACTTGTGCTCTCCACGGTGATTCACTCGGTTCAATAATACCTTCATCTAGAAGCCTTTGTACTTCAGTTGTAATGAATTCTTTGTCTTCTCGGCTATATTTCCTTGATTTAATAGCTATCGGTTTACAACCCTCTGTTAAATGTTGGAACAAAAGTGGGGGGTCTAGGTTCAAAGCTGTTAAACTGCAAAGTTTCAAAGGAGGGGCAGAACCACCGTACTGAATAGTGACACTTTCGTGCAGGGCTTGCCAAGTTTGCCCTAGAATAACATGAGTACACAGATTGGGCAGAATATATAGCTTAACCTGAGAATACAACCGGCCTTTAAACGTTATATCACTAAGACAATATCCTTGCATTTTTGTGGAATAATTGAAACATGTAGCCATCGTAACTTTTTCTTTGGTCTGATGAACTGTCAATGAGAGTTGCTCAACCAAATCAGGATGTATGAAGCAGTGAGTACTTCCTGAATCTACCACAGCTGTAACAGTTCTTTCTTTTAAACGAATGTCAATACATGTACTTAACAATGACTCCCCCATTGCAGCTAGAGTTATGTAAGCTGATTGCGTTAAATTAGAGACTACTGCTGACGAACGGCAAACTCTTTGGTAGTGCCCTCTTTTTTTACATTTATTACAAATAGCTTCTTTCGCAGGGCATAATGACCGGGGATGTTGCTTATTACCACAAAAGAAGCATTTAGCGGAACGTGAAGTGGAGGCTAAATACCTCTCGCTTAGTCCTTCTTCATTATTTTCGTCATGTCCGTTAGATGCCGTAACAGCAGCGCTTGTGAAGGGATTCGAATTGTATCCGATGATTTTGTGCCAAATCCCAAGCTCGAGCTTGATCGAATGCCGTTTGTAAATCCAACTGTTTATTCTCCAGTAAACGTTGTCGAATGCTTCCCGACAATAGACCACTAATGAAAGCATCCCGAATTGCTTCATCCCGATATTGAGCAGCAGAGACTTGACGAAAATTGCAGTCTTTACTTAGGTGTTTCAGTTCTTGTAGGTATTCGTCAAGGGTTTCGCCCGCTTGTTGTTTACGTGTTGCTAATTTATGCCGAGCAAAAATCTCGTTCGGAGGCTTGACATATAAGGTTTTCAGCGTGGTGATGGCTTCATCGTAGGTTTCAGTATCACAGAACAGTTGATAAACATCAGAGGTGACATAATTCACCAGAATGTGTAGTTTATTTATTCGCGTATCAGGAATGGACGGTATTGCATCGATGAAGTTCTCAAATGTCGCGAGCCAGTGCGTCCAACGTTTTGCAGCGCCTTGCGAGTTCGGAATAACATCAAACCGTTCAGGTCTCAAAACTTTATCCATAGGTATAAGGCGTTAGTGTTGAGTAAATTGTGGTAGAAGTTTGAATTCAAGTAAACACCAAAGAACAACCTTTTGAAATAAGGCTTTACTCAACACTAAATTAATATCTACAAAATGTCTCTTTATAAGTAATTATCTTAAACTAGGCGCGGTTACTAAGGTGGGGGTACTTCATGTAATAATCACTACAATACAACTTGTATAACTCACAAGCTACAGATTTTAAGCCCCAGTGATAGGTTGATTGCAGTGCAGTTTATGTATAAAATGCACTGTGAAAATGTGTTAGTGCATCGCTGAAGTGTGTAATAGGCCTTTTGCAGCTAGAGGTCACGTGCTTAGGTAACGCCATACTGGAGAGCACGCTTTCCATTAAACAATGGCGAGTACAAGGCAATTTAATATGTAGAGTAAATTTTCTTTGTTTTTGTGGCGATTTCGGCTAGACAACACTAACATGGCGTCGAATCAAGGTATGTGACAAGCAAAATTTTTCATCAATTCTTTTTCTTGACTTTTAACTGAAAAGGAGTAAATTTTCACTCATTCTCGAAGATTCCGCAAGCAGGGGCGGATCTAGGGGTAGGCACCATAGGCAAGTGCCTATGGTGAAATTACCAAAATATACTTCGACTTAGATTCGATACGAATTTATCGAATTATGAAACTATGAATGGCACTTTATCGCAGTCAAATCATCTGACTTTTGTTTAGAAATGTTGTGCAATTAAATGACGTAATTTTGATATGAATCGTAGTCCAGATGCGTATGATTATCTATAAAGCTCCGTGTCGTTAGGCAAAGCAGCCATTTTGCCTAAGTCAAGAAGGCGATCTAGCCATTTGATTGGTTGTTAGCAATTTGCCTAAACAAGATGAATTTGCCTAACTTGACATCGTGTATAGGTATTCTGATTGGGCAATTTTTGCAACCGTATGCTTTCATTGGTCAATTTTTTGCCTAACTTGAGCAATTCCAACCAATCATTGCTGTTGATAAGCATAGTTGAGCTAGGCAAATTAGGCAATTGAAAATTAACATACACTCGTATTGTTTCTGAACAGCCTCTGTGCTCAGTTTACGGTTTTGTGATATTTTATAATGTCTTCATTGTGTTGTGGTAATTTATACGAGACTGCTCAGTCTGCGTTGGCCAAAAACGATTTAAAATGCCTTAATGAGCTTTATTCTCGTTTATTGGTCGACGTTCGACCTATGTTTACTAACGAGCAGCTGTTAGATAGAATTTATGACCCCGACCATACTCTGTGTCGAAATTTTGAGCTGAAATATATGTGCCAAAGCACGCTCATGACGGAAAGACTTGTACTGCAATAAGGTAAATATATTATAATTATATATATCGTATTGTAGTATTTATATATACGTGTAAAATGGTTAAATCTCAATTTCGCTAGGCTATATCTTTGTCTACAGTCAGCAATTCATTCATACAATGCAATCAATCTACCAAACAAAATATTAATTTCTTTTCTTGAATATTTTTTTAAGATCTGAAGCTTCTGGCAATTGCCTCTACAGTTCAGCTTCCCTAGTTCTGGTAGGTAACAATGCATTGGTCCCTACTTTGCGAATTTTAACATCGCTTGAGCTATTTATTCATGCTGCTTTTTTATGCTCAACACCCATGCTTTTTGTCTGTTATAAGTGAGCACAGTGATTACTTTGCCCAAAGCTTAAACAATCTTTTGCCTTTGTCAGTGTCTAAAGAATGTTTAGACACTGGATATACAACAGATGAACTGGTAAAACAGGAGGCTATTTTAAATTGTAATGACCAGAAATGGTCATCTTTTCTTTGTATTTTGGGCCTATCTTCTGTTTTAGGTAGAAAAATTCATACTTTTTATCCTGATTCTGGTGAAAGTAGATATAAATTGTTATTTAATCGTATTGTTCAGCCCCAGTTATTAAGCCAAAGAGGTTTGGATGCTATTAATATTTTGTTTTGTCATGAAGGATCTGTACAACCAGGTGAGACTTTTCAGTCTAATCATTTTGTGCCTCTCATTTTCCATGCCCACAGGTTGAAGCGAAAATTGTCTAATTCCTGTACACAGTCTAATTCTAGCAGCTCAACAACAGAGAAACGAAAATTTGTCAAAATTTTTCCAAATATTGCACCAAAAACAGTTGACATTTCAAATTTTTACTTCAACTAATAGGCCTGCTGCCCAACCAACTTTTAAAAGGATGCCCAATGAGAGTTTTTCTTCTGCTGCAGCTCTTGCTCAGACATTAAATAAAGCCAATAGTCTTTTGCTTCACACATCATCCCAGGAACTATTGCCTGGTATTCCAACTTCTGGTGATATGCAACCTGCTGTTTTAACCCATAATTTTGATGTTTCCTTGTATAGGGAGAAAGTTAAGGGTATGGATAATTCTGAAATATGTCATTTGATAAAAAATGTATATAAACCAGATAAAAAGTATCATTTTCCTAAATCTAATGGCAGATCATTTAGGCATGATTGGCTAGACCAGCATGAATGGCTTTGCTATTCACCTTCACAAAATGGTGCGTATTGTCTATCGTGTGTGTTGTTTGGCAATAGATTCCCAGGCAAGGCCAGTAAAGTAAAAAAGTTGTTTACTGAACCTCTTCAAGATTGGAAGAATGCTAAATGCTCTTTCACTCAACATGCTGGAAAAAGTAAAGGAGGGAAGTCGGTTTGCATGCATCCACATCACCAATTTTGATGCTTTGCGTTCCCAAATATCAGGTACTCTGCAGCCTATCGAGATGATCATGGATGCTGGTATCAAGAAAGAAATAGAACAGAATAGGGAAATACTATCTCCAATTATTGATTCTGTCATTTTTTGTGGACGTCTAGGTTTACCTCTTCGTGGGCATCGTGATGATTCCAAGTATCACCCTACTGTTGGTTGTTATTCATCTGGAGGGGTTGGTAATTTCATTGAAACACTCAATTATGGAGTTAGGAGAGGGGATAAAGTTTTAGAAAATCATTTAAAGAATTGTGGTAAGAATAGAAGTTATATTTCTAAAACAAGTCAAAATAAAATCATTAAATGTTGTGGCCAGGTAATCAGTAATCAGATTATTTCTGATATCAAAAAGTAAGTTTTTTCTGTTATTGCTGATGAAGCATCTGATTCTTCACATAAAGAACAAATGTCTCTTGTTTTGCGCTTTGTTGATACCGATATGAATATCAGGGAAGAATTCATTTCATTTCTTTTTAAGTGGGGACTAAGTGGTGCTCAACTTGCCAAGCTACTTTTAGAGGCTCTAAAGGAACTGACTTTATCAATAGATGATTGTAGGGGGCAAGGTTATGATGGGGCTGGTTCAGTTGCTGGTTGCACTAATGGTCTAGCAGCTCAAATTTTAAAGCTTAACCCAAAGGCTCTTTATACACACTGCTATAGTCATAGGTTAAACTTATCCATTTGCGATTCTTTGAGTATACGTGTTGTCAATGATATGTTGAAACATGTTAACAATGCCACTAATTTTATTAAAATTTCCCAAACTCGCAATATTCCCTTTGAAAACATATACGTAATTCAGAAACAAACTCGAAAAGACTAGATTAACAGACGTTTGCAAAACTAGATGGGTAGAACGTATCGAAGGTTTAGATACATTCCAAGAGCTTTTGTACCTGTATACACCACCCTTAACGATATGTCTGAAAATCTAGATGGTGAGTTCAAACCGTCGCTTCAGTCTGATGCCTCATCTTTGTTTCAACTTATTGACAGGTTTGATTTCGTCGTTGCTTTAGTTATCACGAGAAATATTCTTGATTCAACTCTTCCAGTAACACAGTTATTACAGGGTAAGAGTATCGATATAATGGATGGTATTCATTTAATTTCAACTTTGAAAACTGAGGTGGTGAACATGAGGAATTCCTCTGATTTTTATCATGACACCTGGTATGACGAAGCGCTTGAACTGGCAGCAAAAGTTGGCATTGAAGAATGGAAACCAAGAACAGTGCGCAAACAAACGACCAGGGAAAATATTCCCACACAACCATTTCTGAGTATTATAAACGTGCAATTACTCTTCCTCTACTAGATCATTTGCAATCTTCTTTAGAATCACGATTCGACCTTGAGAGTGTGAATGTCTATAAAGGCCTTAGCATTGTACCGACGAAAATGATGTCCATGACAAGAGATGGGGTGGATTGGAAAGAGCCATTCAAAACTGTGGCTAACTTTTATTATGATGATTTGCCAAATCCTTTGGCCTTAGATGCTGAACTTAGGTTGTGGTACACTTATTGGGAGACCCACTGCGGCCTCCTTCCTGATAACATTGCCCAGACTTTAAAATCTGTTCATTTCGCCGGATTTGAAAACATTAAAATTTTACTACGTATTTTAGGAACGCTCCCCATTACCTCTTGTGAATGTGAACGATCTATTTCTTCCCTTAGGACACTTAAAAAACTATCAGCGAAGTACCATGGTTGGGGAACGCTTAAATGGTTTGGCCTTGATGCAAATTCATCAGGAAATTGTACCAGATATTGGTGAGGTTATTAATACTTTTGCTGTTGGAAATACAAGGCTAAAATTTGCATGAATTTATTCATATCCTAGTTTTTTATTTTGTTGAAATGTCCATATGTTAACCATTTATTGTGCGTTGTACACAATAGTAACGTCAATAGAATTTGCATCAAACTAATAGCTCGCCCGATAAAGGTTTTTTTTCCCTATATACATTCCAATCTTAAAACTGCTGAGTACGTGTATGGTACTCGGCCGTTGTCGACATAAATTTACTTTCACAAAAATTGTTAAGCATAAATAGAATAATTTTTCCTTACACCAAATTTTAGTCTTCACAAAGACTCTTTATACAAAGCTCTATTTTGACTATTACATTACATTTACATTCTGCTCATTTGTTGGCAAATGAGAGTGCACATTTTAGGTGGGGGGTAAAGGGTTGGAATTGACTGGGATGGTGTAAGAAACTGAGCAATCTTACATCCATGAAATGTCCCACATAGTCACCCATTTCTAACCAAACTCCTTTTGCTATTTGCTAAAGGTGTGAAAGGCGAGTTTCTGGCGCCTTCAAAAACCAGAGTGCTCATTTTTAGGTGGGGGGTAAAGGGTTGGAATTGACTGGGATGGTGTGAAAAATTGAGCAATATCACATCCATGAAATATCCCATATAGTCACCCATTTCTAACCAAACTCCTTTTTCAAAGGTGTGTAGGCGAACTTCTGGCGCCATAACCAGTCTGCTTAATTCGGCTCTCACAGGGCTGTCCATGCCGGATCACGATTTTTTGTTTTGCGTTAAAGTGTTCCTAGGCATGCTGATGAGCCCTGATATGGGGCGAAACAGTCTTGTGTGCATTCAATATTCTGAATAGTGAAAATCAACGACCTTGTGATATGTAAGTATAAATATACAATGTTTTTATGTATTTATACGATTGAGATCTACAAGATTCTGCATAGCTGAATGATTAGACTGTTTGATTTAAACAATTTATCGAAAGCATAAATAGTGTAGTATGTTTTGCAAAGTATGACGTCATAGGTTTAGCACTGAATGACGTCATAATGTTTTGCCTATGGTATCCAAAATCCTAGATCCGCCCCTGCATATAACCATTGCCATTTGACATAGTAAAAACTTTTGCTTCCTTTGATGACATGGCAAAAGCTGGAAAACTATTTGCATTTCTAATTGATTAACCAATGCAATTACATGCATAGTCATGTACTAATTCAATTTATTTCAGTAATTTCCAGTATAATGTGCTACATATATATGTAGCAAGACACTTAATTTGCAAATATGAGCATTTATACACATTCATCCTTCACCCGTACACATTCATCCTTCACCCATACACATTTATCCTTCACAATTACAAAATACACAGGTAATTCAAAATCAAACATTTTATATTAAGAATTATACATTAAAATGATCCAACTGCTAACCAAGCTACAGGAACATTGTATTAAATGGGTAAGTAGAACAACTTATAAAAGGAATGATATCTCAATCATGTTGGATATTCATGATGAACTATATACCAACACTGCCAATAAGCTTATTGACATGGATTGAGGCAATGACTATCACATGATTTTGTTAGCTGTTTACCCACGTATGATAAGAAATAGGGGAATTGTTATGTGACTTTGCTTTTACCAATAAATATACTAGCTTCATGTTTAGATATTTGACTCATTCATATTATTTTTTTCGTACACACAACGTTCGTGCTTACTTTGTACATGCCATGATGAAATTTAGAGTTTCAACAAAGGAACAAATGATTAACAATAAGGCCTTCATAGTTGCTCTATCAGAAAAATCAACTGCTTTGCTTCATTATTTTATTTACTTTGTGTTTTAATACAATAGAAAGCAGTGAAAAGTTTTACTGAGCTACGTTTAGGTACATTTTGGTAGTATTATATTTATAAATTTGACTTCAGTTTAATGACACGTTTATTTACATCTTTCCTAACCTTTAAAGCTCATTTGGACAATGCTTTCTCGTATTAATTTAAGACTAGATACTTAATCAAAGAATTTTTTTTACTAACTTCAAAAGGTTAGGCAAATTGTAATTCGGACGTCGCGTATTAAATATTTCTTAGCTCACACATATTAACGCAAGCGATCACAAATATCAATTTTATCCCCTCCAACGACCGGTACTAGCAACTTGTACTTAGTAGGATGTACTGTTTGTCTGGTATTTAGTCCAATTCGGGTTGGGATAAAACACGGATAAGGGGATTTAACACGGATTTTCTTAAAATCTTACTTCTTTTCATGTGTTGGTGTTTAGCAAAATTATCATGAAAATGTTTTGCATCGTGTGTTGTTTAAATTGTTCCATGTACCAAATTGTAGGAAAGTAAAACCAAATTGTTTTAAAACATTAATCAAAAAATACTTCGCAAAAATTTATTTTACATGTGAATATAGTTAGCATATAAGCTCTGTGCCAAAGACATTAGCTATACATTGTTCTTCTGCTTGAAAAAATGACCCTATGTCTCAAGTTGCATGTGAAGTGTAGCGGGTAAAATGAAGTAGAATTGCACTTTTAAAAGTAGATGTTCGTAGAAAAAGTTTTCTGTTGCATTTTCGGGGATTCTTTATTTCTGTATATGCACTCTTGAATGTGCATTATGTTCTCTAGGAATCAACGTTCTCTGCTGATAACACTAAAATATCTTCTTAGCGCTGAAAATTCATGATTTGCGTTTGTTATGCATGTAGGCCCGTTCGCACGAACCGGTTTGTCGTATCCGATTGTTTCGGTTTCGAATTTAATATGGTTACTTGCTCAGACGGTTGGATGATTTTGTTAATATTTATGTTCGTTGGGATATTTATATTTGTTTTATCCGGAAAATTTATCGATATAGACCAAAAACCATGACCAGCCGACAATTTGAAGAAGTATAATGTAAAACAAATTCCGAAGAAGCAAGACATCTTGAGATTGCAAAATATGAATCAAAACAAGACGAGAAGTAAACAGTTTACTTCTCGTCTTGTTTTGATTCATATTTTGCAATGTCAAGATGTCTTACTTCTTCGGAATTTGTTTTATATTATATTTATCGATATATGTTTCGTATTTTTGTTCTTGTTTACTTGTCTTCATCAAATCTATGTAATTTGACTAGTCAGTTTTCTTTTATCTTGTTTAATGAAAATAGAACAAGCTCTATTTTCATACGATTTTTTAGATCGACAAATCTGACGCACTTTTTTGTGTTCACAGGATCCGTTTTCTAGGATCCGAAAATTTGTCAGTAAACAATATGTAATAAAATAACAGTTGCACCGAATTTAATCGTTCTAAAGTAACAAACAATGACATCGATTTCATTAAAGTTGAAATACATAAATGCTTCTTTTCTCTTGTCCTTATCAATATAATAAACATGCGAGTGAATTATATAAGTAAATTTATAGAATTCTATTAGTACATGGCAGTACATTTTACACTGTTTGAACATACCTCTTCGTTCATTTTGAATGAGCGTAAACATACAATACATTAAAGGAAAAAAAAACACTCCAAAAAACATCATCTTGTAAACTCAAGATTCAAGTTATAAAAGCAAGAGACAAGATTCAAAGCAATAATTCGACTTTAGTTCAAAGTCATTATCAAGCTAAGTGATTATTTACAAATATGCGTGATTTTAAATAATTGTTACAAGGAAATGACGTAGGCAATCAAAAGAAAGAAAGGCTATAAAAGGAGGTTAAGAGCTTGCTCATCGCCTTGCTTTTCCTTAAGGTTATTTATATACGTTTCAAAAAGCCTCAGCTAAATTCTGGATCAAAGGCTTTTAATGAACTTGCTATTTTTTCTTAATTTCTTTGATGTAATATTATACAGTAACACCTCCTTTCATCGCCTTTCTTTCTTTTCATTGCTTACATCATTTCCTTGTAACAATTATTTAAAATCACGCATAATTGTAAATAATCACTTAGCTTGAGAATGACTTGAAATATAGTCAAAATATTGCTTTGAATCTTGTCTCTTGCTTTTATAACTCGACTCTTGAGTTTACCAGATGATGTTTTTTGGATTGCGTTTTTTCCTTTATTTTTTGAAAATGTTGGCTGGAAACGGATTTCTACAATACATTTTCATCTCGGAAGTGTCGAAAATTTTGAACCTAGGAAGTTGGAAATCGTAAATTTTACATCTTGGAATCAAGTCACAGCTCGGCAATCGTACAAATTGGTTTGACGATATGACGTCAAATAAATTCCGTCAGCGCATACGCTGCTAAGCCTCAAAAACAGCTCAAATGAAGCACTTGAAGATGTGGTTTCGTTTAAAATAAAGCACCTGATTTCAAAATCTCAAAATATATTGTAACCCTTGCATACAAATACAACTTTCAATACCAACATTCTGTGAGAATGGAGTTCCCCTATACAGTTTCGAATCCCGACCACACACATTGAAAAAAGAATGTTTGATTATATAATTAGTATTCTCAATCACTATTTATAAATGATTATACATCAGATTCTAAAGACTTGTCTTTGATGTGATTATACGTCACTGAAAATCTGTCATTGAATTGTAAGCTGTTTTCTTAGTTGCCGGTGATGACATGGCGTCCTTTTTCAAGTCAGAAAATGAAGCAAACATTTTAATGTTGGGGAAATTGATTGTTGAATATGTTGATGAAGATTTAAGAATAACCTTGAGAAAACAAATGTCAGGTACTAAATTATTCTTTTTCTTGAATACCACTAAAAATAGAAAAAAGCTTTTGAGAATAAAGAAAAAAATAATCAGGCACGATGCATGGATTCTTTTGTATCCAGATCCTCCAAGATTACCTAATGAAAACGATTTTGACATTACTTTACTTTGTGTCCTTTTGCGCAAAATTTGCAATTTAAAACAACCGCATGATCCTGTCTGGACAAACAAACCTAATGCCACCGATCATTCAACCAAAGCCGATATAATTTCTTTTTATTGTGTAATTTTATTGTTCGTCTTGATTTCAGGAGTTTCGTACCGGTTTGAGGAAATGGCACATTTGCCATGTTTTTCGTCATGGTCAATTTACTCAAAAACAGTTGAGATTACTTCCGGTAAATGAAGTGCATCCAAAATCTTATACAGGTTCTCGACTATAGCACGATACACTAGTTTCTATTTCATTTTCTCGTCCTTAAATGTTTTGGTGTCTAGGAGAAGCGTCTTGGTTTAAAGTTTTGCTTCATTTCATTATGGGTAAGCCGTTAGCAGTTAGCAATTGATACACACACTTAACATTAAGTCTGATTGAAATGTAAAAAATGTGTCTTAAATTTGCAATGAGAGTTTTGCCGGCAAATATCCCCATTTCCATTTCCTGCTTATGATCTTCAGTTAGGAACTGAGGCTGTTAGCGATTATACGATGGAAGACGTTTTCCCGAAAGAGCAATTTGACGATATTTGTGCAGACAAATGTTTGTAACAGAACTAGTTATAATACAAAACACAAAACGTGAAAGCATAAACAATAAAGAAGTTTCCATTATAGTTTGCGTCAAAAGAGTGAGGAATCCATAGGGTTTGGTTTTCTACTTTATTTAAAATTCATATTTTTGCATGCTATTTTCATGATAACTTTGCTTTCATACACTTGTGTTTTATTGTAACTGTGTGGTGGTTTGTTATGATATCTGAGAAAGAGTGGCCAGCGATGTTTGAATTTTTGTGGAGTTGCAAACTTTAAACATTTCTAGACACGATTCACTCTGAGATGATGAGCTAACAGCACAAACGTAAAGCAAGTTGAATCATTCATCGTAAATGTGGAAGTTAAAGTTTAAAGTTGCTTGAGGATCATTCTCTATGGCGTTGTGAAATACAATGTTGTTTCATTTTTGCAAGAACTTTGCTTTTTGAAGTTGTCAAGTGTACAGAAATTTGAGATTTAATCAGTTGACATTGGATCCGACATTTAATGAGCAGCATAAAAAGCTTGTGAAGCAGGTGAATTATTTTGTCGTGGATCTGAGGAAGATGATGAAAATGCAAATGTGAGTAAAATATGTATGTAAACTAAGTACAGGTTTCAAGCGTCATTCCTCATATAAAAACTATGATATTGATATTTCTTTCAAATTTTATTGTGAAATATGTTGATATGGTGAGGAAAAAAGTATATTTATTACAAAAAGGAATATAGTGTTTTGATTAATGCTGAATTAACCATTAAGAGTGTATGTCAATCCACTGTTTCACCTATTACAAGTCTGTCAAACGCACAGGGTCGTGATGTTACAATCATGTCTTGCCATGGCACAGAACCTATTGTTGAGTTGTTTAATGTTCGTTTGAAATATACACTCACAAATCTTTTTTCACTAAATAAACAAGATGTATATTTTACTGACGTATGACTGACATGTTTTCTTTCATACACTCCCCAGGATTGACATAGTAAAATGTTGTCAACAAACAAAACAAAAAAATAAAACTATTTTTAGCTAAGAATATACAGTTGTGTAGAGCTTGTTTGTATTCTGCAATCTTCGCAACTGTCCTGTTATTCCCGCGTTGCGCTGTGGTCGATCAGTTGGACGAAGCACTTGTTCTTCTTCGCCGTTCTTATCGCTCTCTACTCTTTCGTTACTGTGTTCTTCCTGATGAACCTCAATTGGAATAAGCTGCCTGATAGAACGTCGCAACAAGTGTGAATGACTAAAGTCTCCACGAAGGACTCTGATTTGTGCAGCTCGTGTAATTCTTTCGTCACCTTGTAACAATTGTTCAACTTTCGCTACCTTCCAAAAGATACGTTTTGTTTGATCGTTGCGAATAATTACGATATCTCCAACTGCTATTTCGGGATTTTGATTACCTCTTGATTTTGAAGTGTATTGCTCTTGTAAGGCTAAAAGATACTCGTTTCTCCATTGAAGAGTAAAACGTTGCAGCAAATTTTTGTGATGTTTCGCCTTTCTCGTCAAAGATTGATAGGTGGTCTGAATTTCAAAGTGCTCACTGTTTGGCATGGTCGTTATTCGTCTTCCATACACCAAGTGCGACGGGCTTAGCGGAAGAAATACAGCTTCTTCATCGTCGTGCACGTAGGTTAGGGGTCGTGCAATTATTACGCCCTCGCTTTCCACCACAATAGTATGCAACTCGTCGTAGGATAGATTGGTTCTACCAACTACCTTTCGCAACGGACGTTTCACGCTTCGAATCAAACTTTCCCAGCAGCGTCCCCACCAATGGGCCTTTTCGACCATAAATTGCCATGTAATCTGATGGCTTGCAAGATAGCGTAACACTTCCTCAGAACGATATAACTTGCGAATTTCTAAGCATGCAGCTTGAAAAGTCTTAGGATTATCGGATATAAAAAGAGCTGGCAGTACTCGTCGACTAGCGTATCTGCGGAACGCGCGTAGAAAGGCTGGAACGCTTTAGGAAGGAGTGAGCTCCAGATGAATGTCTCAAGTAGACGCACACGTAAACAGTAGAATATACACTTTCGTTGGTATATCCGACAAATTATTCCTTTCAAAACTCTCTCGTACGAGCAACGGTCCGGCAAAGTCCAAACCTACGTTTGTGAAATGGGGATCATCTGACACTCTGCTAACAGGAAGATCTGGAGGAGGTGTTCCCCCATAAGGAAGACCTTCCGCTTTACGACAAACAACACATTTCCTGACGATTTTCTTTACTGCTTCTCGACCACGGATTATCCAAAAATGTTCTGTAATGGTTGTTAGTTTATCACGAATCCCGGTTTGCTTCACATTGTGGTGAACCTCGCATGTTAATAACTCCACAAATCTTGATGGTGAACATTTCTTGGCCTACATTATTTACATATTTAACAATATCCAATCTCTACAAGACAATTATGCAAACCTTAACAAATAAACGCCGCAGTTGCGGCCACTTTTTTGCCTTAATACCTGAATGTTGATGAAGTGACAATTATCGTGACATATACCACACACTGACCTTATATATATCAATGTGTTGATGATATAATGCTGTATTTGGAACATTTTATTATCTGAATTTCTGCCATGAAAAAGGTCATCTTCATCATCGTATTTGCAATCTTTTCAAAAGGCTTTGCCAAGGCAAATGCTTTATGCACATATGGGCTGGAGACAACTTTGATAAGGGAAGGCTTTATAGAAGGATAAATACTTAACACAGTAATTATTGTTAAACGACTTTCTGAAAAGATTGTAGCCTTTTCAACTTGGTAGAAAACCCCATGAATGAAATTTAGACAACTTATTGTACTCTACAGGACACTTGTATGAAAATATTATTCTAGTGCACATGTAATTATATGTGAATGAGTCAGGCACTTTAGAGCGTGTTATCCTACCCAAAGACATCAGTTTCAAAATTGTTAAAACTCTTGTCTTGCATGGATTTATTCCGACCCTGTTTTTTGCTTTCCATTTTTTTACCTATAAAGAATGAACAGTTTATCTTTGTAGTTGACATTTAGCAACCCACGTCAGGTCAATTTTAAACAAACCCTACAAACATCGTACTGAAATGGAAATCAAAATAGTAAAACGTATTCACCATTCCTCAAAATAGTAAAATGTAAAAAATAGGAGTGGCAACACAGCCTCAGGCAGTACTTCATGTTAACTTTATGCTGGTTTCTTTCTCAAATACAAACGACATCTTCCTATTAGTATCTGTGTAAACTGTAAAGGTTAATTTATGGGAAAACTTCACTTATGTCAGTTGAATTAAAATACGTCGTTTAACAAATCTGGATGATATGTTTTTCTGAAGTAATTTGTCGAATTTTTAACGAACATGTGCATGGTTTATGGTTGAGGGCGAGCGATGGCAAAATATTGTATACACTTGGCTTCTTGTTCAGGTAAAGGTTGAATGGTTCATGAATTATTTCTTATAATTCATCTCATGTTCGTTTTACGCTAGTACATTCATGGATGTCATTTGAGATAAATATGAGTTGTTGTGTATAAACAAGGCTGAATTCATGAAGTTGTTTTAATACTTAGTTCAACAAGGTTTGTACAACACTTCGTTGTCCTTAAAAAGTCATAAATTTATAAATTGGTGCTTAAAGATCTTGAATTTTAAGTGTTTCGGTCAAATTTCTGTGTCTAGTTTACTTTTCGTTGATAAAGTTAACATTTTAATCTACAAACATGGCGGCTCACGTCAAATGAAAAGACAACATTAATTTGAAAAAGTTCTTTGACTTTATTTTCGATGTTGAGCTCTTTTGTTGTTGTGTTTTACATGCATTATTAATTTTTACTCGCCTTCAATTATTTTAAGGACATCCTTGAAAGTCCTTCAAAAGTACTTGAATTCAATTTCCCTTGCTTTGTAGCTTTGTAGCTTGCCTTGTACCTTCTTATATAAATACGTTTCGCGCTTCGCATTGCATCATTTGAGAAATTTTGCTTGTAAGAACATTTTTTCCTGATTTACTTGCTGGCAGCTGCAAGAGACATAGTGAAGTCGTCAAATGTAAATTATTTATCAACCTTTTAAAATCCCAATAGTGTTTTGAGAAATGTTTTCTGTTTGGGGGTGTTTACATGAATCCGGAATGAGTTTCGATCCGGAATGAACTCATTCCACTTTAAAAGAAATCCTATTGCATGTTTACATGAATCCGGAATGAGTCACAACTCGATCCGGATCGAGTTCATTCCTATTTTCATTCCGGATCGAAATTTCATTCCGGATCGAATTTAGTTTTTATCTCATGTAAACGCGAATTGAGTTTCATTCTGGAATGAGATTGTGATTAATGACGAAGCACGCATGTGCCATGGGTATTGTCTTCTGGCAAATTGAAGTTCGTAAGCAAATAAAGAGGCTAAATGGGTTAAAATGAGTGCGAAGAAAAACAACAATTAGTTTCATGTAAACACGGATTGACATCACGTTTCGATCGGGATTGAAAGTCATTCCGGATTCATGTAAACACCCCCTTTATGGCTTTGTTGTACATGGCTGGCCTGTGTTTCAAGTTCTTTAAACTGTCGATGACGATGGTCTGTCGCAACAGCTGGTGATCAAAGGTTAGTTCATTTTTTCCTCCGTTTTAACGTGGTCTAAAGTTTCATCTGCTTAATACAAGTCTTAATGTATTACTGATAATTTTTGAAAGTTAAATTTAAATGCAGGCCGTCCTTACACAGTTCATCAGGGGGGGTGGGGGTGTGTAATCCGTTCGAACAACTGGTCAACGTACTTGTACCGAATACACTATAGGACAAAACCTAGACAATTTTCAAGGATGTGTTATTTTATTAATTAATATCGCAGTAATCTCAAAGTAATCACACAGTAATCGACCCAGTTCTCTTCGTACTGTGACACTGTTCATGTAATGTTTTGTTTAGGGGTCAAAAAATCTTTTTTCTTCAGACTAATCCGTATATCCTACTTCTACCGACTGCAAATCCAAATAACATTTTCGGGGTATGACACTCCCTACCTCCCTCCCACCCCCTTCATAATTTTTGTTCTGTTTAAATGATATAAAATGGTATGAAAATTAACAATACAACGTGTGCGCAAATTGATCAAAACCTCAGCTTGCATTATTGTTATATTATAAAAAGACGGAAAAATATTATTCATATTTGCACTGACATGTGCAAATCGCGGAGACGTTTGTTAGAACTCTCGAGCAGATCAGATCATAAACTCGGTTTTATAAGCTTGTGAAAAGGGAAAGTGGCTATGCAAACGCTGGGAAAAATTATTGCCTTAAGTTGAATGTTGTAACGCATAAAGGAATTTTCGTCTTAATGATATATTGATAGCCTTTTTATACACAAACGTACCTTCTCTTGACTCTTGTGTAGTTCTTTGACGTCATTTGACGTACTAAGACGTCATCAATCCGATGTAAGTACGGACGAAATTTTAAATGCTTGGAGATGCCCTGAAAGTCGACTCAGTGAAGTTCGAAATGAGTCATTTACGACATAGTTTCTTCTAATTGGTGTAGTGTTGTTGTCGACGATCAATTTTCATGCAAAAAATTAACAAAAGAATGAGTGTAAGATTGTTTTAATAAGAGAAAGTGCTTCACAATTTTGTACTGTTTGTTGGTGGAATAACATTTTTTCATAAAATAAAACATGCATTAACAGGATGTAGTAATAAATCAATTACATTGCTTTTGGGATCTGTCGAAAAGTATATCAAGAAATTCTACTTAATCTCCACCATCAATCTGCATTAGTTACGTAGTACACACATCAATAATCTTTGAATAACAATTAGCTTATTGCTCTTTTGAAAACGTGACGAATATTAGATATAGAGAAAGAAGTCAACCAGTCAATAGAGAGATTTAGCAAACACGACGTATTGTTTAAGACGCCGTGAAAATGGCGTAAGTATGGCGTGGATCCAGCCGTATATGGGATAATCACGCCATTTTTACGTCATTTTCACGACGTCTTAGACGATACGTCGTGTTTGCTAAATCTCTCTAGTATAAGCGCATTTGGTGTTAATGTTAAGAATTGTTAGTATAATTTTATTTTATCGGTTAATTGGCAAAGGCAGCTCGCTTTTTTAGTTTGGAGTTGCGCAGTTAACTACTATGTGAGAAGAGTAACGTGTCTACAGCCATCATGAGGTCATTCTAAATGGAAGCAACTAAACTACGAAGTCGGTTCATGCGCTATTCATACACCAGAGTTTATAAGTCGTACACTACAAAGACAGCTCATTAAAAGTCTAAAGAGCAATGTTCATAATGTAAAGACAGTTCATAAACTTATCATCATCAGTCTTAAACCAAGTTAAATATTAATTTAAATGACTCCTTAAGTTGCTGCAATTATACGATGAGCTTTTAGACAACTGATGAAATACTGGTAACCTCTCGGAGTTTTTGAAAACTTGATGATTTCCATTTCACTTTGCCAAGAGAAGTTTGCAGTTGTATTAATGTATTTACCATTTTACTCTGATCTTAAAGCTACCCACACGTACACTTAGCGTACCTACTTTTATATTTGTTATTAGGAAAACGATTGCAATTCGTTTTATATGAAATACAAGTTTGAGTTGGCTTAACATACGTTATTCACGTTAATATTTTTAATTAAATTCATTGAATTAAATGAATTACATATTGACTAGCACATACTAATTTGAAATGTGTATTAAAATATTCATAAACTAAGATAAATATCATCAAAATTTGCATTAAGAAAATATGCATCCACAAACATTTGACATTATGAAATGTAAAAAATAAAAATAAATTAATTTATTCAAGCCAAATCTTTTTTTCCTTAGAGGCTCACAACTAACTCGCTTTTATGGTCTCCCCAAAAACTTCATACACATAGTGAAAATTACAATGCCCCTCCCATTCGACCTATAGTCTCGTCCACCAACTCATATAACTGTAATCTCTCCAAGTGCTTATGCACTCTACTTAACCCTGTCATACCCAACGATTACACTACATCAGACTGTTTTACTTTTTAACGAACTACACGCCCAAAACCACAACAACAACTACTTCGTTTCTTTTGACGTCTATTTTAAATGTCTTATAAGTCAATTATTATATTAACTGTCACAATTCACGAGGTGTCACGTCATCATCAGACAACCAATTAATTTCGTCGAAGAGAAAATCATCGTCTGGGCCATCGTCTTGCCCAGTCTCTGGGATTGGCAATCGAAGTACACGCCTCTCATCATGTTCAGTGGCTTGATTTTCTGAGACATTCTGCATTTCGTTGTAATGAGTGTCCATCAATCGTAGAGTTGATGGCTCTGTGTTGTCATTATGTATGTTAGCACTGCATGAATTGGACGATGACTCGTGAGAGGAAAAATTGCTTGATGATTGAAATTGGGAATACTCGGAGTCGTTATTAGATGATAACAAATTGGATGACTGGGGCTGGGAAGACTCAGAAAACTCACTGTCCAAGGAGTTTTCATCAGACGAGTCTACGCTCGATGATTGGTCTTCAGAAGATTCAGGAAACTCACTGTCCGAGGAGTTTTCATCAGACGAGTCCACGTTCGATGATCGGTCTTCAGAAGACTCAGAAAACTCACTGTCCGAGGAGTTTTCATCAGACGAGTCCACGTTCGATGATTGGTCTTCAGAAGACTCAGAAAACTCACTGTCCGAGGAGTTTTCATCAGACAACTCCACGTTCGATGATCGGTCTTCAGAAGACTCAGAAAACTCACTGTCCGAGGAGTTTTCATCAGACGAGTCCACGTTCGATGATTGGTTTTCAGAAGACTCAGAAAACTCACTGTCCGAGGAGTTTTTATCAGACCAGTCCTCATTAGAGGATTCTGTATGAGATGAATGATCTGAATAATATTCATCTTTATCAGTATGGCTATCACCCGCTGCGCACTCTTGAGATATGTTATTAGTCATTGTTGCTTTCTAAATGAGGAAATATTGTTTGGTTATATTTAAAAATAAAGAATTTTTTAGTAAAAATGAAAAATGTTAAATCGTAAATGATTATTTATTTTAGCTGTCAACGTTTTAGCCGTTTTCCATATCAAAAATGATAGATAGATAAAAATATTGATCTTAAAGTTGAGATCTTAAGCTTGAGAATAATCGTGGTCTCTCAAGCTAACTGTATTGTTGCACTTTTGCTGTATTGCTGAGGTTTTTCTTTTTTCTTGCCGAATTTTTCTTCACATGCTACATAATTGACGAATTCTTTAGCAAACTCTGATGATTTGGCAAAATTCAACATGATTTATAAAATAACGTTCTTAACTTTCAACATTTTAATATCCCCTAAAATCAGTCTGCCGCCATGCATGGTGTTAACTGTTTCACAAATTAGTAGCATACGGAAGCCTAGTCTTTCCTGCAATCTGATTGGCTGTTGCAGCATTATATAAAGTCAAAAGAAAATATATGTCGTCGGTACACTTTGTAATGAGCAAAAGCATTTTTAAAGAAAGAGTATGTAAGGTTTGATTAAAAAAGATGTGCAATTTCTTGAGAACAAGCTTCGTTGACTTATATCGTTATTTACTTTAAATCTCTAAAATGACATGACGTCATTATAACATTTCTTTGTTTTGTTTTACGGAGACAGCAGGATATGAGCTGAGAAGGACATTGTGTTAATACAAACGATAAACTGACACTTTAAAATTGTACATACTTTTGCAATTTAAATGTTCGATGTAAACGAACGAATGTACCGATTTTTACCGAATCTTATATATTTTTCGACTTTAAAAATAATCGCTGCTAATTTATATTACGAGGTACAAAAATACACTCGACTATTTCAAAAAATAGATGAAAAAACACACTCCAATAAGCATCATCTTGTAAACTCAAGATTTCAGTTATAATAGCAAGAGACAAGATTTAAAGCAATATTTCGACTTTATTTCAAAGTCATTATCAAGCTAAGTGATTTTTTAAAAAGAACTTGTTATTTTTTCCTAATTCCTTGATCTACTTGTGAATAGTAACACTCTCCGTCCACACGTATCCGGATTCGTTCGTATTTGTCCAGACTTGTTGCGGTTACGCTTAATATACAAATCAGTGGTTATAATATACATATCACGTTTGCCAACTTTACATATTCAATTTATCAATTATATCGTCTACTTAGTAATCTTTTGGTCTCACTACTGCTACTTTGCTGTATGTTTTATTGATTATGTTATCTGTGCATCTGTTAACTGTTGCACAGTTTCTCTTAACGTTGTGAATTATTTAATATTTTCTTTCCTTTCGTTATTAGAAGCAGGAAGTCGAATTTCGGAATCTAGCTGGAATCTGGTCTAATAATAAATTAATCATATGCGACCACCAGCGGAGTTAGCTCATTGTTGTTGCATAAATTGATGAGAGAAATGCGTGGCATGCTTGGGCGATATAAAGGATTCTGTGTTAGTGACAGTGTGATGTTTCCTGTTTGTCTCGTCGAGTGAATTCGAAAACGTTCAATTGGGGACACATGTCTCACGAATACTAGCAAGTATTCAGATTCGAGCGATAATGATACGTATGTTGGCTCGAAGGTATATTCAAAAAATTGAGCGTTCGGTTGCTCCAAGGTAAAACTTTTATTGTTCATTGCCTTCAACAATTGTCAGCAGAAACGTCTACATAAGGCCAAAGCAACAATAAGGTAAAATATTTTTTTCATTATTTATTGTATTTTAGTTTAACGTCGAATATTGTAGTATGACTACCGCTAAGGTTGTCGAAACGTCAGTCAACAACAACAAAAACAGTCCTTCTCAGGACTTTATTAACCTGAATCTTTACAAAGTTAATACATCATTCTCTCATAATCTCTGCGGCCAGTCTTTGCCATTCAAGATATTTTGAAATAAGTGAAATTGCGAATAAGTAAGAATAAAATGAATAGATTTCCGAATCGCATGGTTGCACACAATAGTCTCCTGCTGAGTGTTAATATTTTCATTGCTCCCAAGAAGACATTTCATCTAAATTGAGCAAATGACTCAACGTTTCGCTAAACAAATGCGATCAGTTTCAGCGTATATAAGATTCGTTGAAAATTCATAAAATTATCCATCGATAAAGTTCGTGTGAAAAGGGGCCACATCCATATTCATGTTGCCGCATATGGCGCGATTTTTAGGTGGGGTTCTCGACGTTATGCTCGTCATTTGCGTAGAAATTTGACTGATTAAAAAGATCAAAGATGAAAGTGTTTGTATTCATATAAAATAGTGCATATTGCAGTTAACAATATATATTATTAAAATTATATAACAATCTCAAGAATTCAAGCGTGGTTTAGGCCCGGTTCAAACGTCGCATTTTACATGCGCCAAATCAAATGCGAGAATTATGTGCATGTAAAGTGCGACGACGGATTTTAATTTAATGCGACTTTAGTCGCATATTCGACTGAGTTAGTCGAATATTCGACGGAAATTCGATGTTGATTCAAACGTCGCATTTTACATGAGCCGAATTTAATGCATAATTTATTTTAAGATATTTCTAAGCAAAAATCAATTATTTCCATGCTAAATGCCATGCGCAAAGTTGTAAAAACATGGCGGCGGCGAGTGATGGTAATGGCCCTTGTATTTCGTGCACAAGTTTAACAAAATACACTTGTTTAAAGTGCAAAAATTTATATGTACAAGGAAAGTTTCCTCGAGATACACGAAATGTTTTTGAATCAGAATAAATACTCCAAACTTTCTTCCACCAGCCGGAATTTCTATCTTGTCTTCGACATGATCGATAAGGAGGGCTACGTATGAAGGCTTTTTGACCAATTAACGGTAGAAAAACATGGGAAATTTGCAGAAGCTGCCGTCTCGTTTCTAATAGTTTATTTGCTGTAACATGCATCAATATTCGTCTTTTCCTATTAACACGAATCATATTTGAAATGCATAAACTCAACATTTTTCTGTTCGCCATTTTAGGAAGTTAGTACAAGAAAATGAATAAACTATGAAAAAGTGGAAGCATAACTATAATAAATGCGACTATTAAATTCGACGTCTGAATCAAACTACGCATAAAACTATTTTAGTCGACTAAAACTCAGATTTGATTCGGCGCATGTAAAATGCGACGTTTGAACCGGGCCTTAATAAAAAAACACATGATATGATTGGTCAAATTTAAACATATAACAATCTTAAGAATCCAAGCGTTTTGTCAATTAAATTTGGGAATTTTTCCGATGTATTATAAAATGCAAATAGATATCACTAGCCCATGTCTGTTCACTTATAGATTCAGGGGTCTGATGTCATTTGTGATAAGATCAAATATTGTTCATTTGGCCCAACTTTTTGTTCTGAGCACAAATGATGTTATACCAGGGTTTCTATATGTAAACAGACAAAGATTATTTAATCTGTATGTAAAAAAGTGCATAAATACTTCTATTTATTTGGTCAAAAACACCTCCTCCATTCATTTGACACCTCACTTGCAACATCTAAAAACTGAAATGATTCTAAACAGTATGTGTTGGTCAAATTTGGACTTACTGAAGTTTAATGCCATCTCTGGGGGCTATGTAGGGATGAGTGGGATGAAAAGGTAACTTCAATTTAACATACTGTGTCAACATGAATATGGATGTGTTACCCCTTAATTGTCCACTTCCCCTGTTTCATTGCGATAAATAGTGTGGTACGTATATTAACATGTGGCCCGTATATTAACATGTGGCTCCATAAATAGTTTCCTGTATTTGAAACAAAATTCTGTGTGCAGCTGAGGTTTAGGAGTAATAATTGAATAAAGTTTTAGTTTAATTGATAACTAAAGTATCATTTATTCTAAGTCTTGTGTTTGTATGTGTTGATGTATCCTACTATATATAATTAAGTATGATAAGGTTGATTTTGTTGAAAAGTTTGATAAATGTTTCAAACGTCAAACTTAGCATGTGCCGATTGCATTAAAAAAAAGGAAATGAGATGAACTTTTTCTATATCTTATGTTCTTAATGCATTTGGCACATTTAAAGTTCAACTCTTAAAAAAGATATAAGTTTAAATATAGTCATTCACTGCATTTTAGAAAATACAATGAAAGAATAATATAAATTTCTCATATTGGCAGTCATACACCATTCATGTTTGACAAGCTTTATGTTAACATAGTGCATTTTTTTTTGGAATGATACGCAGGCATTTCATGTGCAACTTTATCAATAGAAATGAAAAACTTACATGTTACTTTTGGTATAAATTATCTCAAAATGGTGCATTGAGCATGAAAATGGTATGTGTTCATTTAAGCTTGATTCTCAAAAACAAGAAAAACAGAACAGTTTATTCAAGTTCATTGTCTTCATGACACCAATAAAATTTTCAATGTGCCTAGGATTATGCTTCAAGTTTAATGAATGAAGACTGAAGAGTATCAAATCCAAGTACAAAGGAATTATGTTGGAAGGATATTTTTTTCAAGTGATAAGCCCTTCCCAAAATTGGATGGATGCTAATGACACTGAATCAGAACTGTACCTGGAGTCTCAGAATTTACTATTTTGGATTAAGAATACTGATGAAGAAAAATTGGTTGTGGGCACAGCATTCGAATCTTTGTATTTAAATCTTATCAAGTACTATCAAAGGTAGGTGCAAGTCCTTTTGAACACATTTTCCACATTTACATATGGACAAATTCAAATTTTCAACATCTGGCATGCATTCTCAAACAACTTGGGAGAAAGCAATTTACATGAAAGATTATCACATTCCTAAACAAGTTTATTTTTTGCAAAGAGATTTACAGTTCACAAGAAAATGTTTCGAACAATGTAAAAATTTAAGGGTTGAAATAAAAAGATAGGTGTTGTAGCAATGTGCGAATTAACAGTGTGCAATGTGCAATTTGCACATCGTTTTAGCTAAAATGAACACAATTGTTCATCACTTTTTCAAACGATGTGCAAAAATCAGTGGTTATAACGAAAAACACTGTCGTAAATCGTATGAATTTGTTCACATTTAAAAATATTAATTTAGCAATTAGCGTTATATAATAATTAATGTAATATTGATTTAATTATGGCTCTAAAGAAACACTTTTGTCGAAAAAATTGCACATTGTTTTTTTTGAACTAATTCGCACACTGGTGTGTAGCGATTCTTGAGTGAAAACAATTATTTAATTCATTTATTTGGTTCATATCTAATTTCACAAATATTCACTAATTCAGGTACAGATTTGTCAGTATAAAACATACCTTAATAATACAATTGCCTTTTTTAAACTATGACATATTTATTGCTTTTGTAAAAAATATTTTCGTTTTCAAGTAATTAGTTAATGATTGTATACTGAAAATATTTCATCTTATGATTTTTGTTTACCATTGTACTTTTCATTCCAGGGACTTGTGACTGAAGTTCAATGAATTTGTATTACTGTGTCTGTGGGCTGTATTTGGTTAACTTTAACTGTGTATTTCAAAAAAATTGCAAAAGATGTTCAAAACTCATATGGAACTGAAAATGGCATATGGTATGTGTTTCATTTAAAACTCTATTTAATTAAAGGGAAATGGCAATATGTTTTTTATAATTATTACAGTACATTACCCCTAAATATGAAAAAAACCCCAAAATTTGTCATTGCTGTCCTTTGGGTGGAAAGATTCGTCTCTTTTTTCATTTAAATCATAGCGTGTTCATCGCCAACTTGTAAAGATTTTTATTATCCTAATTTCTTCATGCTTTAGCAAAATGACATCACAACAGGGTTAGCCTTCCTTGGCAAATACAAGTCTTGTGTATATATGTTAACATATAGCCATGTATTGTTCGGTTTATTACTTTAATAGCAGCACTGAAAAAAATCCCGACAAAAAAATTCACTTTTTTTAAGTTCCTAAAACAATTTATGCCTTGTTTTGACGTCATGCATATTTCCATAATAGCTTGTTTTTCAATTAAAGATGGCTTCCTTTCTTCAATTTTATTTGTATTCAAATTGATTCAAAGGAGAGCTATAGAGAATTATGATGTCATATAAAATTCATTCTTTATTAAATATCTTAAATATTTGTTGGTAATGAAAAAAAAAATTGGTTGCCATTCACCTTTAAAAAATCTTAATTTGGACTTTATTTCACCCTAAGTGTACTTGACTACTATTTTTGCAGTTGCAGCAATAGAAGCATTCTGATAAATTTTGATCAATTCATTAGCTTATGTTTATCAGTTGATAAACTGAGTTCTTCAACAAAACTCAATGAAAAACCCTTAACATCCGGTTTGGGATCAATCACTCATACCATGTCCATTTTTTGAATTAGCCAATCATGTTAAAGCTTTGTGAATCACTCTGTGTCTTGATGCATTTGGTAATTATGATGGCAAATATTATGACGATCATAAAGATTTTACCATTGACAGCCATCAAAATAAATCGTCAGCGCCATAAATACAATCACTATCAGCCCCCAATGATCATAGCTTCTAGTGATCACCACAATTTCATCAACAGCTCTTTCATTTTACAAAATTTCAGCATTTAAAATCATTTATACTGAATTAAATTCAATCCAAGCTTTTTCAGTGTCAGAGTGATTCACTAAGCTTTGACATGATTGGTTTAATAAAAAAACACATGATATGATTGGTCAAATTTAAACAGGAGGAAGTTAAGTGTTTTTCAAAGAGTTTTGTTGAGAAACTCCAAAGATCATTTCCGGTATTCTTCTATTGCTGCAACTTTAATAATTCTTTATTACATAGGCAAATAAGTCTGTGTTCTACAAATAAGAAGAATCCACCTTTACCTTAATTGTAACCATAGTACCAGGCTTTGTCATGGTACTATGATTTTTTTATTTTAGAACTCATAATTATTACCATTTTGCAATTTTTTCCAAAAGTATTCAACATACACAAGAATTTATTGATGGTCTCCATAACATTGAACATTGTGAACTTATCATAATATTGCTGTACTTTTCTTTATTTTTAATGTTGTGATCGTTTAAGGCCATAGGAAAATTATTTTAATCAATGGCCAACATCAGTCACCAAAGATGCAAGCTTTTGCTATGGGTGGTCAGTTGGTGTTTCGTTTTAAAAATTTTAGTTTTCAACTTTTTGTTTGTCAACACTAAATTTATCGCATGTTTTTCACTCAAATATGATATTCATAAGATCTTATGATTACATAAAACATGTTTTTGTTATGCTTTCACCATCCTAGCCAATGCCAGGCTAGCTTTTGTAGACTTCAGTATAGTCATTGTATGGTGGTCTGTGGCCAGGAAACTACACCGACTGAAGTAGCACAACAATTTCAGAAAAGTTTCACAGTCGTTTGAAGAAAAATCGTGTTTGAATTTTGCAATTTCATTTAAAGTTGGAGAAATAAATACTCAAGTGCATGCTTTGCTCATGATTGAAAATAGGAATACAAATAAATCAGCAGCCAAGGTATACACTCAACAAAAAAGTTAACTTACCAAGCTTAATCACTCTATTTTTTGAGCTTTGTGATTGAGCTGGGACGAATAAGGATTCAATCTTCCTCTGCAAGGGAAACAAAAACAGTATGCAATGTGCAACTGAGGTTACTGTGCACTACATTCACTTAAAAATTCACTTTAAAGTATGACATTTATTGAACAAGTAATAATTTTATTTGTTAAGTAGTTAGCCTGTGATCATTTACTTTACTTGTTTTTTTTTAATTTCAGGTAGTTGTTGTTATAGTTTGGTGGATTTTTACTAACTCACATGTTGTGATCTATGAAGGATAAAGCTCCAAAAAACATCATATGGTATGTGTATGTTTCATTCAAACTTCATTCTCAATACCTGAGTCAAACTTTTCAACATATAAGTATGAAAACATAGGCTAAAGCGATATGCCATTTTTTTTGGTGGTGGCTCATATTCATACAATCAGTTTTCAAGAGAAACTAATAAAATAGAACATGCCAAATGAATATTAGCCACCCTTTACCCAACCTCAATTATCGATATTCCGTGGTCCCTGATACCTTATTTTTCAAAATTACTTACAAGTTTGTAAATGTTGTTGTTGACTGATGTTTCTGTCGTTCATACGTTTTGCAAGCAACGTCAGACGCATACGCTAACAAATACGGCCAACCTGACGTTTACTCCTCATTTGACTCTGAAGATGACTACCGCTAAGGTTGTCGAAACGTTAGTCAACAACAACAAAAACAGTCCTTCTCGGGAGTATACCAACCTGGACGATCTACATTTACAAACATGTAACAACACTCCCGGGCTCAAACCATTTACAAATTTACTTACATAAGGTATGCTTCCAGACCATACATATTGACATTGTAGCAGCCTATTCTGTTTATACACATAAGTTAGTGGTGGAACCTCATCCCATCACAAAATCTAAAATCTCCCATAAAAAATAAAAAAAACTCACAGTTATGTCTTTTGTTCTAGGAATCCTAATGTATACTTGTTCTTGATCAGTGTAGATGGCCTTGCAAGCACGATTTACAACATTAGATACAGTAGAAAGTTCGTAGAAAGATCGAAAGTTTTTGTGACTGTTGTTTAAAATTTTGCTGTTTGACCTCGTTTGTCGAGCTCGTAATTCGCGTGCTCACACCCCCCCTAAATTATGATTCGAAGGGGGGTGTGAACAGTATAGACTGGATTATGGATATCGCACCACATATACGTAGAGTATAGTATGAAAATTGAAGCCGGAAGACGGCTCATTTGCATATGTTTTATCGGTCCAACTTTGTAACTCTTTTTATAGGGCGCCAGATGTGTTTATTATTTAACCTACTGACTTTAATTTGGTTATTTCAAATAACCAAATTAATTTTTAGATGGAAACTTTCGAGCGAAATACGTAACCACCATATGGACATCAATAGTCCACTCCCCCCTGAATAGGTGCAACATTTTGCTGGATTCTGGAATTCATTTCACGGTAGAGCCACATCAGTTGCACTGTGAAAACGTTGCGTGACGCTCTGTTTAATGGCTAATAATACTGCTGTAGCACCGCTAATTGTTTTTAGCGATAATCATAGTAAACAGCAAGAACGTACCGTACATAAAGTATCAATACAAGAAACAAACGTTTCCCCGCTAATATACAAGAACACTACCGCTTTGGGTATTCGTGCATGAAGTACGAATAAACTGAAGCAAAGATTGCAAGAACAATGAAGTTTAAAGTTTTACAATGCAACAATGTAACTGCTAAATAAATTCGAGACGGAATTTTTGTATAAATTGTTTTTGTTACTATTCAGGGAGAAGCAGACCATTGGTAACAGATGTGGTATCATTTGGCTCGTTGCGTTCCATCGGCTGACGAGATTTTACTCTGACACCATTGTGGAAATGTTCAGACCATCATCCAACAAAAAATTCAAACACCTCTGAAAACCTTCGAATTCTATTCCTGTGCTGCTTCCAACCTCATTTCTCTACAATTAAGGAAGAGACACAATCAGCATAACCTTTGAATGATAGTCACATTGCTTGAGGTTGAATTTTAAAATTTGTTTATACCTGGATCAAACTAAAATCGATTATTTCAGCTGAAGTACAACAAAATATTGTATAAGCACCATATTTTGCACTATGACCCATGCTGTCATGTCGTGCGTCACCAGAAATGGTAATTGATTCCAGAGCCTGTAATCTATCAAGAATCTTTCTTTGATAGTCTTTCCAGTGAAGAAAGATTGTCGGAAGCACCATTTTCTTAAGTAAGAATAAGAAATACTATCAAATTCTTCGAACAAAGAACGGTCCAAGTATTTTTAATGCAAAAGAACGTACCACTTGGTGTCTATAGAAAGACTCATTAGATATTGTAGCAAGCCCCATGTGTCGAAACATGTTGATCACTTTGGTGGAAGATCCTCCAGAAACAAGTATGGCAAAACTTAAAAGGAAGTCTCCTGCATTTACTTTTGTGTTTGGCAAAAGTGGCTGACTTTTCCAGATGTTATTCCTTTTATCGCACGCGGGGTTTCCACAGGTTGTTTTGACAACAACTAGTGTACCATCTGTTACCATTTCTACGAGCGGGTTATCTGCCTTGCAAACATGGCAAAATTTAAACAGTAACATCAACTGGGATTGGAAAACAATGTATTTTTCTTCGTTCCGTATGTTTTCTCTAGGATTCCTAAACGAAGATAGAGTCATACGGGTGCCATCAAGACATAGAATGATTCACAATTAGATAGAATTTACAAACAAGTCAAATATTTTACCTTCTGCATTCATCTTCTAATTCATCAAATTCCGATCTTCCCGATTCAGCCTCGTCTTCTATTTTAAAATCGTCGTCCGCAACCGTGTCTATTTCAACTTCGCTGTCTTCAGACTCTTCATTTACGTCGTTGCCTGCCGTCATTTCAGATTCAGCTCTGTGCTGAATGACCTCTTCGTCATTCAGTATATTGCACTGAACACCTACATAATAATAAAAAATCGAACAAGTTAATTTAAAAAAGTTTCATAAAATTATCATTTAACATAAAATGTCTTCTTTTAATTCTATTGCGTGAGTTTAGCAATACAGTTATAATAACCGGCACCACGGCTGATAAATGCCGGAAATATTATACGGGTTTCCCCTGTAGTGAAAACACGAAACGTGTGCAGTACTTATGTGCCAAACACGATACCTTTAGAACGTTTGGCTTTCACTAATTCATCGTATTTTGCTTTCAGAGCTACATATTTGTTCCGTGTTTTCCTTTTCTCTTTCAGTAGGTACGCACAACCAACACAACCATCTGTCTGAGTCAAAGCGCTGTTTGTCTAAAAGAAAAAGTCTTTCTTAAAATGTATGCATAATGTCAGTAGGGGTCAACATATGTTTTGACAGAAAAGCTCACGAATGGCAAATCAAATTGTAAGATCGCACTATACGAGCAGGAATAAAGGTATATACTATATACTTTGCTGCAAGGAACATCGCTTGGTATCTCTTCATCCACATTTAATTCCATTGGCACGCAGTGTTCGAAATCCTCTGGCTCTTCTTCTGATTCTCCTGGTCGAGACAAACTTGTGGACAATGCTTCCTTTAAAACCTTTCGAAAATGTCGACAAATTTATGTACAAAACAGTGATTCTCAAAATAGGTTCATGTGTATTTTACTGTATTTACCATGTTTTAAAAAGCGTGCGTTAATCTCTTGAAATGGAATGAATAAACTTACCTTTCTCTTGGCTCTTGCTGACGGGGGACATTCAGGTGCAATATTATATTTAGGGACTGCCACGACGCCAATCTCATCCAATGTTTTCCGGGTACTTCCGAGGGCTTCCGGCAATTTCCGAATTAATCCGTTAACTTCCGATCTTAAAAATTAGATGTAACATTTTGCCATTTTTGTGAACTTTTGACGCAAAATTTCATCTGGCAACACTGTTTGTCGGTTTAATTTAAAATGATCTAGTCCAAAAATGATTGTCGTGGAGCAATAGCATTTTTTTTTTCTGTCTCCTAAGAAAAATGCTGTATTGTATTCGACATTCGCCCGCAGCAAATCGGAGAATTGATTTGGAGTTGAGAAGTGTTCTTGCATTTTCGTTGTCGAATCGAAAAACCAAAAGAAAAGGGTAATTATTCTTTGTGAGCTAATTTTGGTATAAAAGCGAATGCATACTGCAACGATCCACCAACTTCAATTTCAATTTTACACAAGCTCTAATTTGCCTATACTGAAAATACGTTTTCTTGTATAGAATCAGCTCAATTGAATTCAATTCTTTACTCAGATAACAACAACCATATAGTTAAAAACAGAGCAAGCTACACTGCATCTACGCATCCTGATGCGACGTAACTTGGCTTTGGTGAAACTATTGATGGGTGAAACTTAAGATTTGAAAGTTGTGGGCAATGGTGTCTTGGTTAGTTGCACAAATGTTAAAATACCGTGCTATCTTTTTGTCTACATTTTTGTATGAATATAGATTTAAAATATAGATGATAACTTTGGTTGAACACGCAAAAAGTACAGGTAGACGAAATTAATGTTCTTGTAATCTTGTTAGTTTATCCTTCAATTATCTTTGTTAAACTTTTTTGTGATTACGTTCTTCAAGTCCTGGCTAAACACGCATGAAGGACTGACAGTAGTAAAGAATATCTTTATTATGTCTTTATTCGTACTTTGTTTTTCTTTGTTTTAAAAATGATGTGATTACATTGAACTCTCCAAAATAGGAAGGTTTCATAAAGTTTGGATAAAACACACATGAAGACAGACTTGTGTTTAATTTAATTTGATTTTATAGCATGAAGACTATCTTTATCATTTCATTATTTGTCCTATGGCACAATTATCGAATACTGCCAAAGATAATCTGGCTTGATTACTATTAGGAAAGTTTTTAGGTTAGGGATAGGCATGCAGGTTGATAATTATATGGAGATACAACAAATAAGGATATTCCATTATTACTTAAAAAAATTTGACAAAGTTTCCCCCCCCCCGTTTTGGAATTGGATTCTCACTAAGCTGAAATTTTTTTAGTAAGATACCATATTATTAGTTGCATGGCAACACACAGTGCTATGCAAATATGAGAAATTTGTTTTTGTTGTAGTTAGTTAATAGAGAATTTTCATAGCAGGTATAAATAATCAAGCTGAATGCATTTGTCTGTATGTATTGTCATGTGTTGTACATTTTGTATTAATTTTTACTCAATGTCTTAGTCTAATACTATCCATGTAGAGCTCTATAAATAGTTTAAGCACCCACCATTGATTTGTAAGCGATGATGGTGCAATTTTAATTGATCATATTTTGCCATGCATCCCCAAGACATGCTTGATAATGAACCATAGGGTATTTGCATTTGATGTCTAAGCAGCCATGTTGGAGGACTTCATCAAAGTGCCAATCAATGATCAAAAAAGCATTAACTTATCATTACTTCTTTTCACTATTTGGGAGTTTCCTCCAACATGACGCCGATGCAAACACCCTTTAGCATGGTTTAATAATTACAAATATATTGATGTGTTAAATCACAGGAATCTGCATATGGAATGTTGCATTGTGGTCTATCAACTTGAACTGTTGACACATGTGAGGATCCTGCCCAAAACATGAGACCTGTTCAAGGTTTATTATATTGTTGCAACAAGCTCTTATACCTTAATACTAAAGTGCAAAGTATCGAAGTGCATAAATTTGATGAACTTCGGTACTTTGCACCTTATGATTGGGATCTTAGACTGAAGAAAGAAAGACAGATTTATTTTGCTGCCTGCAACTGCTTCCTTGCTGTTCTTATACAAAGTAGGTTCATTTGAATTGAATTGCTAGAATTGTGTTTTTAATAAAGTTGCTTTTGTTATTTTCCATTGTGGTTTTTGGTTTTAGTACAGTTGAGTAAATTTCAATTTAATGTAAGAAGTAGCTACAGTTTCTTCTCTGCTGCCTTTACCTGTGGCTCTTGCAGACTACAACAGGGAATGCGGGTCCTGGCCTTAAGGACCAGTGGAAATAATGTAGCTATACAAAGTGCATAAAAACTGCTCAGCTCCCCTTGGAAGCCTGGGGTAGATTGCCCCATTCTCCCCTCATGGACAGGCCTGGTTGAACTGCAGGCAATATTAACCAACACATAAAGCCATAAATCACTAATCCTTTGCTATACAAATGTTACAACAATTCAGTAGTTTGAATATTTTCAAATATAGACTGGAATCAAATTTGATGACGTGTTCTGTGTGTGTACATTTCACAGCTTATAAACATTTTTGCGAAACACACACTCTCTTTTGGGTCTGAGGCATGAACATCAAATTTGCCATGGCTTGGTTATGTTTGGGTGTAATTACAGAAAATGTGTTGGAATTTTTATTAAATTTACAGATAGTGCCTAGAGGAAAAAATTTGGTACCCTGACCACCTGGGTTGAGTATAGCATCATCTAGGGACTATCAATAAACACTTGAAAACACTTACATATTACAGTGCATGGTATATGTACATACCACCCCCAAATAACTATATCAACTTTGTCATTATCCATTACTAAATAAAATAACAAGAAGATATCATATCACTAGCATAAAGTTTTCTACCCAATAAGATCTTTGAACACTCTTTATTCAGTGCATCCACAACTTTACCATGTAAACTACGGTGTCTTCTACTTTGCTGCATTTTTTGTACAACAGTATTGCAAGGAATGAAAACAAAAAGCAACGTCTACTAACACTGAACAAGATGTGTTATGCACCTTAAAATACAATTTTATTATATGACATTAATGGCATCAGTGTCTGTGTGGCATCCCAAATGCTTAATACATGGTAAATTGTTTTGCCTGTCTGTGCTTAGATATCATAAATGTTGGCTGTCCAAGGAAATGGTAAACAAATACACTGTATCTTCCAAATTCATTAAAAACTTGCAGATGCACAATTGACTGCACTGAAATTTTGGCAGTCAGAACCACAGACTTGGAGATAGAGGCATTAACACATAATCTGACTCAATGGTCTGCTTTTTCTTTGTTTTTGGTTGCCGCTCATTCTGTTGTTCGTGAACAAACACCAGGAATATGATAAGCTACGTCGTTCATTTGTTCAGTTGCATAATGTGTGATCGTAATGCTACAGGCGGAAAGAAGACTTCCCATAGACATTGGTGTTAGCTGTACTCGTTGTCATCATCTTAAAGTGCTACTGAAGTGAAATTTTGGGTATCGATTTTTTTCTATAATCAAATAGTTCTATCTTTCCTGATCACTTTGGTATAATTTTTATGCATATTGAAGATATCAATAAATTTTTGCTCAAAGTTGGGTTACGCGTGCGAATTTTTACCACTGAAATATTATACGGATGTGACGTAATACAAAGGACGGAAGTCGAAGTATGAGCATTGATTTACTAGTATTTTGTTAGATTTTTAACACATATACACAATAAAATATGAGTTCTTCAAGCAGTGAAAGCGAACGCAGTTCGGATACTGAAAACTCAGATATGGCAAATGAAAATTTACTTTCAAATTCCGGCGATGAGGATACAATTGTGGCTAATTCAGTGGTAAATCCTTACGAAAATGAACCTCTTGCGAACGCAGTCGGAGAGAATTTTGTGTCGGTCGAAGAAGACGCAGATGGCTTAGAACTTCGAACATTGGAAGCGAGGTTCGAAGGAACCTTTCAGTTAGATAAGTGGTAAGTTGATAAATGTTACTAGAACTCTAGAAGAAATTAAACCATGAATTAAACATGTTATTTTGTCCTTATGTCGTGGTGCATAAATATGATAACAAACCACTTTTTTATAGGTGTGCATGTAGCTTGGGTCGTACTCAACTGCTGACAGATGCCATTGAATACCGTTGTTGTCAATAGGTTGGGCCTACTTTACATAAACTGGTATTCGATGTTAGCATTGAAAAAATTAGCTATGTTACTCTTCACGACGAGTACACGATTATGACACATGCTACAGTCTTGAAGAATGTTGGAAGAATGTTGGCTCACTTCTAAGAGACCAAGATGGAAGGTCATACAAGCGTATGACCAAGAATACATGAAAATGAGTTAGTACATTTTTGATTTCTAATTTTGTTTTGTAACGAATGATTAATATCTTGCCATGTATCTCTACTTTTTACCTTTATGTGGTTCATTATTGTGCTGTGATGCTTCACAATTTTGTTGTGTGAAGTCAAAATAATTAATCAAATAAGAACATTTTTTATAGCATAGTATATTATTTTATAACTAACTTTAAAGTTGGCCTGCTAAGAATATTTGTCAAGTAATTCTTGTGGACAATGACCTTTTGGATGTCCTTTCATTGGCTGTCCACAATTTTTGCATAAGCACATTTTTTTTGGATCTGAAGGACCTGTTGAAGCAGCTTGTTCTTCTTTGTCTAAACCTTTTGCTTGCAGTACATCTTGCTGTTGATCTATAAATAACAATTTAATTTGTTTACTTTTAGAATGCACTGGCCATACCTATTATGCATGGTAGCATGAACAACTTACATGTGGGAAACAATGGTGTTGAAGATAGTTGTTTCCTATCCAAATGCCGTTGGATTGCCTCAGTTTTGGAAATTCGATCCGAGAAAGTTTTGTTTAAGGCTTCTGGGACTTTTTCCTTATACTTCTTAAATATGTTGTCCATGGATTCCTCACAACTAAGAACCTTGACATTTTTGATTTCATTAACATAGTCTGGAAAAATGACAAGTGGTTAGATGTGTAAGTCAAGAGTACCAATGCATACATGCTAAATTTACAATATGATGGTGCTGAAGAAACAGTTCTTACTACTTCATCCCCTGATTTAAATTTTGGGTATGTCACAGAATAATATGGTGTTCCATTTTTTGTTTTTTTTGGCTGTCTGTGAAGGTTTTCATTGAAATGAAGTACTGCCAGTACGTGCCTAAACAGAACAAACCATTTATTATGTAATTTTTTTTTCTTGACTAGGAACAAGTAAAAAAGGCTTGGCAGATAGAGAACAGTGATTACAAGTTACCTGCAATATGTACCAAGCCAAGAAAAGTGGGTCATCTTTGGATGCCAACCATTTAATGTTGAATGAAAACCTTTGAGACAACTAGTTTGTGCTTCTGAAGATAGTTTTTTAACATCTTTGAGAACAGATTTTTTCAACAGAATGGAGGAAAGTCGCCGATATGTTCCTTAAAAAGAATACAATCCCATCTGAAAAGTGGTAAATAACATTTTAGACATTTTAACAATCTCAATTCTGTCTTGCTGCCTAAATGTGTGCATGCTCATACCAACTTGAAGCCATAGACGTTCATCTAGCTCTCCATGAGCACATTTAGGAAACAACTCATCTGGATGGTTTTCATGCTTGTTTGTAATGTGCCTAGCAATGGATTTCCATTTCGCAATCGTCGTCTCATGTTTAGCGATTTTGCAACTGTTGCGTTCAAGGTGAATGCAGAATCTGCGAAATGCATTGAACATAGCACAGAGTACTGCTGAGGAACGAATTTTGGCCTATGTCTCCTAACAAATTTCGTCCATTTATTCAGCCTCTCCTTGTCATTCATGGGAAACGATGTACTGCGACACCCTCTGTGTGTTGACTGTTTGTACAACTTTTCCGTTGGGCCAACCAGCAACACAATATTGTCCTCCTCGACGATTTTTGCAGAATTTTGCCTACTCGCCATATTTTAACTTGCGGTGTATCGTTACGTTTGACTAACTTAATAAAAATTATTCTCCTTATATTATGTGCGTTGTGATAATATTGCATGGGTTTTAAAACCACAGACTACGTCAAGGATGCGACACCCATATGATAAGAATGATAAGTCTAATCCAGAAGTTTATAAAAGTAGTATACATTGGATGATTGGAAATAAGCGCGTTAGTTTCTGATAACATTGCGTGTGTGTTAAAACCGCAGACTTCGTCAAGTATGCGGCACCCAGTTTATTGAGAAATATAAGTTAATTCAAGAAGTTTATAAAACTCTAATCGATTGTAAATGTTGCTTACCTATGCGTGTTTCTCATTTGTCACTAAATATACGCAATTTTGCGAAGAGAAGTTATAAAATATGTAAAATTCCAGGTGGAAATATGCTTGTTCGTATATAATTTTTATATACTAAGAGCTTTAAAATTGAACTTCCGTCCTTTATATGACGTCACGCACTCAAAGTAAAATTCGCATCAAAACAAGCAAATATGCCATGTTTGAACACAAAGTTCGATGCGTTCCCATCGATTAAATTCAGTGGGCGATAGCTCAAAATGATCAGTAAAATACAGAGAAAACGTTTGTATCGAAAAACGAAATATGAAAATTTCACTTCAGTAGCACTTTAACAAAAGATTGCTTAACTACGTCACTGCGTACGACAACTTGTTTACATATGTTTATCGAACCCAGATTCCTCACGGTCAAACACGAAGCGACCCAAACGACGAAGTAAATCTGAAACAGCGAAACTTTCTACTCTCTGCGTATCAACTGACTTTATCTTGCGAAGATCATTAACTGTAAGTTAATTCATCTTTTTAGTTTCTTAGTATTTTCGAAGAAATTCCGAGTTCAAATATGATGACTCAATATCGCATTGCGTGATGTAATACATTAAAAAATTATGTGAAATTGTTCCTTTTTAACAAAATTACAGCGCTATTTTAATGCGAGTTATCACCTTTAACTTGTTTCTGGCTTACCTAGCATTTAAGATATCTATAATGTTCACCGTGAATACTTTAATTATCTTTCGTTGTGTTGATTTGCTCGAAACACCAACGCTACATGCATGAATATGTTGTCCTTTATGGTAAGGTCTTTAAAAACTGATGTTTTGATAAACGAAAGGAGATGATATACTCCATATAAATGTTAAATGATACCAATGACAAAGCTAACAGTATTAGTAAACGATACTTAAAATCGAAACGAGCGTTTTTGTCTTGCTGTTATATTTTGATTTCATTTTATATTATGTCTGTACGCCGTTAAACGTTTAGTTCATGTTAAAGTCGTGCAAATTTGCGACAAAAGGGTTTTTTAGTAAACTAGGTTTGTGAGTTTAAAATATTAAGTATATTCCTCTTCGCTGTCGTGGCGTATTTCCGTAGAGAGAAAATTTCTTATCGTAAGTTCCTTAGTTATATGTAATGTAGTATTTTCGTGAAAGCATTTATCCTTTGTATTTTAAGCTTTTTGATTCTTATACGTAAACTTTAAGAGGCGAGTTTTATAATTTCATACCACAAAGTCTAATTCACAGGATGACGCAGTGAAAATTCTGCGGCTATTCTTATTGTTGGAAAGCATTGTTTTATAACTAAAGTTTAAACTTTCCCGCAAGATCACTCCAGATCACTAAAGCTTGTTGCAACTGTTATTTTTTAATATGATTTTAGTGTTCAAGTACATTAGTTGTGAATTGTGTGATTGTCATCCTACGTGTTTTTCTCTTGGTACGGAAGAAATTAATTATTTCATGTTGAAATGTAAATTATCCATAAAAATGACGGAACATTTTTACTTCATTTTTGCTGACATGCATTAAAATATAAAATTATGAGTGCATGACTTGTTCTCGTTTCTTGTAGGCTTATTGGAATGAAGCGGCAATTTTCTTGTATGAAAATGCCTTTAGTAGAGCGTAGTTTAAATTAATTTTATGTTCAAATAAAATTGAGTGTTGCCTGACATTCGGAGAGCAAAATATTTTGAACAATTTTACCTCAATTTCAACTGAATTTTATTTTATCAGTATTGTTGACATAAGTTCTATTTTATTGAAATATTGTGCAAGTTTTCAAAGAGAAGAATATTTTATGTGGGGGAAATCGATTTTCCCCTTTAAACGTGTTACTTATTTTCGTTTATTAATACTGATTATTGCAAAATCTCTTTGAGGAAATGAGTTTGTTCTTCGTTTTCTTAGCGTACTTTATGTCAAAAACTTTGTGTTTATATGAAGAAAAGTTATACAACATAATATTAATGCCATGACAGCTTTATTTCATTAAGAAATATTTTAGAGTCAATGAGTAATGATAAATGGAGTAAATGCATAAGTATATTAGAGTAAATCAAACTGTGAGCTTCTCGAAGCAGTTGTTGTTGTTACTGATCTTATAAATCTGATATTTACTTCTTTTCAGATGAACCAACAACAAATTTTCATAAATGTTCCCAAACATAATCCACAACAATTGGAAATTGTAACCGTGCCAGGTATTTGTTAAAAAGAATAATGTTATATTATATGCACACTAATTCTTGCTCTAAATGAATTGAACCGTAACCAGAAAGTTATAAGGGAGGGGGTGCATATTTTAGAAAAACCAAATACTTGTGATTTTGTTTTAGAATAGAATATGGAATCCAAATAGCATAGTTTCAGAATATGACTACATGGTTTAAGACAATGTATTGTCTTTCTCTATTATTAAACATATCAATTTGTTTCTATCCAATTGAATAATAAGTTGACAGTATTCAGGCATTTTTACAAATTTTTTTTGTGAAAATGCATCCAAACAAACAAACAACAAAACAAACAACATTTATATACCGGCCAGTATTAATCCCCGCTAGGGGGGTTGACCGGTCCATGAATTTTTCCACGCCAAACGTCTCTATCTCTCGCCATATCTCTCGTTATACCCATCGCCTTCATATCACTGTTCACAGCATCCATCCATCTCTTTCTCGGTCTACCTCGTTTGCGGACTCCATCAACATTCATATGCAACGTTCTACGAATTTCAGCACTTTCTTCCCTCCTTTCCACATGCCCAAACCACCTCAAACGCTGGCGCCTTACCCAATTCTCGATACACTCAACACCAACTCTTTCTCTAATCTCTTCACTTCGAATCCTATCCATCAACGTTACACCACATCATCCTAAGCATTCTCCTTTCCGTCGACGCCAATCTTCTCAGGTCCTCTGCTTTCGGCGCCCAACACTCTGCTCCATATCCCAAAACACTTCTAACACATGCCTTATACAATTCTCCTTCTGCTTCAACGAAGTCGACTTTCCGCACAACATTCCCGACAACTCTCTAAAACTCCACCACGCTGCTTGAACTCTGTTCTCTTTCCACCCTCCACCATCATTTAGCACATCGCCCAGATATTTAAACTCCGATACACCTTCCAAACTTCACCCAGTTCAAACCCAATCGCGACCGCCCACCACTTCGTCCCGCACTCAAAATCAGTTACTCTTGTCAATGCACCACGGACACCTGAACATCTTCCATGAACCCACTTTCCATTATCAATTCCTCCATTTCCACACATCCATTTATCACTGTCCTTCACCACCACCTGCCTCGAGCATCTCATGCCCTTCGTCTTTGCCTCATTCACTTTCAGTCCCTTGACTTCTATTGCCGTTTTCCATTCTCGGTACCATTCCATGACTTTCTGCTTCGACTCCGCCACCAAGACAATGTCATCTGCATACAACAAACACCAGCATCCTTCTTTTCTTCTCACTTCCTCTGTTAGTACATCCATCACACAAGCAAACAGTAACGGCGACAAGACTGAACCTTGATGAACACCAACTTTTACCTCAAAAACACCAGATCTAACACCTTCCTCCGTAACCACCGCCTCTACACCTTCATAAGTCTCCATAACTGCCCGAACCATATTCTCTGTCACACCTTTCTTACGCAGCGCGTACTCGATCACCTTTCTCGGAACTCTATCAAACGCCTTCTCCAAATCTACAAACACCATATACAATTCTCTGTCCTTCTCCAAAAATTTCTCCTGCAGCTGTCTCAACACAAAACACGCATCCGTCGTTCCTCTCCCCGGTATGAACCCATACTGCTCTTCCCCCATCCGAACAACTTCCCTCAACCTTCTTTCAAACACTCTCTCTACTATCTTCAACGCATGCTCCATCAGCTTAATAGTCCTGTAATTCCCACATACCGTCGCTGCTCCTTTCAGCGGGACCACTAGACTCTTGTACTCGGGAGCCCCTCAAAACCTCGTTCGCTACATTACACTCTCCATAGTTCATTGTCCAACATTTCGCACCACTTCACTCGGTCCACCTTTCCATCCACTCATCATCCCATTCCCATTCCCATTCCATTCATTCTCTACATTCATCAAACGGTCACAGTACGCCCTCCACACTTCTAACCTGTCTTCCAATAACACCTTCAACTCCCCATCGTGGTTCTGCACGCCGGAGCACCAAAATATCGTTCTTCTCCTTCTTGCTCCTTCTTCTAAACAACGCTTTTCGTCCATTCTCCTGCATTTTTACGAGAAGCTCTTTCTGATGCCTTTCTATCGCTTTAGCCACCTCCTTTCGCGCCTTTTTCTTGAACCGGATGTAATCGATCCTATCTGCTTCAGTCCGCGACTTTCTCCACCTTTTAAATGCCAACTTCTTCTCGCCAATCACTTCGCTGACTCGTTGATCCCACCACCATGCCTGTTCTTCTACTACACCGCCTTTACTTCTACAACATACCTTCTCCGCTGCCGTTAAAACACCCTTCTCCAAGCACGTCCATCGCTCCTCCACCGTCTCACCCTCAACATTCAATGTCGCAAAATGCATCCAAACAATCTAATTGAAACTTTTATTCCAGTTGAGGTTCAGCTGAGAAATCAACTACCAATGGGTAATGTATCATTTGTGTTGGTGCAAAGTACCGAAGTTGACGAAATTGCTCTTCGTCTTCGTTATGGTAAGTCATTTATATATGAAAAAAATTTTCTGCAATTTAAATGGTTAACAACTAATTTAGATTACAAACTTTTAATAGCTATTTTTACCCATTTGGACAATTTTTGTGAGTAGTTATGTGCAGCAAATCACTTTGTGAGAACCAGCTGCATACATCATACTCTTCCCAAAATAGTTCATAATGATGACAAGGCCATTGTTCAGTGTTCATAAGGCATCAGGGTCTGAGTCATCTCATACAGCGTTTATAGCTACATTACAAAAGTTATGTTTCTAAGTCACTGTTCATAAACATGAGCTACAAGGACAGTTCATTAGCTACAAAGGAATCAGTTCATACAGTTTTTTTAATACATTCTACAAATGCCGTGTTTTCTTCGAAGTCATTCGTTCTGAAGACAGTTTTAGAAAAATAATGACAACCATAGAAAAACCATAACTTTACAAACAAAGTACCTACATGATAAGTCCTACAAAGTAAGCAACATTTAAATTCAAAATGCTGCTAAAATATAATTTGAGTAAGTGTTATATTGTATTGAAATGTTCTCCATTTGTAACAATGCATTAGTCATCTGATCCACTATTGCATTTATTGGAGTATTTGCTTTCAACAGCAACGTACACAATTTACATATATTATGTAGTCATCACATCTCTAAATGCAGAAAACTTTATCCATTTTCCATCTATATCTACACATAAATGTCCAGCAATGTGTCTATCTGTCTCTGTCTTTTGTGTTGTATTAAATTCTTTTGTTATCTATTATGAAGTAAAAATGCCATGTCATGGAAAACCGTGCTCTTATCTATGCAATGTACTTTGTGGGATTAATTTAATAATGTGTTATAAGATGTGAAACTGTTTCTCAATTGCATTAATTTATACTTTCATGAGAAACTGGTAAATTGTATTGGCAAATATAATATTATATTCCAATCACATGTGGTTTGAGCATCAGTTTATGATCACATATTTATTACAACTCAACTTGTTTGATAGTGACAATATACATTTTTCAAAATGCAGCTACCCACATGTACGATAAGTGCACCTGTTTTTGTTATTTTTTGATATTCATATTCATCCTGGCTAAGGCATTTTTTTACTTGCATCCAAAAAATAAAGTTGACATTGACAAACACTCTAGAATTGAAATTTTTTCCCAGTTGAAGGTAATATTCTTGTACGAGTTGTTCTACCAATGAGTATCGTAACATCCATGCTGCAAACGACCAAAGTGATTTCTGGTCAACAAACTAGCCGTGAGTTAGCATTTTAAAATGGTTGATAGCTAAATTAAATTTTAAATTGTTAATGATTGTTTAGCCATTTGTTCATTTTTTTGTGTTATCCTGTAGAAGATGCTGTGGCATCATGTCATTCAAACCAAGGGAATGAAGAAGACACTGAACCAATGGATATCGATTGATATCCATTGACTTCCTCAGCGGGCAGCTTTTTACGATACCTGCCTGTGGGCAAAAGTCATATTTATGCAATGTATTTGTGAAGATTATTTATTGGTGTATCATCTATATTGTCTTAAAAGAGTTTTTGCTATTAACATGCCATTTTTTGGGCATAGCTAATGCCAATAAGGCTATTAGTCTAATTACTTATAATCCCCATATTTAGAAATGTTCTTTTGGATGACAATTTACATTTTTACAATCTATATTTGTTTAACTCAATTATAGCACTGGCCTTTCTTTTGATAACACTTAGCCCAACCAGTGGTTTTCTCTTGCACAACAATAAATTTCAACACCCTGGAAACACTTATCAATGTTTGGTAAATTTCCCTATGTACACCATATATAGATCAAATAGAGGCAGTATTCTGACTAATAATTATATTTCTTATTTGTAATGAATACTATAAATAGTGCTCTGTAAAACAATAAAACCAGTTATTCCATTAAGTTTAATTGTGGTTGTTACTGAAAGTGTAAAGTGTAAGAGATATGACGAGTAACATGAACTCAAAAGTTGTCAAAGTTGAAGAGGGAATGTAACCATTTGGTCTTCCACAGTGGAAACAGAATCAGTATAATATGCATGGTATCCCTGATTTTCATGGACCTAAAGGAGTTCGGACATTGGAAATCAAGGAAGAGAAACCCAAGTTTGGTGTCACATTTAAAAGTGCAGCTCTAACTTTGACACTTATGGCAATGTTGGAACTTGAAAGGATAATGTAAAGGGTGATTTATATTTGTTGTTTTGTCAAAATGTTGACAGCTTGCATTTAAAGTCAGGATTTCTTAGGTATGTTATACATTACCTTACCAAGTAATAAATTATGTAATTTTGTTGCTGTGATGTTGTATGCATTGGTGTAGAGTTGAAATTTATTTGCTTGCTTATTTTATTTTGTTTCAATGTGAATATATACTCAAGTCTAATCACTTCATGAGGAGTGATCTGATGTTAAAACTTAAGTCCTTATACACTCCAGTCTAGTGTCTTTATCAGAAGTGATCTGATGTTGTAACTTGAGTCCTTATATACTGTAGTCTAATGTCTTCATCAGGCATGATCTGATGTTGAAACTTGAATTCTTATATACTCAGTCTAGTGTCAACATGAGAAGTGATCTGATGTTAAAACTTGAGTCCTTATATACTGTAGTCTAATGTCTTGATCAGGAGTGATCTGATGTTAAAACTTGAATCCTTATATACTTCAGTCTAGTGTCTTCATGAGGATATACAACTAAACACCAACTTTATTATGTTTTAGTTTAGTTCATCAGTCAAAATTCATGCCCTGTACTTGTGCGATTTAAGGTGTTAGGTTAAATTGTTAGGTTGGAAATATTTGTTAGATATTAGAAAGCAAGTCACTTAAAATTTATACAAGAACAGGATGCTGTATTTCGGGAACTTTACACGGCGGCCATGTTTCCAGCCAGGTAAATGCAGCCCAGTGAACTCGACATTTGAATAACATTATACCATTTAATACAGACACAGCAATACCATCAGGAATTCCTTTCCCTCTCGGTAAATTTCCATATGTAGCTGCCAACATTCTCTGAAAGCACCTCTCTGTTTCTTCTCAGCACCTGTCTGTATTAAATGGTATAGATTTGAGGACCACATTCAAGGATCTCGACGCACACATGTTGAATACAACTGTTCACGAAAATCATATTTTCTCATGAAGACCATATCTAAATGTTACAGCAAGGTGCGAGTATACCATTTGAGAAAAACAACTACAGAAATAGAAACTAAAGATAAAGTGCGAAAGAAACTAAATAAACTTGTCTTGTTTAAGCATCAGTAGTACTTGAAGTTACAGAAAAAATAAAATGTCAACAATCTCTCAACATAAAGAAAGAACGATAAAAAAGTAACTCACCTCATTTCTAAAGAACTGAAACGTATACTAGATCATAAATGCCTCAGAAATTGGAAAGCGAGCAGTGAACTATCTTGCATTGGCAACGATGGGACAAAATACATTCTCGCATGTACAACTTTTAAATCAACACTAACGTCGATATTTCACAGCTATAGGAATCATTTTGATGTCAAATCGATTCGCATAACCTGTTTTATCCATGACTAATACTTGAGGTTAGTAAGGAGTCCCGAAAGGTCTTAAATATTCGAAAATCCATGTTTGTAAACGTTATCCGCCATACATTTCTATAGTAGTTTGTATTTCTTGTGGTACCCGGAAGTTAATTTTGCATATATAATTAGGCTTCACTTTTGATACCTGTAGAAGCTATATCCAGTCTATTATTAGATCAGTGGCCAGATTTTTATACGTATCTATTCTGTGCTAAAAAGATGGCCACGAACGCTGCCGCCGCCAGTGGCGGTTGTGTTCGAGGAGAAATAAATTATTGTTTATCGACGAAATTAAAAAATTTTGTTCACAAATTTGTTCAAAAAAATCGTAAGTGCTGTAAATGCTGTTTGTCTAGATTGTATTTATATCTTATTATGTAGACTTATCAATTGATATAGTTTTCATTCAAACAACACCCAACATTAATAATTATGAAAGTTTTCACTTTGCTTAGAACTACAAGCCATTTATACTTTCTTTATAATACCTTAATACATTTTTTTGGGCTAGAGGTTAGTTACTTTTGAACATTTTTGAATACACACATCTCATTGTTTGTGGAGTGATTATACAAGAATAATTCATAAGAAGTATAATACTGCCAATGACTATATTGCAATATACAAAGTAGAAAAGATTAAAGTGCTACTATGACGATAATTTTGCCTCTCATTTTTTTCATAGATTAATAGTGTATGTAAAAAAATGTCTTCTGGCGAAATTTTATCGCAATATATTTAATGCTGCTCGAGTTACGTAGCGATAAAACTTGAACTGGCGCCAATAAATGGCGCCATTAAAAGGCGCCAAATTTGAATTTTCAAGAAGAAACTTTTTGTATTTGCCATTTTCGTCTGTATTGAGTTTGTTAAAAAAGACGATCGTCATTTGTCCATTTTTATGTGAAGGGAAATATTGTAAAGGCTATGAATTACATGAAACTTGTCAATTGTATGTATAATACTGGCTGCTGACATAATATGGATGTGCAGGTGTGTACGTCTGTTAACCATGATCTAGGGCCGACCTTGTATGTGTGGTTCAACTGTCAGAATCTCTTTGAGAAAATGTGTTTGTTCTTCGCTATATTTGCATACTTTATGTTAACAACTTTGTGTTTCTATGAAGAACTGTTATACAACATAACATTAATGCCATGACAGCTTTATTTCATTAAGGAATATATTAAACTCAAGGAATAATGATAAATGGAGTAAATGTATAAATATATTAAATTAAATCAAACTGTGAGCTTCTTGAGGGAGTTGTTGTAACTGATTGTATAAATCATGTTTACTTTTTTTTCAGATGAATCAAAGAATTGAACGTAATCCACATCAACTGCAAGTTGTAATCTTAATTGTGCCAGGTACTTGTTAAAAAGAATGATGTTATATTATATGCACACTAATTCTTGCTCTAAATGAATTGAACCGTAACCAGAAAGTTATAAGGAGGTGTGTGTGCATATTTTAGAAAAACTAAATACTTGTGATCTTGTTTTAGATTAGAATATGGAATCCGAATTGCATAGTTGAGAATAATTCAATAATGTCCAACAAAAACGTGAAACTTTTTCTCAATAGCATTGATTTATACTTTCATGAGAAAGGTCAATAACATATAAAGTGTATTAGCAAACATAATATTATGTTCCAGACTTCCAGTCACATGTGGTTTGAGCATCAGCTTATGATCACATATTTGTTACAACTCAACTTGTTTGATAGTGACAATACACATTTTTCAAAATGCAGCTACCCACATGTACGCTAAGCATACCTATTTTTGTTATTTTTGATATTCATATTCATCCTGGCTAAGGCATTTTTTTACTTGCATCCAAAAAATAAACTTGACATTGACAAACACTCTACAATTGAATTTTTTTCCAGCTGAAGATAATCTTCTTCTACAAGTGCTTCAAACAATTTTGTTCGGTGAGTTCGCATTTTGAAATGGTTAAATTATAACTTGTTAATGATTGTTTTAGCCATTTGTTGATTTTTTTTTTGTGTTATCCTGTAGGAGACACTGTGGAATCATTTCATTTCAATCAAGGGAATGAAGCACATGATGAACCAATGGATATTGATGTTCAAACTTGAACATACACTAAACTATATCAACAATACACAGTGAAATATTTACTCATGTATGATAATTAATGTACTAGTGTGATAACATTAATTACTTTTAGTTAGACATGTAAAGTGATACTGTTTGATTTCCTGGAAATTAATTGGCTGCCTTTTATGATACCTGATAGAAGTAATATTTTTTTGCAACGTATAAAAGCACTGCAAACTGTTGAAAATTTTTAATTGTTGTATCACCTATATTGTCTTAACGGAGTTTTTGTTATCAACATCCCCTTTTTTGAGCATAGCTGATGCCAATCAGGCTAGTCCTTTAATTATTATCCCCACATTTAGAAATGTTCTTTTGGATGGCAATTTACATTTTTACCATCTATATTTCTTTAACTCAATAATAGCACTGGCCTTTTTTTTGATAACATGTAGCCCAACCAGTGGTTTTCTCTTGCAATAACAATAAATTTCGAAACCATGGTTATCTATAAAGCAGATTTCATGACACCTGTCTTTCAAAAACATTATCCATAAGTAGTTCAGACATCAGTTTTCAACATGAAGTATTAACTTTGCTGATCTTGACAACAATAATGCCTTGAAAGATCACCATTTTTAAGGTTGCCTTGGAATTTCGAATAAAGTTTAAGAAACCATACTGAATTGTCTTTTCTTGCTTTGAATAGTTTTCTTTTATTCATAAACAACTGCCTCTTTGTGCAGATTACATTTATTCAAGGAATTCTGTGCAATGAATCATGCAGTAACATAAGCAAAAGAATATATAACAAGTGCATCAATGGTTGTTTCACCATTATCTACATTTATAATAAATCATTTTTGTTACATTGATATGAACATCATCCTCAGTTCCCCAGTCCCATCTTTATCTCATAATCATCCGGCACGTCGGTACCTAATTTCTTATTTCCTGAACAAGAAGTGGATAATAGATTATCCAATTGCCTTGATCAAACTCATCTTGTTCCCCATTCTCCAGGATAGGGAGAAGTGGATTTAACCCAAAGCCTTGTCAAATGTTTTCAAACCAGATGAATCAGGACTCCGGAGTTTTACGAATTACTCAATTAGTTTGTTCAGGTACCTAGGCTGTAACGCACAATATCAAGACTGGCATTGTCTTTTACAAGTAGTGATTCAATGGCGGTGGATTATGCTTCTGGGCTGTCAGATTATCCACATAAAGGAAAGTGCGGGGCACCTGAGGTTAGTTAAATCAATAGCCTGTGATAATTTTCGTTATGTTTTTGACTGTAGTTTGAGTTCTTTTAACTGTACATTTTGTTTCATCAAGGGCTAAGGGCTCAACATATTGTCTAGTGTCTAGCATTGATTGAGTCTTTGACAACAAAACAAATGAGTCAAAATAACTCAAATGAGTAAAGAATCCAGCTCTTTCAGGAGAATGTCTTTTAGCATTCCTATATATTGAAGTTTTATCTAGTCAAATTCATTCAGATAAAAATTGAAGTAATGCTATCCTAATTTTGAAATTAGACAGCTCTAATAAAATCTTTGTGTTTCAAGTTAGATTTGCTAATTGTTTAGTAATTAGTATCGTCTGATAAAATATAATGACTAGTCATATGCTAAAAACTATCAATAACTGTGAATTAAAAAGTGTTCCAAGCTAGATGGTTTATCCTTAGATGTTGTAGAATGATGCAGGTGTAAAAAGTCTTTCAAACCGCTAGTAAATGAATTTTTTAAATTGTAATGGCCTAATCACAATTTAGTAGGCATATACATGATTGGCACAATTATATAAATGGATTTGCCTACTTTGATACAGTTTGTGTATACTACAAATTTGATCAAGCAACCAACTAATAAAAAATTTCTAATCTTTGTCAGCTTTTTGACTCCAAAGAGGAACTTGCAAGCAAAATCATAGAGCTTTCAAAGTTGATCAAGGAATGCAAACATTTGGTGTTGCATACTGGAGCAGGAATCAGTACTTCATGTGGTATCCCTGATTTTCGTGGACCTGAAGGAGTTTGGACATTGGAAGCCAAGGGAGAGAAACCCAAGTTTGACGTCACATTTAAAAGTGCTGCTCCAACTTTGACACATATGGCAATGGTGGAACTTGAAAGGGAAGGTTATTTGAAGTTTGTTGTGAGTCAAAATGTTGATGGCTTGCATTTAAAGTCAGAATTTCCAAGGTATTGTATTTAATTATAAATAATTCTTAAAACTTAGATACTGTAGTAAATTATTATATAGTTTTGCTGCTATTATATTGCTGATTGATATTGTTGCTGTACATAGGATTAAAGACTGAGTTAGTTTATTTTATCATTCTTTTAATGGTGATGCTCTAGACCTAAATACTCCTGTCTAGTGTCTTCATCAAAAGTGATCTAATGTTAAAACTTGCGTCGTGACATGCTCCAGTCTAGTGTCTTCATCAGGAGTGATCTGATGTTGAATCTTGGTTTCTAACATACTCCTGTCAAGTGTCTTCATCAGGAGTGATCTGATGTTGAAATTTGAGTTTTTATGTCTAGTGTCTTCATCAGGAGTGATCTGATGTTGAATCTTGAGTTTTTATATACTCCTGTGTAGTGTCTTCATCAGGAGTGATCTGATGTTGAAATTCGAGTTTATATATACTGTAGTCTAGTGTCTTCATCAGAAGTGATCTGATGTTGAAATTTGAGTTTATATATACTGTAGTCTAGTGTCTTCATCAGAAGTGATCTGATGTTGAAATTTGAGTTTATATATACTCTAGTCTAGTGTCTTCATCTGGAGTGATCTTATGTTAAAACTTGATCTCTTATATACTCCAGTCTAGTGTCTTTATCAGGAGTGATCTGATGTTGAAACTTGAGTTCTTATATACTCCAGTCTAGTGTCTTTATCAGGAGAGATCTGATGTTGAGACTTGAGTCTTTATATACCCCAATTCATCATCTTCATTTTTGACCAGAAAACATGACTTTAAAAAATAGCCATAACATTATTTCTCTTACAAGTGTAAGTTGGCTGAGCTCCACGGTGACATGTTTGTCCAGAAATGTGAAAACTGCCATAGAAAGTATCTCTTTGGTGATCCAGTCAAAACTGTTGGTTTAAAACGAACTGGAAAGCAGTGTTTGGGAGGAAGAAGAGGAAAATGCAGGTTATTGAACACTTCAAAATGTTATTAAGCATTTACACCCAAAAGCTAGGATATATACAGTATTTCACTTTGAAACAATTTTTTGGAACAATATCTTTAGAGAGTGATGGATCTAGGATAGGTCAGATCAGAATTAATTGTACAATTAAATTTTCATTTTGCAAATGCAGTTTTGAGTGTTTCAGTTGTAAATATTCTTCTGAAATTTGTAACCAAGAGCATTGCTAAAAAAGTCTTTAAAAATTATTAATGGACCAGGTACTACTAGGTACATCTATTGTTTTTATTTTGCCTTACCCTAGATACACAACTATCCTTAGACTTGCAAAATACCTGGTAGAATTTCAGAATATAGGTCTTACTACCTTGAACAAAGCCTGAAATGAAGGAAATATTACATGATACGGCAAAAAAATGCCATGTTTTGTTTTTCATCTGGTTCTTATGAAAAATGTGCATTTCATAATTGCAGCCATTTTATCAAGAGTGGTTATTTTAGAGGAGGCAGAGTCTGTCTTGTGCATGAAATGGGCAAGTTAAGGGATTGGGGAGTTGCCCTTCAAAATGTCATTAGCAATTTCATCATTTGCACACTTAAAAAAGAAGACATAAAATCATAGCCATCACTGCCAAGGAAATATTTTGTATTTTAGTTTAACTTGAACATGTCACAATACTCATCGTTCAAATTGGAGTATTACATTGACAGTTCTTTTCAATTCAGAGGTAAATTGCGTGATACAATATTGGATTGGGAAGATTCTCTACCAGTTGATGATCTGGCTGCATCTGAATATCATTCAAAGTAATGTATGCCATATACGAAATGATGACGTAAGTTTGTGTTATATATGACGTCATTTTTTACATGTCGCAGTTCTAAAGTTTGAATCTTAATTCTGTCATTATACACTTCGGCGTTTATTATACTTTGGCCTAAATACTGTCGTTATATATATATAAATATACATAGTTAGAAAAAAGAGACTTTTTCTCATTTTGATTTATCTGATCATTATGTTTGCATAATGCAAAATGTTGACAATTTTTTGAAAACTGATTAATTCTACCGAATTTCTCACTGACCTTTGAACTAACCGTGGTTTCATCCCTAATAGGGAGTTTTAGCAAGAGTACGACTACGAGAACGAGTACGAAATTTGACCGTGTAAGAGAATGGCACGAGGAAGTTTGTTGTCGTTGTCGCTTCGTCAAAATTTAGTTTTAGCTATAAACAACAGAACGAGCCTTTTTATTGTAAAAAACACCGACGTTTGCGAAGCAGCTACGGCTCTATTTGTCAATAATGATATCAATGACTCGGTAATACTGGTTTTGCGAGAATATAGGACTCTTTAGACTGAAAAATCTTCACTATTTTAAGTTTTATGTACGATATATTTGTACTATTTTATTGTTTGTTTACCTTTCACTTTGCGTACGAAATACATGAAAGTTTTGCAGGTCATATTTTCCTTTTTAATGTACATCTGCGCTCAAAAAGGGTTCTAAATTAAAGCCTGGATGCTCGAAAATAGTACTGTAAACTAATTTCTTACAGAATAAAGAAATATACCTACTTTCTTTGCTTAAAAAGACATCGTAGTCGCGACTACGAATTTTTTACAAAACATCGTACTCAGATTGATGACGGCTACGTGTTTTTGTTGTCGCAACAATGTTTTCGCGCTAAAATGACGTAAATCGTACTCGTAGTTGTACTCGTAAGCTCTGCTAAAACTCCCTAATATCGTCAGGTGCTCGTACCGGTCGTTTTGCTTTGAATATCGACCACAACATTGAGTCATTGTCAGTGAGAAAGTCAACTTGTTCGAGACGTTTACTGGATTTATCTTCTATTATCAAGGTAGTTATTTTGTTTTTATGATTGCTTCTCGTTCGTGTGATATTTAGATTCTGGGTGGAAACAATTTATGGTCGTAGAAAGACGCACACGGTTAAACAATCCGTGGGATTTAAGGCCTTTCGTGACCTTGTCTCAAATATCTGTTATGGATAAAACAAGTTATGTCAATCAATTTGACATCAAAATGATACCAATATCTGTAAAATATCGGCGTTCTTGTTCAACTGAAAATTGCGCGTGCAAGAATCGAATTTGCCCCATCGTTGCGAAGGCAAGATAATTCACAGCTCATTTTCCAAATTCAGGAGGCAGTTATGATCTAGAATGAGTTTCGATGCTTAAAAAATTCGTTTAGTACCTTTCTTTTATAATTCTTTAATACCTTGACATTGTTGTATGTTACTTTTGCCGTAACATCAGGAATTGTGGTAATGTGGTAAACTGCCATCTGAAGTTAAAAGCACCTTTCTGTTTTATTGCATACTTGAATAAAAATAGCTGTTGGTTTGAATCAAAGTACTCATGTCTTTTAAAGATAGGAAAACAGATTCACTTTAATAATTTTTTTCAACCAACAGCTTCTTAATAAGTAGGGCAGGTGGTTTTCTTTGGCAGCATCTGCCTATAAAATTAGCCATGTATGGTATTGCAATCACTTTAAATTCAGAAACAATGGAAAAGCTGTGTGCACAACTATAATCTTGATAATCATCACAGTATATATTTTGTCTACAGAAGTAATTTGTTTCAAACCAACAGCTATCGTTATATCAACATGAAACAAGGCAGGAGGGTGTTTTCAGCTTCTGATGGTAGTTTATTACACGGGAATACAATTTCTGTTGCTGAATCTTTGTATACAATGCAATTGATGCACATGTTATGTCAATAACAACTATACTCACTCATTGATGAAGGCCATGTCCAAATGTATTAGCAAAGCGTGGTGATTAAATTATCTCTATAAAATAAAAACGGAAATGAAAATAAGAATAAAGTGAGGAAGAAAGCTTAGTAAATTTGTCTTTTTCCTACAACAAGAGTACCCTGCTAATGAAGTCACGGCAAAAGTAACATACAACAATGTCTAGATAATAAAAAATGATAAAAGAAAGGTACAAAACGAATTGTTAAAGCATCGAAACTCATTCTAGATCATAACTGCCTCTGAACTTGGAAAATGAGCTGTGAATTATCTTGCCTTCGCAACGATGGAGAAAATTCGATTCTTGCACGCGCAATTTTCAATTGAACACGAACGCCGATATTTTGCAGATATCGGTATCATTTTGACGTCAAATTGATTAACATAACTTGTTTTATCCATGACAGATGTTTGAGATTAGTAAAAGGTCACGAAATGCCTTAAATATTCGAAAATCCTTGTATGTAAACGTTGTCCGCCATACATTTCTATAGTAATTTGTATTTCTTGTGGTACCCGGAAGTGCATTTTGCATATATAATTAGGCTTCAATTTTGCTACCTGCAGAAGCTATATCCAGTCTATTATCAGATCAGTGTATATATTGTATATTCTGTGACTACGTCACTGCGTACGACAACTTGTTTACACTTGTTTATCGAACCCAGATTATTCACGGTCAACACGAAGCGACTCTCCAAGTAAATCTGAAACAGTGAAACTTTCTACTCTCTGCGTATCAACTGACTTTATCTTGCGAAGATCATTAACTGTAAGTTAATTCATCTTGTTAGTTTGTTAGTATTTTTGAAGAAATTCCGAGTTCAAATATGATGACTCAATATCGCATTGCGTGATGTAATACGTTAATAAATTATGTGAAATTGTTCTTTTTTAACAAAATTACAGCGCTATTTTAATGCAAGTTATCACCTTTAACTTGTTTCTGGCTTACCTAGCATTTAAGATATCTATAATGTTCACCGTGAATACTTTTAATTATCTTTCGTTGTGTTGATTTGCTCGAAACACCAACGCTACATGCATGAATATGTTGTCCTTTATGGCAAGGTTGTCTTTAAAAATTGATGTTTTCATCAACGAAAGGAGATGATATACTCCATATAAATGTTAAATGATACCAATGATAAAGCTAACAGTATTAGTAAACGATACTTAAAATCGAAACCAGCGTTTTTGTCTTGCTGTTATATTTTGATTTCATTTTATATTATGTCTGTACGCCGTTAAACGTTTAGTTCATGTTAAAGTCGTGCAAATTTGCGACAAAAGGGTTTTTTAGTAAACTAGGTTTGTGAGTTTAAAATATTAAGTATATTTCTCTTCGCTGTCGTGGCGTATTTCCGTAGAGAGAAAATTTCTTATCGTAAGTTCCTTAGTTATTTGTAATGTAGTATTTTCGTGGAAGCATTTATCCTTTGTGTTTTAAACTTTTTGATTCTTATACGTAAACTTTAAGAGGCGAGTTTTATAATTTTATAGCACAAAGTCTAATTCACGGGATGACGCAGTAAAAATTCTGCGGTTATTCCTGTTGTTGGAAAGTATTGTTTTATAACTAAAGTTTAAACTTTCCCGCAAGATCACTCCATATTTTAAAGCTTGTTGCAACTGGTATTTGTTAATATTATTTAAGTACATTAGTTGAGAAGTGTGTGATTGTCATTCTACGTGTTTTTCCCTTGGTACGGAAGGTAGAAGAAATCAATTATTTCATGTTGAAATGTAAATTATCCATAAAAATGACGGAACATTTTTACTTCATTTTTGCTGACATGCATTATTAAAATATAAAATTATGAGTGTATGACTTTGTTCTCGTTTCTTGTGAGCTTATTGGAATGAAGCGGCAATTTTCTTGTATAAAAATGCCTTTAGTAGAGCGTAGTTTAAAATAATTTTATGTTCAAATAAAATTTATCTTATGTTGTCTACCATCTTGTCTGTTGAGTGTTTCCTGACGTTCGGAGAGCAACATATATTGAACAATTTTAGCGAACTGAATTTTATTTTATCAGTATTGTTGACATAAGTTCTATTTTATTGAAATATTGTGCAAGTTTTCAAAGAGAAGAATATTTTATGTGGGGGAAATCGATTTTCCCCTTTAAACGTGCTACTTAGTTTCGTTTATTAATACTGATTATTGCAAAATCTCTTTGAGGAAATGAGTTTGTTCTTCGTTTTCTTAGCGTACTTTATGTTAGCAACTTTGTGTTTCTATGAAGAACTGTTATACAACATAACATTAATGCCATGACAGCTTTATTTCATTAAGGAATATTTTAAACTCAAGGAATAATGATAAATGGAGTAAATGTATAAATATATTAAAGTAAATCAAACTGTGAGCTTCTCAAAGCAGTTGTTGTTGTTACTGATCTTATAAATCTGATGTTTACTTGTTTTCAGATGAACCAACAACAAATTTTCATAAATGTTCCCAAACGTAATCCACAAAAATTGCAAGTTGTAACTGGGCCAGGTACTTGTTAAAAAGAATGATGTAATATTATATGCACACTAATTCTTGCTCTAAATGAATTAAACCGTAAACAGAAAGTTATAAGGGAGGGGGTGCATATTTTTGAAAAACCAAATACTTGTGATTTTGTTTTAGAATAGAATATGGAATCCAAATAGCATAGTTTCAGAATATGACTACATGGTTTAAGACAATGTATTGTCTTTCTCTATTATTAAATATATCGATTTGTTTCTATCCAATTGAACAATAAGTTAACAGTATTCAGGCATTTTTACAAATTTTTTGTGAAAATGCATCCAAAAAATCTAATTGAAACTTTTATTCCAGTTGAGGTTCAGCAGAAAGATCAACTACCAACAGGTAATGTACCATTTGTGTTGGTGCAAAGTACCGAAATTGAAGACATTGCTTTTCCTCTTTGTTATGGTAAGTTATGTAGATATGAAAAAAATTTTCTGCTATTTAAATGGTTAGCAACTAATGTAGATTACAAACTTTTAATAGCTATTTTTACCCATTTGGACAATTTTTGTGAGTAGCTATGTGCAGCAAATCACTTTGTGAGAACAAGCTGCCTACATCATACTTTTCCCAAAATAGTTCATAATGATGACAAAGCCATTGTTCAGTGTTCAAAAGGCATCAGGGTCTGATTCATCTCATACAGTGTTTATAGTTACATTACAAAGGTTATGTTCCCAAGTCACTGTTCATAAACATGAGCTACAAGGACAGTTCATTAGCTACGAAGGAATCAATTCATACAGTATATTTGAATACACTCTACGAATGCCGTGTTTTCTTCAAAGTCATACATTCTGAAGACAGTTTTATATGCTATTCATACGTGTTCATTCTTCATCTTCTTGCAGTTGAATCCAGACAATACAATAAGTTACACAACATCAACAAGTAATTTTCTTTAGAACACAACTCTAGTCTCACGACTATTTAGATATGATAAGTAATCTATTACTCTGCCATAGGTAATATGAATAAACATTGTAAAAATAAAATAATGTATCTTTTATCATTAACAAAATAAAGCCTTTAAGTAAACAATATTCAAACTAACCATAGAAAAACCATAACTTAACAAACCTATATGATAAGTTCTACAAAGTAAGCAACATTTAAAATCAAAAATGCTGCTAAAATATAATTTGAGTTAGTGTTATATTGTATTGAAATGTTCTCCATTCGTAACAACGCATTAGTCATCTGATTTACTGTTGCATTTATTGGAGTATTTACTTTCAACAGCAACGTACACAATTTACATATTATATTATGTAGTCATCGTATCTCTAAATGCAGACAACCTTATCCATTTTCCATCTATGTCTACACATAAATGTCCAGCAATGTGTCTGTCTGTCTCTGTGTTTTGTGTTGTATTCAATTCTTTTGTTATCTATTATGAAGTAAAAATGCCATGCCCTTGCAAACAGTGCTCTTATCTATGCAATGTACTTTTGGGATTAATTCAAAGTCTTATATGATGTAAAACTTTTTCTCAATCGCATTAATTTATACTTTCATGAGAAACTTGTAAATTGTTTATGCAAACATAATATTATACTCCAATCACATGTGGTTTGAGCATCAGTTTATGGTCACATATTTGTTACAACTCAACTTGTTTTATTGTGACAATACACATTTTTCAAAATGCAGCTATCCACATGTACGCTAAGTGCACCTGTTTTTGTTATTTTTGATATTCATATTCATCCTGACTAAAGCATTTTTTACTTGCATCCAAGAAATAAAGTTGACATTGACAAACACTCTAGAATTGAATTTTTTTTCCAGTTGAAGGTAATATTCTTGTACGAGTTGTTGTGCCAATGACTATCTTAACATCCATGTTGCCAAGGACTGAAGTGATTTCTCGTCAACAACCTAGCCGTGAGTTAGCATTTTAAAATGGTTGATAGCTAAATTAAATTTTAAATTGTTAATGATTGTTTAGCCATTTGTTCATTTTTTTGTTTTATCCTGTAGGAGATGCTGTGGGATCAAGTCATTCACAACAAGGGAATGAAGAAGACCCTGAACCAATGGATATTGATTGATATCCATTGGTTTTTCTTATCAATTTTTGTTATTTTTTTGGGCATAGCTAATGCCAATAAGGCTAGTCGTCGTCTAATTACATGTAATGAGTGTACTATTTCTCTTACACAAAACATTTCTGTTGTTGAACAGTCTCTTTGCTATAAATGTTACTGTTTGTAGAGTCTTTGATATAGCATTTTAAGTCTAATCCAATCTTTAATTTAGCAAAGAGTTAAATATATTGGTTGAGGAATGACAAAACTTCTGTATTTTTATGACCATACTAGGGTGTGTTGGAGGGGGTTCAGCTCTCTTGTAAAAATTCAATGCCTTGTATTGCTAGTGAAATATGTATATCAGAAAGCCAGCAACATTTCAATTTACATCAGAAATCAAGCAACATTTAAATTACATCAGAAAGCCAGCAACATTTTAATATACATCAAAAGGCCAGCAACGTTTTAATATAAATCAGAAAGCCAGAAACAATTTAATATACATTAGAAAGCCATAGCAACATTTAATATACATCAGAAGGCCAGCATCAGTTGTAATACACATCAAAGAGCCCCCTCCTAGTTAAAATTATGGAAATATGCCTTTGTGTTTATATATAGACCAAAACATTTTATTAAAGTAAATTATATCTTTTACTTTGAGCTACAGAAGGGAATGTATAATTTTACAATTCATTACCAATAAAACATTGTACTCGGCAGTTTCAGCGAATATCCTCATTATAATTACTTCATTCTTAAATGATGAAATAAAAAAAACATACAACATGGAAAATCATAATAGCTTTTTGTGATTTGGTGTACTTGTTTGTTTTAGTGTCGAAGTGGCTATAAATTGAGAGGTTTGTAAATTGACCCATATTTCAGAATGTAATAAGAAATTATAATTCTCCATTGAAAACATGCTATAGCATAAGAAAACTGTTGAAAAAGCATTAACACGAACTTTTGCAGTTATAGTTGGCACTAAAATGATCCTCCACTTCAGTCAATTGAGTGAGCCTTATATCAACAATCACCATACGCAATCAAATTTCGTAATTTTGACGTAAAAGCATTTCTTTCATTTTTTTCGTATTCCTCGATTTTGGCGATATGTAATGACATTTAGTAGCCGTCAACGATCAAATATTATACACTTATCCATAACAAAACGTAATATTATCTCAAAATGCTATATCACTAGCAGTAATCGCCATTTAAACACTATCTGTAATTTCAAAACTAGGAACCAAAATGGCGGAAATTGATCAGGTGATCAATATTGTCCAATCAATGTAAGCAAAACGGAGAACAATAGATGTCCCAACTCTTACAAATAGATGGCTCTACTTTACTACACTTTTGTATTACAAAATCACAGTTTTTTCGTTTTTATTCGTTATACAAACTTTTGATTCGAGCAAAATTTTAGTGAAAGGGACAGAACAACTGGCAAAGATATTTAATCCTAAAAAGTTTGTCTTCTTGGCTTTATAATGGCAGAAAAGTGAGATGGTACAAGGTCGACCTGCATTGTTTTGAAATTATGATGCTGCTGCTTCTTAAAAAATGTACAAATATTACATAATCCTACTACTGCTACCAAAATTTCATCTGCAATGACGTTTATGGAAGATTGCTACAAATTTACTTATTTAACAACACTTTGTTATTCACATCGCTAATATCATAATAATTTCAAATTACGTCTTTATTATATCATTGAAGAAACAAAACAAATCGACATAGAAAAATAATGAGAAAGACATTTTGATGAACAATAGAAGTTGAAAACGGTATGATTAAACTCTACGAGATGTACATCAAAATATGCGAATTAAAGTACCTCTGTTGTCATAAAGCGAAGCAAAATTTTCAACCAGTTCATACGTGAACAACTTCAATATCGATGAATATGTTGACGATATGAATACCTTTGTTCTTACTTTGTTGTAAATTTGTAATTTAAGTATTCATCTTCTAAAAATGCCTCGCACGGCTGAAATTGTCCTCGTCACCTTCAACTTTCAAATTTCAATACAACTTGCCATCTTATTTTTCAGTCGTTACAAAGCGAAAAAAACAGAGCTTCAAGGTTAAAACTCTCTACCAGTTTTCCTCTAAATGTCATAAAATTTTGCGTTGATAAGAAGTTTGTAAAACGAATAAAAACGCGAAAGCTTTGATTTTGTAATACAAAAGTAAAGTAAAGTGGGACCGATACGCCCCATGAAGCCAGTAGCAAATGATCGATCTTCCGGCTTGAATTTTCGCAAGAGATGCGTTAACCCAGTCTTATATACATATCAGCGAGATTAACTGGCCAGAATGCATATATGTTAATATTATGGAGAGTTGTTTTTCGAAAATTTGACGAATGTAAATTCACTTATGGACAAAATTTTTGATGCCATCAGACAGGATATCAAGGATATGAGGTGAGAAACAGTTTTGTTGTAAAATACGTTCGTCAACTATAATTTTACGGGTTTTATGCGTAGTTTCTTGCCTTGAATTGTATGCGAAATCCATGTTTAGAACGTCTCTTACATTGAACGGCAGTTGCCCTAAGGATTTATAATTTAGGACTAATACAAAGGTAATAAATATATTTAGTGTGATTCCATTTATGTATTTTCTAGTGAAGAGTTTTTTATTTGAAAGGTCAATGGATTTGTTAAAAGCGATAAAACGACCTACTGTGCGTAAAGAACGTTCTTCAGATGAAGACGTTATTAGTATAAAATTTGGACTAAACTACTTTTATTTTTGATGCTTGGATTGGGACTTTTCATTTGCAATGTAGCTTGTCAGCATAATTGTAATTGAAAGTTTTTATTTGTAATTGTATATTGAGTTCCTGTGGCTATCGTGTCTGTCAAATTTGTATTAACTTACAAATAATGATGTTTTTTTTAATGAACAATATATGAAATCACAATTATTTAAAGAATGAAGTTATTGATAAATTGTTTCTATTAAATTAACAACTTTGTCATTATGTAAAACATATTGTCGAACTCCTACAGCTTAGCTCTTTGGTTAAACTTCACTTGTGAGTTGTGACCAACAATTGTATGTGAAAAATGATTAGAATTATGAATTTGATTCACCACATTGATCAACCAGCAGAGAGAAATTATTGCAACAAAGGGCTCGAACATTTAATTTTTGCTAAAATCCATAAACTTCATTAAAGAAATTTTTATTGTAAATAATCATGTCACAAACAGAACTTTATCTGACAAAAACCAGTTATAGTTACTCTTAATGCCATTATTTAAATCTTAATACTTTACACAGTAAGTTGTTTACCAAAAGGTGAAACACAGATACACCAGAAAACCTTTTTAAAACATTTGACAACAGGGGGAACTGTGCCAAGCCAACACCAATCTAATTCACAAAAGCATTCAGGAAGCTTTTTTATGTTCACTTCTCACATCATCAATAAGCATCTATGTCAAATATATAAATAATCTCCTAATTGAATTTAAAAAGGCAGAAATAACAAAGTTAAGTCATGTGGACCATATTACAGTATATGTTTTACAAATTGCTATTCAAGCACTCTATTGGTGGAGGCCAACATGCTGCTGCTTATGTTCCAACCAGGGGTGGATCTAGGATTTTTCAAACATCAGTCATAAAACGTCGAAGGCGCTCCGCACCTGGGGGGGTCTGAGGCATTCTCCCCTGAGAATTTTGAATTTCAGAGCCTTGAAAATGCCATTTTCAGCGTTTTAGGGCAATGCAAAATGTATTTGTGGGCATCGTTTTTGCGTAAAAAAAACACATTTTGCTTACGTTTTTTTCAAAAAAAAAAATGAAGTGAACAATACTTGAATGTTTTGCCAAATATTTAGGCTCATTATCATGCCAAATATATGGCCATTAGCATGTCTAGGAACGTAAAATTTATTTTACAATAATGCTATTCAAAAACAGATATAGTCTTTAAAAATTTCTACCAAGTTGTCAGGCATAGCCCCCCTAGAGACCCCATTCAAACCTCTATGTAATGAGTTAAGTTAGAAATTTGGTACTACAAGTGACAGTTCATAGATATAGAAAAGCTCAGACTTCAAACCATGCAAGTTTATTGTAACCCTTTACCCATCTCCACATCAGTGCCAGCAAATTCACCTTTTGAGAAAAAACTCAAAATTTTTTCTGCCAAAGGTTAAGCAAAAATTATCAGAGTGAAAATTTGCAGTTAAGGACAGCTTAATGCCATAAATGTTTATTAGGCATTTCACTAGACTATTATCTCCTGTAAGTATATGCAAGGTGTGCTATATAGCAATCACTAGTAGCATTGTATTTGCAAATACAAACAGAATGTAACCAACATGTCTTTAATTATATAATTACATGAATGTTAAAATTGGTTCATGTGTCATGCTTACTGGTTATGATAAATATCTTTTCATATGATCAAAGCTCGTTTAAATGTAAATCTGAAATAATTTAGTTTAGAAATTATAATGATCATCAGAAAAATTACCTAGTGATCATGAAAAATACTTTGCTGTTTTGCCAAATTTCAAGGTTTATCTGCATACATAGAAAGACATTTTTACTTTATAGAAAATGCTTTTCATACATCAATAGCCCTTTGGAATTTATGGCAAACAATCTGGTATGAGCCATAGATTAACACACCTTTACATCTCTACATGAGGTGTTCAGTTAGAAAAGGGACAATATGTGACATGGGACAACATTTCATGTATGTGTAATACCATTTCAGTCAAATTGTCAAAATAAAAAGCTTCATGGATCAGAAGACTCAAAATCACAGGTTATAGTAAACAGCTTCTCATGTAATCAATGTTAGTTTTCTCAAATCTTAAACAATATGTAGTATAACTGTCCAATGATTGAATGATCAATGATCATAAACTGAAAAGCCCCAAACATTTGTTTATGATAAAGTAAATAATAGTATGGCGCCTTATGGCTACAGATTTTTTGTCCATTGAAATATATTTGCAGGAATGTAGGATTTCGCTGCCATATAACGGCCACGATTCCCCAAGCACTAAAGAAATCATAGCTAAAAGTCCTTCGTCAACAACAATTTTAGAAGCATCAATCTGCTTACCATACGCCATATTGACATAAATCGCATCACACACTCGCATAATTGACTTTGATATATTACATTCATGCATACACTTCACTTGTCCTTTACTTACGATTTTGGATGTAAATTTCTGCTGATAAAACTCAAAACAATGTTGGCTTTCTTTTGAACATCAATGACTGAAATGTCGCTCGCGAGATCGTCTTTGCCAAGCATTTAAAATTTATCCATAAATTTTTCACCCTCTTGAAAAAATTCACAGTTTGGACAGCAGCATTCATGTCAATATATGAATTTGTAAAAGATTTCCATAAATTCCATCTGATTGTAGTTTAGTTTCTATCATGCTTATAAAATTACTATGAAACGATCAAACATTCAATTCAGACAGTGAGCTTGACTATGTTAGTTCAGTTGGCTATCAGTCGAAATCCGTCAAACCAATCACAATAAAGCAAAAATTCAAATGAACCAATTGTAAGATAGCAATTGGACTCCCTTATACGTCCGGCCACCCTTATTATCAGTCGAGACCATTCCAGACTGTCCACTGATCTGGCTATTGACCAATAAAATAAGCGTTTTTGACGTTCATAGACTCCTTTATCCGTCGAACCAGTCAAGCCACCCCGCTTATCAGTCGGTTATTCCAGGTCAATTAAAATTCAACTGATCTGGTTACCAACGAGATATTCATTGGATTAGTCATTAGTTTTCAATAATAAATAAAGCTGGATTTTTATCACGAAGTAAATGCGATAAGAAAGTAAGAATAATTAATGAATTTTTAATTAATATGAATAGGTAATTTTTGAATTTCAAACATCAGTCGCGCGACGGATTTGACATACTCTAGATCCGCCCCTGCCATGAAGCTTTTTATTTTGACAATTTGACTGGAATGGTATTAAACCTTTGTATTTCACATATATGAAATGTTGTCCCATGTCACATATTGTCCCCTTTTCTAACTGCATACCTCATGTAGAGATGTAAAGGTGTGTTAATCTACGGCTCATACTAGATTGACACGATGTAAAGGTGTGTTAATCTACGGCTCATACTAGATGGGGACGGGGCGGGTGGCTGAATGGTTAATTGCGTGAGCTTTAAGCCAGACGGCGCGGGTTCACTCCCGGCTCGTGGCACATCTGGCAATGTGTCTGAAAACCTAGCCCGGGTTGACCAAAGCCATGTGAGGGAAATTTGGTAGAGGAAACTATGTCCTCGATGGACTGTATCTGCATCTGCAATGTTGCAGCCTTGTCACCCTGTGTCACGCTGATATCAGCGTTGTAGTTGCGTGAAGGGTACGGAGTGATTGTAGTCTGATCAGCTGCCTTCACTATAATTTCAGTGACCAGGATGTTCCATTTTGTGTGTGGAACCCTCATACGTCGAAAACGACGGAGTCCATTTACTTACTAGATTGTTTGCCATAAATTCCAAAGGGCTATTGATGTATGAAAAGCATTTTCTATAAAGTAAAAATGTCTTCCTATGTATGCAGATAAACCTTGAAATTTGGCAAAACAGCAAAGTATTTTTCATGATCACTAGGTAATTTTTCTGATCATTATAATTTCTAAACTAAATTATTTCAGATCTACATTTAAACATTGAATGTGGGTCTCTGGGGGGTCTATGCCTGACAACTTGGTAGAAATTTTTAAAGACTATATCTGTTTTTCAATAGCATTATTGTAAAATAAATTTTACTTTCCTAGACATGCTAATGAGCCATATATTTGGCGTGATAATGAGCCTAAATATTTGGCAAAACATTCAAGTATTGTCCACTTCATTTTTTTTTTTTTGAAAAAAACGTAAGCAAAATGAGTTGTTTTTACGCAAAAACGATGCCCACAAAATACATTTTGTAATGCTCTAAAAGGCAGAAAATGTCATTTTTAGGCTCTGAAATTCAAAATTTCTCACGGGAGAATGCCTCAGACCCCCCCCAGGTGCGGAGGGCCTCCTATGTTTTATGACTGATGTTTGAAAAATCCTAGATCCGCCCCTGGTGATCCAATGATCGGAAGAGTAGAAAGCAATCATCAACGTAACTTTGGTAAAGAAGGGGTTCGAAGTTGGAGGGACAGTTGTGAAGCCATGAATTCTCATTGAAGGCCATAAATATGTTCGCAAATAGTGGGCCTAGGAGGCTGCCCATAGCCACACCATCAATCTGTTGATAAACTTGGCCGTTAAAGAAGAAATGACAGTTTTTGACGGAGAGGGAGAGAAGTTGAGTGAATTGTGAACGGTCAAGGCCTTGAAAAAACGTGTTATTCTCTGGCCACGATTTTAAATAAAGTCAGGATTTCCTAGGTATGCTGTACATTAACTTTCCGAGTAATAAATTATGTAATTTTGTTGCTGTGATGCTGTATGCATTGTTGGTGTAGAGTTGAAATTTTTTGTTTGCTTATTTTATTTTTGTTTCAATGTGAATATATACTCAAGTCTAATCACTTTATGAGGAGTGATTTGATGTTAAAACTTGAGTCCTTATACACTCCAGTCTAGTGCCTTCATTAGGAGTGATCTAATGTTGAAACTTGAGTTCATATATACTGTAGTCTAGTGTCTTTATCAGGAATGATCTGATGTTAAAACTTGAGTCCTTATATACTTCAGTCTAGTGCCTTCATTAGGAGTGATGTGATGTTAAAACCTGAGCACTTGTAAACTCCAGTCTTTGTGTCTTCATCATGAGTGATCTGATGTTGAAACTTGAGTCCTTATATACTTCAGTCTAGTGTCTTTATGAGGAGTGATCTGATGTTAAAACTTAAGTCCTTATATACTTCAGTCTATTGTCTTCATCAGGAATGATCTGATGTTAAAACTTGAGTCCTTATATACTGTAGTCTAGTGTCTTTATCAGGAGTGATCTAGTGTTGGAACTTGAGTCTTTATATACTCCAGTTTAGTGTCTTCATCAGGAGTTATCTAATGTTAAAACTTGAGCACTTGTATACTCCAGTCTAGTGTCTTCATCAGAAGTGACCTGATATTGAAATTTGAGTTCTTATATACTCCAGTCTAGTGTCTTCAACAGGAGTGATCTGATATAGAAACTTGAGTTCTCACATCCTCTGTACATACCTGAGATCAAATTGAAGTTGTTAACAGAATTGTTAGCAGATAGCAATAACATTTCTGTTACAGTTGCAAGTTGGATAAGCTCCATTGTAACATGTTTGTTCAGCAATCTGAAAACTGCCATAAAAAGTATTTGTTTGGTGATCCAATCAAAACTGCCTGTTGAACACAAACTGGAAAGCAGTGTTTGAGGAGAGGTAGAAGAGGAAAATGCAGGTTATTGAACTTTTAAAAATGTTACCTAGTGTTCAAACCTAAAAGCTGGGATGTACAGTATTTCCCCTTGAAGCAGGTTTTTAGAATAATGTCCTTAGACACTAGCACATCCAGGGTAGAATACAATGATTAATGAAAATTTTTTTAATTTAACAATATTTTAGGGCAAATCGTTTTGGAAGAGTTTTAGTCTTAATTATCCATTAGAAGTTGCTAACCAATTGCATTGTTTAAAAACATTTTTCAATTAAAAATGAGTTTTATAATTTATTTTGAACAACCCTAGATCCTCCACTGCCTTAGACTTGCAAATTACTAAGTAGATTGTAGTTTATGCTAGGATAAACAAAACCTTTAGATGCTAATGGCCAGGTCTAGCACTGACAAGAGACATTCTCCATGCAGCCTCAAAAAGCCTTCCAAAGAGCACTACATTTGTTGCAATCAGGCAAAGCAAATTTCCTGACTGAATTTAATTTATTCAAATAGAGAGTTAATCCTTCCCTGGATATACAACAAAACACTAACAATATTATGTTTTAGTTTAGTTTATCAGTCAAAATTCATGCACTGTACTTGTGTCTTGTGCGAATTAACCCCAAAAGACCCAAAGTATAAAAAACTTGAAAAAAAATTTGAATTTTTGAATTTTTATTGAAAATAGTGCCAAAATGTAAAGTTTAAAAAAAAATTGAAGATTTTTATTCTTAGAGCATATTTCTATGCTGTGACATATTTGTCACATTGGGCATTCAGGTGCGTGCTACTCTAATATTTTGCTGAAACATGCAACTTATAAATAACACCAATTTATGTGCTAAGCCCAAAGCTTTTAATAAAACAGCACCCATAAGATGTCTATGAACTATTTATAGTAAAAAATGGCATTATTTAATGTATGTCAAGTATCAACTGATTATTCTCCATATACAGTAACTAAGGTGTTATCGCCTGGTATGATATTCCAGATAAGTTTCTTTCCTTGTTGAAACACAGGTTAACTTTGCACTTTTTACACATAATAGAAGAGTGATTATTTTTACAAAGCTTGCAGCATTGCCGGTTTTCATTGTCCCATTCTGGCATGTGGTCGACAACAATCGTATCTCACATCATCTACCGGCACTACGGTGGGTAGCTTTCTAAATGGTGGAGATGTGGTGTCTGATGGACAACCTCTTTTCCTGCTTTTCCCAGCCTTTAACAAACCTTCTGCAACCAAGCCTTGGAATTTGCTAAGTTCCATGAATTTACCATTTTGCTGATGCTTGCGATAAACAACTCATGAGTTGACCAAGGCAACTGTCAAGGTGTGGTACCAGATGTACAAATACCATCTTCAGGACCTGATCGAATATCAATAGAGAGAGCAGAGCATGTCCATAAGATTAATCCCTTCCATGAATTTGTTATACTCATTAACTATTTTGGGTTTTGGAATGTCAACAAACTTCTCTGTTTTGCTCCATCTCTTGGCCACTCCCATTGGCTGTGCGCCACAATAACTTGAAACCAGTGTCACAGCTTTTTTGTCCGGCCATGTTAGAACAACAATTTTCTTGTTTAAGTCAACTTTCATATCATACGATCCTCGGCCTTTTGATTTTAGGTTTTTTTCAGAGACTAGTGGACATCCTTTCAATCGGTTGTTACGAATGGTCCCAGTGAATTGAATCCCTCTCTCATGAAGCTTTTCAACTAGGGGAAGTGAAGTGAAATAATTGTCTGCAAAAAGCTTATGGTTTTTACCAGAAGATAAGCTTGATGCAAGTTTCAATACAACCTCACCGCTTACACCAACATCTGAACGATCAATGGTTTCTTCTGATGCCCCTTCATAGACCACAAAGTCATGCATAAATCCACTTGTTGAAGCCCGTGCCCATAACTTGTAGCCCCATTTGTTTGGTTTATTTGGCATGTACACACAAGGCCCATGTTTACCTTTGAATGCTACTACGACCTCATCAATGGATTGGTGCTCTTCAGGGGTAACTCTTAGAAAATTTAGTCTCAGCTGATTTAGCCATTGTCGCAAATCCGATCTTTTTTTTGATCATCAGTAACTTCGTTGTTAACAAAATGAAGTGAGATAAGGAGCTTTTGGAACCGATTCCGATTCATTTCATCAGCAATAGCTGGAAACCGAGTGGCACGTTCCACGTACTGATGGAAGCTGAATCAACCCCATGAGGAAATACATGCCAATTAATTTCTCCAGCTCATTGACTGCTGTATCTACAGAAGCACCATCCTTTTCTACACTGTAAACATTTGTTTGTTCACAAATATTTTTAATCATCTCACTTGAAACAAATTGATGAAAAAATTCCAATGGTGATGGCTCTGGATCTTGCACAATGCATTCCTCACCAAGGAAAGGCACTTCTGGTGCATCAAAACCATGGCTCCTCCATCTGTATGCATACTTTTTTTGAGAGGAGCTGGAGGAATTCTTCCGCTTTTGTAATTCAACCAAAGGGACATTGTCAATATCTACACCGTCACTTTCATCACTACTATTTTCTCCTTGCTGATTATTAGTACACTCTTCAACCTCTTGGTCATTTTCAAGAAGGTATTCTTCTTCAGAATCCCCATCACTGAATTCAAACTGGCTATCACTTTTGTCAATCAACTCTAGTAGATCATTTACTGCATAAGCTTGTCGACTTCTTCGCATACTTACATATGAAACTGTCAACTGAATGAACTAAGAAAAGCTATGAAAAATACATAAATGGCACACTGACATTATTTAATTTGTAATAATAATATTTACAGAGAATACATAGATGTATAATATCTCCACAAATGATAATTTAAAAATATGGCAGTTTTTCTACTTCATTTCAATAATGCCTTTCAAGGTACTTAAATGACCAATATGACATATTTGGCAGGTCTCAATTCAAACGAATTCCACGATGAAAATTTTTTATGTTAATGCCATTATTTAACTATATTTTATACCTTAACTATAGCTTGTATATATGAAACAGCTAAAATGTCATAGCTTTACCGTTTAAGTGCAATTTCTATCGCGAACAACTCAAGGACATCATTACAATGTTCGAAGCGTGATGGCAGCCTTTTTGAAATCAAAATATATAGTGCTTGTCCCCCCCGTTTATTGAGTTTAATGATTAATATGGCGGCCAAGAGTGCCATATATGTCACAATGGGTATTAAATAGAGAAAATAAATATTTTAAAACAAGGACGTTCCCATAATAGACATGTGACATATATGTCACCCCGGGTATTTAAGGGTTAAGGTGTTAGGTTAATTTGTTAGGTTGGAAATATATGTCAGAAGCAAGGCACTTAAAATTTATACATGTACAAGATCCTATTTAAAGAAACACAGCCATTGGCTCACAGATATACATATTGTCATTCTTTTACCTTGCAGTGCTATTTATGATTTTAAAGTTCAAACAAAAACGCAAAAACTAATACTTGACATGAATCTTTCAGTTTTAGAAGTATATTCTCAAAAACATTTTGCGCTCTCTGATTGGTTGGTTTATTTTTGAAAATACAAACTCTTTCCTGATTGGCAAAACGAAATTCAGCGGTTAATTTAAAATGATCTTCTCGCCATGTATGATTCTTCGTGGAGAACAGCATGTTTTTTTTCTGTTTACTAAGAAAAATGCAGTATTGTATTCAACATTTGCCCGCAGCAAATCGGAGAATTGATTTGGAGTTTAGAAGTGTTATTGTATTTTCGTTGTCGAATCGAAAAAACAAAAGAAAAGGGTAATTATTCCTTGTGAGCTAATTTTCGTATAAAAGCGAATGTATATTGCAAAGATCCACCAACTTCAATTTCAATTTTACACAAGCTCTAATTTGCCTATACAGAAAATACGTTTTCTTGTATAGAATCATTTAAATTGAATTCAATTCTTTACTCAGTTAACAAAATCTACACTGCATCTACGCATCCTGATGCGATGTAACTTGGCTTTGGTGAAACTATTGATGGCTGAAACTTAATATTTTGAAAGTTGTGGGCAATTGTATCTTGTCATTTAGGTCTGCCATCGCTGTGGCAAAGATTAGTTGCACAAATGTTAAAATACCGTGCTATCTTTTTGTCTACATTTTTGTATAAATATAGATTTAAAATATTAGATGATAGCTTTGGTTGAACACGCAAAAAGTACAGCTAGACGAAATTAATGTTCTTGTAATCTTGTTAGTTTATCCTTCAATTATCTTTGTTGAATTTTTTTGTGATTACGTTCGTCAACTCCTGACTAAACACGCATAAAGGACAGACAGAGTCAAGAATATCTTTATTATGTCCTTTTCGTTCTTCGTTTTTCTTTGTTTTAAAAGTCTTGTGATTACATTGAACTCTCCAAAATAGGAAGGTTTCATAAAGTTCTGATTAAACACACATGAAGACAGACTTGTGTTTAATTTAATTTAATTTTATAGCATGAAGACTATCTTTATCATTTCATTATTTGTCCTATGGCACAATTATAGAATACTGCCAATGATAATCTGGCTTGATCACTATTAGGAGAGTTTTTGGGTTAGGGATAGGTAGATAAGTATGTGGAGATACTACAAATAAGGATATTCCATTATTACTCAAAACAATTTGACGAAGTTTCCCCCCCCCCGTTTTGGAATTGCATTCTCACTAAGATGAAATTTTTTTAGTAAGATACCATATTATTAGTTGCATGGCAACACAAAGTGCTATGCAAATATGAGAAATCTGGTTTTTTTGTAGTTAGTGAGTAGAGAATTTTCATAGCAGGTGTAAATAATCAGGCTGAATGCATTTGTCTGTATATATTGTCATGTGTTGTACTTTGTTGTATTAATTTTACTCAATGTCTTAGTCTAATACTATCCATGTAGAGCTCTATAAATAGTTTAAGCACACATCAATAATTTGTAAGCAATCATGGTGCTATTTTAATTGATCATATTTTGCCATGCATCCCCAAGACATGCTTGATAATGAACCATAGGCTATTTGCATTTGATGTCTAAGCAGCCATGTTGGAGGACTTCATCCAAGTGCCAATGATCAAAAAAGCATAAACTTATCATTACTTCTTTTCACTATTTGGGATTTTCCTCCAACATGACACCAATGCAAACACCCTTAAGCATGGTTTAATCACAAATACATTGATGTGTTAAATCACAGGAATCTGCATATGGAATGTTGCATTGTGGTCTATCAACTTGAACTGTTGACACCATGTGAGGATCCTGCCCAAAACATGAGACCTGTTCAAGGTTTATTATATTGTTGCAACAAGCTCTTATGCCTCGATTGTAAAGTGCAAAGTATCGAAATGCATAAACTTTATGCATTTCGGTACTTTGCACCATTATGATTGGGATCTTAGACTGAAGAAAGAAAGAAAGATTTATTTTGCTGCCTGCAACTGCTTCCTCGCTTCCGTATGATTCCTGATAGAAGTAATATTTTTTGCAAGGTATTTGTTAATGAATTGAAATGTAAATTTTGAAATTGGTTGAAAAGCAATGTAAACTGTTGAAAATTTTTAATTGTTGTATCACCTATATTGTCTTAAAAGAGTTTTTGTTATCAACATCCCCTTATTTTGGGCATAGCTAATGCCAATAAGGCTAGTTGTATGATTATAATTCGCCACATTTAGAAATGTTCTTTTGGATGGCAATTTACATTTTTACAATCTATATTTCTTTAACTCATTTATAGCACTGGCCTTTTTTTGATAACATGTAGCCCAACCAGTGGTTTTCTCTTGCACAACAATGAATTTTGAAACCATGGTTATCTATAAAGCAGATTTCATGACACCTTTCCTGCAAAAACATTATCCATAATAGTTCAGACATCAGTTTTCAACATGAAGTATTAACTTTGCTGATCTTCACAACATATAATGCCTTGAAAGATCACCATTTTTAAGGTTGCCTTGGAATTTCGAATAAAGTTTATGAAACCATACTGAATTGTCTTTTCTTGCTTTGAATAGTTTTCTTATATTCATAAACAACTGCCTCTTTGTGCAGATTACATTTATTCAAGGAATTCTGTGCAATGAATCATGCAGTAACATAAGCAAAAGAATATATAACAAGTGCATCAATGGTTGTTTCACCGTTATCTACATTTATAATAAATCATTTTTGTTACATTGATATGAACATCATCCTCAGTTCCCCAGTCCCATCTTTATCTCATAATCATCCGGCACGTCGGTACCCAATTTCTTATTTCCTGAACAAGAAGTGAATAATGGATTATTCAACTGCCTTGATCAAAATCATCTTGTTCCTTATTCTGGATAGGGAGAAGTGGATTTAACCCAAAGCCTTGATCAAATGTTTTCAATCCAGATGAATCGGGACTCCTGAGTTTACAATTACTCAATTAGTTTGTTCAGGTACGTAGGCTGTAACGCACAATATCAAGACTGGCATTGTCTTTTACAAGTAGTGATTCAATGCGTTTAATTGCAACGGGCGTTTATTGCATGCGTGGGGATACTCACTATTCATGTTTTCTTTGATCTTTCTCTCCCTCCCCTCCCCCCTTTCCAGCGTTCCCCAACAAATTTGCTATTCAAAATGGCGGTGGATTATGCTTCTGGGCTGTCAGATTATCCACATAAAGGAAAGTGCGGAGCACCTGAGGTTAGTTAAATCAATAACCTCTGATAATTTTCGTTATTTTTTTGACTGTAGTTTGAGTTCTAATTGTACATTTTCTTTCATCAAGGGCTTAGGGCTCAACATATTGTCTTGTGTGTAGCATTGATTGAGTCTTTGACAACAAAACAAATGAGTCGAAATAACTCAAATGAGTAAAGAATCCAGCTCTTTCAGGAGATTGTCTTTTAACATTCCTATATCTTGAAGTTTTACTAGTCAAATTCATTCAGACAAAAGTTGAAGTAATGCTATCCTAATTTTGATATTAGACAGCTCTAATAAAATCTTTGTGTTTTAAGTTAGATTTGCTAATTGTTTAGTAATTAGTATCGTCTGATGAAATATAATGACTAGTCATATTTTAAAAACCATCAATAACTGTGAATTAAAAAGTGTTCCAAGCTAGATGGTTTATCCTTAGATGTTGTAGAATGATGCAGGTGTAAAAAGTCTTTCAAACCGCTAGTAAATGGATTTTTAAAATTTTAATGCCCTAATAACAATTTAGTAGACATATATATGATTGGCACAATTATATTAGTGGATTTGCCTACTTTGATACAGTTTGTGTACACTACAAATTTGATCAAGCAACCAACTAATGAAAAATTTCTAATCTTTGTCAGCTTTTTGACTCCGAAGAGGAACTTGCAAGCAAAATCATAGAGCTGTCAAAGTTGATCAAGGAATGCAAACATTTGGTGTTCCATACTGGAGCAGGAATCAGTACTTCATGTGGTATCCCTGATTTTCGTGGACCTAAAGGAGTTTGGACATTGGAAGCCAAGGGAGAGAAACCCAAGTTTGACGTCACATTTAAAAGTGCTGCTCCAACTTTGACACATATGGCAATGGTGGAACTTGAAAGGGAAGGTTATTTGAAGTTTGTTGTGAGTCAAAATGTTGATGGCTTGCATTTAAAGTCAGGATTTCCAAGGTATTGTATTTAATTATAAATAATTCTTAAAACTTAGATACTGTAGTAAATTATTATATAGTTTTGCTGCTATTGTATTGTTGATTGATATTGTTGCTGTACATAGGGTTAAAGATTGAGTTAGTTTATTTTATCATTCTTTCAATGGTGAAGCTCTAGACTTAAAATACTCCAGTCTAGTGTCTTCATCAGGAGTTGTCTGATGTTCAAACTTGAGTTCTTATATACTCCAGTCTAGTGTCTTTATCAGGAGTGGTCTGATGTTGAAACTTGAGTCCTTATATACTCCAGTCTAGTGTCTTTATCAGAAGTGATCTGATGTTGAGATTTGAATCTTTATATAACCCGATTCATCATCTTCATCGTTGACCAGAAAACATGACTTTAAAAAATAGCCATAACATTATTTCTCTTACAGGTGTAAGTTGGCTGAGCTCCATGGTAATATGTTTGTCCAGAAATGTGAAAAATGCCATAGAAATTATCTCTTTGGTGATCCAGTCGAAACTGTTGGTTTAAAACGAACTGGAAAGCAGTGTTTTGGAGGAAGAAGAGGAAAATGCAGGTTATTGAACACTTCAAAATGTTATTAAGATTTTACACCCAAAAGCTAGGATATATACAGTATTTCACTGTGAAACAATTTTTTGGAACAATATCTTCAGAGAGTGATGGATCTAGGATAGGTGAGATCAGAATTGATTGTACTATTATATTTTCATTTTGCAAATGCAATTTGGAGTGTTTCAGTTGTAAATATTCTTTAGAAATTTGTAACCAAGAGCATTGCTAAAAAAAGTGTTCAAAAATTAATAATTGGCTAGGTACTACTAGGTACATCTATTGTTTTTCTTTTGCCTTACCTTAGATACACAACTGTCCTTAGACTTGCAAAATACCTGGTAGAATTTCAGAGTATAGGTCTTACTACCTTGAACAAAACCTGAAATGATGGAAATATTTCATGATGCGGCAAAAAATGCCATGTTTTATTTTTCATCTGGTTCTTATGAAAAATGTGCATTTCATAATTGTAGCCATTGTATCGAGAGTGGTTATTTTAGAGGAGGCAGAGTTTGTCTTGTGAATGAAATGGGCAAGTTAAGGGATTGGGGAGTTGCCTTCAAAATGTCATTAGCAATTTCATCATTTGCACACTTAAAAAAGAAGACATAAAATCATAGCCATCACTGCCAAGGAAAATATTTTGTATTTTACTTGAACTTGAATATGTCACAAAACTGATCTTTCTAACTGGAGTATAACATTAACAGTTCTTTTCAATTCAGAGGTAAATTGCGTGATTCAATATTGGATTGGGAAGATTCTCTACCAGTTGATGATCTGGCTTCATCTGAATATCATTCAAAGTAATGTATGCCCAAACCAAGTTAAAATCAAAACAACATATAAGAAATGATGACGTAAAGTTTGTGTTATATATGACGTCATTTTTCTCATGTCGCAGTTATAAAATTTGAATCTTAATTCTGTCATTATATACTTTGGCAGTTATTATCTTGTATAATGTGGCCTAAATATTGTCGTTATATATATATATATATATAAATATACATAGTTAGAAAAAAGAAACTTTTTCTTATTTTGATTTATCTGATCATTATGTTTGCATAATGCAAAATGTTGACGATTTTTTGAAAACCTGATCAATTTTACCGAATTTCTTGCGCTAATTTCTTTGAGGAAAAGATTTTTTGAAAATTGTCATATTAAGGATTTGATATTGTTGATTTTATTGATGTTTGTAGATGTAAATCGACCAAATTGGTGGAGTCCTGAGAAGGACTGTTGTTGTTGTTGTTGACGTCACTCTGAAGATGACTACCGCTAAGGTTGTAGAAACGTCAGTCAACATCAACAACAACAGTCCTTCTCAGGACTATACCAACCTGGACGATCTACATCTACAAACATGTAACGATACTCCCTGGTTCAAACCATTCTCTTTATTATTAATTTGTTTTGCGTGCTTACTAACCATAAATAATTTACGAATTTTAGAGTCGCAGATTTATCTGTGTGTCTTGGAACATCACTTCAAATCAACCCGAGTGGAAATTTACCCGTACAAACTGTGAAAAATGGTGGAAAACTTGTAATTATTAATTTACAAAAGACTAAACATGTACGTACATTGAAAGCTGTATGTATGATTTTTTTTCTTATTGCAACAAAACAATAGACACTTCGTAAGGGTCATTTTATTGTAAACATTTCGATACAGTAGTTCCTGCCATGTAGCTAGGTCAATGGTCAGGACCGCTAAGGGGACGGAGGGGATGATAATTGAAAGGTGGTGACATTCATGTTACTGCAATCAGTTTTATATACAGTTTGGTATTGTTTTGTAAGCTTTACTTTAGTATGTAGATTAAAATGTTGAGTATTGACTTTATGTTGAGTGTCTATTGTGTTCTGTTTTATAAAAGAAACATTTTTCTTTTTTCTGGAAAGTTTTACGTTATATGGATGATGGCAAAGTATTTCTTAGTTTTTTATCAGCACCGTTCCCTCAAAGTCACAAATAAAGTCGTTTGTTTTTCACGTGGATATTTCAACAACGTGACTCGATCCTACGGCTATCAATTTGCTATAACTACGTCCAGTGGCACAGCCAGCCCGAAAATTTAGTCCTGCAATATAAACATTCGGGTGCTCAAACATTGTAAAAGAATGGATTTCTAATGAAATGAATTGTGTCAATGATCTGAAGATTACAAACACGACCAAAACTTACAGCCCACCGAACTTAGACTGATATAAGTTATCTTGTTTCTCGTGATTTGGGATTTTTTGTTTTTTGAATTCCTTCAAATTCTAATAATTATGCTTTTTATTATGTTTCTAGGATAAGAAAGCACATTTGGTTATTCATGCGTACGTAGATCAAGTAATGGAAGGTTTAGCAAGACTTTTGAACTTCACGATACCCCCTTATACTCCTATATCACCCTTTAAGGACATCGATGCTCCACCAGTACTGTTGGATTCTTTAAAAATCGAGTTTCCAGTGAAGACTGAGATCACAAAGCAGAAACTGTTGAAAGACAAACATGTTTTATCAGTATCTTGGAGTAAACCTAAAGTTCAAAATGAATCGAAGAACTCTTTTGATGAAAAGAATGGAGAAAAATGCGTTGAACTAGAGTCGGAATTGTTGACAGTTGTACTTGAAAACGAAACGGGTGGAGTTGACAATCCGCCAAAAGCTGTCGAAACTTCAACTGTAGATACTCGAAATGAAACTGATGACATTTGTTCTTCAGTAAAACGAGAAAACGTATGTTTGAAGGAAAGAGGAGATTATTCTGCGAGTGAAACGCCGATAAAGAGGACCAAATGTAATTAAAGAGATTCATGTAATTGTTAGTAAAATTACAAGTAAACAAACATAAAACTATTAGTAGGGCCATTAATATAAAATTACTTTATATAAGGTCTTTAATTTATTTATTTATTCTAACGATTCTAAAGGCCTTTAATTTATTCTAACTGTTCGAAGGGAGCACAGAATAAAAACAACCAGTAGTCCCACTTTGCTGTGCAACTTGGTGCTGTATATTTAATTAGATTACCTGAGCGCTTCTATTGGTCAGAAAATGCAGTTTACTGGCTGCCACTATGCTTATCACTTACGTAATAAGATATGCGCTTCACAAAAAAATTCTATTGAGTGGGACTACTGTTTGTTTCTATACTGTGAAGGGTGCTTTAATGGCTACGAAGGTGTCGAAAGTATAAAAACGGACGTCGTTATTGGCTCGTATACGGTAAGTGACATTTTTTTGAAATTTCATTTAGTATACCGGAGAAAATTTTTCAAAGCATCGCTTTTTAAGACATTTATGTTGAGCAGTCGTGTTTCCACGAAGACTTCGTTTAAAACTCAGAAAGTATATTGTTACAATTAAAATGACAATAACAATAGAATATTGTTGAAAGTGTAATGCTACATATAATAGTAGTGGACCTGGGGTGTATAATATACACCTAATTACCATCAAACCACCTCAGCATTTGAGACCCTTTGAATTCGAACTGTCGCCCACGACCAGGCGAACTTACCGTGGTTTCATCCCTAATATCATCAGGTGCTCGTACCAGTCCTTTTGCTTTGAGTATCGACCACAACATTGAGTCATTGTCAGTGAGATAGTAAAACGTGTTCAAGAAGTTTGCTGGATTTATCTTCTATTATCAAGGTAGTTATTTTGTTTTTTTGATTGCTTATCGTTCGTGTGATATATAGATTCTGAGTGGAAACAATTTATGGTCGTAGAAAGACGCACACGGTTAAATAATACGTGGAATGAGCTATAGTATATGAAACTGAGTGATTTTAGTGACTTACAACATTTCTCACTTATGGAAACTGATCTAGTTCCAAGCTCAGCAATAGCTTGATGCACAAACTTTATGCTCCAGTATCCATTAAGAGTAGAGTTAAAAGTTCTTTTTGCAAGAGAATTTGCATGATGTATTCTTATATAAAATATAGTTATTAACAAGTTGCAACAAAGTTCTGCGTACTGTGTGGTTGCTATTAGGTTGAAGTACTTGTAGAGCTAGTGTGATTTGTGAGTGAAAAGTATTTACCATCATCATGTAAATTTGTGGCATAGTTAATTTCTCCTAAAATTGATAACATGGTTGTACTTTAAGTATAAATATAATTCTTTATCCATGGCCATATTTAAAGTTTTATTTTGGGCAATTATATTTATACTTAGAATTTGCTTTCCGCCTGGCAGATCCATTGTCACAATGGTTGTATTTTGGATCAATAGAAATTCTTTCATTGTTCATAACAGGATCCAATCAAGATGATCAACGATATGCAGTTAGCTGTGTTTTCAAACTTTCTTGGTATCATCCTGTTTTTGCTTGTTGTACTGTATCATTATGTTGCTGTTACAAAACCCAAAAAAGAATGATGGTGAGTTTGTTTTGATGGTAGTTTAATGTTTGTTGAAGTATTCTTGACTGAGACAATTAGTGGCGAAAAGAAACAAAATTTGTACTCTTACAATGCAAATCTTATATCAAAATTATTAAGTTCTTTTGGAAATTAATTCCATTTGTTGTTTTTCCACTGAATGAATGAAAAATATCTGCATTACAAGGATAAAAAACGGGCTGGTTTTTACTGCATGAGCTCAAGCCTTGAGATCTGCTAAGTAGTGCAGTTTCACTTCCAAGTATTAAGCAGGAATTATATAATGCGACAAAACACTGGGCACTTGGGCGCATTTGTGCCCCTAAGTCTGCCACTAGGTTGCTCAGCCTTCCACCCTTAAGGTCTTGGTGTAACCTAACACATTCTGCAGTCTGGGCCTTGAAATTTTTTACTCCTTTGTTTGCAGAGTTGAAGAGAATTTAGTGGTCTGAAAGACTTACTGGCGAAGAGAAGGACAAAAATTTGTAAAAAGTAAAGCTTTTTGAATAAATGAATTAGTTTGATATTGATTTTCTGTTTGTCTTCAAGCTTGCAAAATACATCACGTGAATTTTAAATTTTTAAACAAGAAAAAGTTTTGAAAAATTTATCATTAAATTATTGCTTAAAGTATGTATGTTTAGTGGATTAAATGAAGCTGCAAAGGCCAAGTTGGGCAGCACGTTTCTTCATGCTATGTAAATTCTTGGTGCTCACTCCCTATAAAAATGCACAGATGTCAACTTCCTTTAAAATCTAGACATAAAGATAGAAATAAAAGGTAGACATAAAGGTAGACATTAAGATAGACATAAAGGTCAATATAAAGGTAGACATTAAGGTAGGCATTAAGGTAGACATTAAGGGTAGACATAAAGGTAGACATAAAGGTCAATATAAAGGTAGACAAAAAGGTAGACATAAAGGTAGACATTAAGATAGACATTAAGGTGGACACAAAAGTAGACATAAAGGTAAACATAAAGATAGACATAAAAGTAAGCATAAAGGTAGACATAAAGGTAGATGTAAAGGTACACATAAAAGTAGACATAAAGGTAAATATAAAGATAGACATAAAAGTAAGCATAAACTACATTTCTAAAAGAATACATGAACGACAATTCAAACACGACGACATGAACTTGGTCATTGCGAAAGTCATAATTCTTTTAAAATTTTTTTGCTTATGAATTTTTGAAAAAAATAATATAACTTAAGAATTTGGTAGTATTCAATAGATTTGAATGGTCAAGTGGTCAAACATGCAGTCATCTAACATTGTGATGGTAGGTTCAAATCCTAGTTGGGTCAGCAAAAATTAATGCAGAGAGTTAAGTTGGGTGCAATTTCTAAGTGTACTTCTTCAACACCTTATTATCGACGAAGTAAGGTGTTGAAGAAGTATAATGTGCATTAAGTACGGTGTTGACTCAGTAGGCTAATGTTTACTATTGTATCCTTTTTAGTTTTCTTATAATGTAATCGATCACACATGTAATCAATTACACGATCACACATGTAATTGGTTACACGATTACACATGTAATTCATTCACGTGCAATAGTCCAGGCACATAACTCCAAAGACTATAGTCCATGATTTTTCACGCCAAAGACTATAGTCCATGATTTTTCACGCCAAAGACTATAGTCCATGATATTTCACGCCAAAGACTATAGTCCATGATATTTCACGCCAAAGACTATAGTCCATGATTTTTCACGCCAAAGACTTTAGTCCATGATTTTTCACGCTAAAGACTTTAGTCCGTGATTTTTCACGCCAAAGACTTTAGTCCATGATTTTTCATGTCAAAGACTATAGTCTATGATTTTTCACGCCAAAGACTATAGTCCATGATATTTCACGCCAAAGACTATAGTCCATGATTTTTCACGCCAAAGACTATAGTCCATGATTTTTCACGCCAAAGACTTTAGTCCATGATTTTTCATGTCCAAGACTATAGTCTATGATTTTTCACGCCAAAGACTATAGTCAAAGACTATAGTAAGGAATTTCGGTGAACTCAGTCCATTCTGAGCAGCTCAGATGGGCCCTTAGGCCTTGGCAACCAATGCTTGCGTCGGTGAGATTGTGAGTGAGCCGATTTGAACTGATCTCTTTACAGGACATAAATTCAAACAATTACCATACAGTACCTCTGTTAAGAATTCTTGATTTTTTTTGGTTACCATAGTCAGGTGAGATTGTGAACTATTGTTGCCCCAACGAAGTAAAATAATTTGTAATACAACCTTGTCTTTTAATAGTTTCAACTCAGACTGTTCACTTATGTAAGTTTATCCAAATTCAGTCAAAGCTGATGATCATTGATCAGTCAATGGCTTATCATCATACCCTGGAGGTCGATACACGACAACCACCGAAACAAAGATCGCTTTCGATAAAAAACCCCAGCCAACTAATAAATTATGTTTTAGTCTTTTGTACTTCACCGATTCTACTCTGACGTTCACAACTATTAGATATCTGACATGAATGGCATACTCACATAATTACGAATAAATAATGTAAATGTATGTAAATTCACTTTCATCATTTCTATAGAAATTTCAATACTGATTGGTTGAAAGCCGGTTGGGCAGTCAATGTATTCATTAGAAGCGACTACATTCAACGCAAAAGTTTTGAAAAATAATATATTTCTATGATAGTGGATGTATTCACATAACATTATTCTGAAAAAAATGTCGTGATTCAAAATGAAATATTCTGTAAATTCGAAGAGGAAAAGAAATTAGTCTTGCTCTTGCTGTTAAAAAAAAACAACAAGACAGTTGAACTCTCTACAGCTTCCAACGTTAATAAAGCCGTACTATGAGACTAGGAAAACGCTTTTCTAGGAAATGAACCAAACTTAGAAAATCTTGTCACTTTTTCTATAGATACACGCGACATTATGCTAACGTTTTCTCGCCTATTCCTGTACTCGCTTTTCCGTTCTCACGGATTTACCAATTCGTAGTACGCATCATTCCTCTTGCGTTAAACACGAGCACTGCACAACAATGACTTTGGTCAAGATAATGAAACTCCGGCTGCAGTGAAGTACTTCTGAAGGCAGGCTATGGCGTCTGGTGGCAGATTGGAATTTATCATTGTCATCACCTGGGAAAAGTTATTTATAAAAAATTACAGTCGTGAAAAGTGTGTTCAGCTTATATGAAAATTTACATCTACAGAGACGGTGTCATAGGTTGGTTTAGGTAGCCAGGGTTTGAGTACCAGAGATGAATATCAGACAATAAAACCTTCTCAGGTTTCTTCAAAGAGATTCATTTTAGGCGTGCTAAGAAACAAGACTGAGACTCTCAACAATAACATAGTTATTTTTTTTTTGGGGGGGGGGGAGGAGGAGGAAGCAGAACTAGACCTCCTACCCACCCCCATCGTCCTAAAAACACTGAACATATCAAAGTTAAACTTGATTAATGGATCAACAACGTAGAACACGTTTGTTCTAAAAAAATGCAAGATAGCTATATTTTATGCTAAAGTTTTCGTGCAATATAAACAGAACAACGATACTTCTTGCTCTGAATGGAAAACGCATCGTGCCATTTGATGCTATAGCTATTGTCATCTTGGTTTTTAACAGTTCTTTTAAGAACTACTCAATTGTCATTCACTGTGACAAGTACGTTGTCCAGAGCAATATTTAAGTTTGTAATCACAACCAAGTTTTTGTTTTACGATACTTCAAAATAGAAGAGTTCTTGGTAGAGAATGGACAAGACAATTTAAAAGAAACTCCTTCTCTCGTGAAAGCATGTTTTTAAATTTAAATCAGGAATATATTAACAAGTACTTATCAACAAATTATAACGTCGAACTTTTCGTGAGCAGAACGCAGATATAGCCATAAGAAAAACAAAGGATAACAGGGATCTTAACTTTTCATCTTCTGGCGTTAATGTTTCGAAGTGTGAAAAATGCTTGACGTTTAAAACGTGTAAATTTCAAGTAACCCTTTAGAAATTGGTTTTTTGACAGTCAGTTCAGTTCAGTGAATATCGACAAGTTACACTAGCTACGTCACTCGTCACCAGTCCGTTTGAGAAGCATAGATTACCTTTCCTGGATGCGCAGTAGAGAGTTTATTCAAACACTGAGCAAGGTAAACCTTTGCATCGGGTATTGTCTTGGAGAAAGGATCGTGATCTGTAGATCCAGCAAACGCTAGTTGACAGTAAGCAGCTTGATATCCTGTAAACATTGGGCGATTGAGAAGAACGAAATCAAAGAATTGCTTGCTAAAATCTATAACTATATGTGAGACCTATACAAGAACAAAAACACTGACCAAAAGCTGACTGATATACACAAAAGCATACCTGGAGTATCTTCTACTTCAATGAAATGTTCATCGTCAGGTACGGAGCTATCCTCTGGTAACTCAAAAACGGCAAGCAAAGCGGAAAGAAGGGGACACCTAAAGATTATACAATTGCTATATATAGCTAGTAGTTATCAACAGGATATTCATTTTTATGCAACTGGTCACTTCCACCGACTAATGACTGGTAAATATTTTATACAACCACCAAAGAATGTTGTAAATGTTGCATATTAAGCAAAGAATGTTGAATAAATTTCATAGATACCAACCAATAATTGTTATACACAGTCAACATTGTCGGACACTGCGTCAAAATATTCGTTATTCCAACGGCACAAATTTTCCTTTCTGTAGAACCAGACACCTGTAAAAAAAAGATGAATTAAGGATCGCCTGTAAGTAGATCATGCAAAAACACGTCCTTTGATAAATAAATTGAAAAACGTCATGTCTTACTTTTTGTACTTCAGCTATGTATAATTTTTCCAAAACCATTCCGAACAATCTACGAAGTAAAGAGACAGAGAACATAAAAAATGAGCTTAAACAACTTAGTTCAACTTTGTCATCAGCCGAAGTCGTTAGGGAGTCGTACGAGAGAAAGTATCACACATGAAGTGAAGTGAACTGAAGTGAATATCAAACTGAAACGCTAACTACGCCGCCATCTTTGAAGCCAGTACGAAGCTTGTTTTTCTGAGTTTTTAAAAGTTCCATGACATTATTTTAAAAAATCAACGGCAATATACATAAAATACAGTACCGCAAATCGCCATGAAAAGTTAACAACACAAAATTTGGTAATCAACCTAAAAACTAGATAGAAATACATCATAACTGGCTTCAAATTAGCATTAGAGTAAGCGTTCCAGTTTATATAGAGTACATGCAGTTCACTGATGGAGTCAAGTTAAGTCAACTTTTCTTGAGAAGCGAGTTCGTTTAGTTGAGCAAAATTTTTGCGTTCGACAGGACAAGAATCACGCATTCCTTCAGCTCAAAAGATACACATTTCTTACTTCCTTCATTTATGACAATTTTTCAGCAATCTTTAGTTATGGCAAAAACGGACGAGACAGTGAAGCTTACCGCATCTCCCTCGCACTTCACAGTTTCAATGTGTGTCTTCATCAAAAGTGAATATACATAATAAAGTTTCTAAGACCTCTAACCTGTTTTGTAAGGTGTCAACAATTTCCACTAACCCAGATGCACCATATATGCTAGCGTACAAAGACAAAAATACCAAAAGACCTTCATAAATAAAAAACGAAAAAAATAACAAGCTGTATGGTATTACCTGCAAAGAATTTTTTCATATTTCATTCAATCATAGTTTTTCAATTAATAATCCCAACATATGCTAATGAGTACTTCATGTATTTGATAATCATCCAGGTAGAGTAGAGGGAAAGAAAGTTAATTATTTCTACCTTTGATATATTTTGTGGTCTTCGAGCTGCTCAATCTTTGAAATAATAGTATAAATAGCTGTTGCATGTGGTTAGCCAAGGCTGATCTGTAACAGAATGTTTATGCTAAAGTTTTCAAAAATAGTTGCTATGGTAACAGTTGCGTAGCCAGCACGATACGCAGTTGGAGAAGGGGGGGCTCGGACAAAATTCTTATATGCTCAATTATGAAGCTGTGTACACTACTGTCTGCTACCACGAACATTATTTTTCATAAACCAAACAGGAAATGACGTCAGCAAAAATGCATACATGAATACCTCCCCCAATTATCAAGCTGTGTACACTACTGTCTGCTAACACGAACATTACTTTCATAAACCAAACAGGAAATGACGTCATCTTGGCTTGAAAGTTTCCAAAAGTAAACTTAGTGAGAGAGACCTTTAATTAATGTTATTCAAGATACATAAGACTCCACGATCATTTGTTTTTGAAGCAAAGTAAACTTACTGATCAAGACTTTCAATTAGTGTGTTCAAGATATAAAATCCTTCGTGATCATTCGTCTTTGAAGCGATCAATTTCTGAAATACTCCAAGTAAACCGCTCTAAATAATAACGAAAGATGACGATGACTTGAATGAAAAAAAATCACGATAGAGGGTAAACATGGGACTATAACGATCAACAGGTGATCTTACGAGTTTATTTTTTTCAGAAACCATCGCTGGAGCTTTCTTGATGTACGCTTGAAGTAGTCTAACCATAGGTGGAATATTACCTAAAGCAAAGGATAAATAATGGAATGAAACATACATAGGGAAGTGTATGTTTTACTGTCGTCGGTGATAAAAAATACAAACTTTACCTTGTCTTTCCCAGGGTGCCGCGGATAAAAGGAATGGGAACAAGCCAAGATGACTTTCTGGTAGGGCATCTTTACGTAACTCCAATAACAATGACAGTACTTGAAACACGTAAGGAAGGAATTCTGACAAAATAAAGAAAGAAAAGATTATTATCCAAAGACTCTTAAGATACAAATGTTTTCTAGCAAAATATTAAATAAATACTATGAAACTTCTAAATTTATGACCATTGCCATATAAAACAAATATTGAGGCGAGAAAATAAATTCATGCAATTTACTGCTGACCAACGTGACGTCACATGCGTCAAGACACTAACCTGTAACATCCCGTTGTATAATCTCCGTAAAGATGGGAAACAAACCATTTTCAAATTCCCCCAACTTTTCACTGGTTGATCCAGTGTATCTATATAGACCAGTGAAAACAACAGTTGCGAGAGAAAGCTTAAGTCAAACCAATATAAGTATTTAAATACCTGAGAGCACAGGAGAGAGACTCGAATAAATAATGATTGAACTGGGGCTTGCTAGGATTCTGGAAGTGTAAAGAAATCCAAGATGACCACAATTATATACACTCTCAGCACAACTACACTTTAACCCAATCATTCCAAGCAATGTGGGAAATTTTAATTAAACACATTTTGAATAAGATATGGAATAATGACTAGTGGTGCCATGACAGTCATCGTGGTACAGATGTATTTAGCTCAAAGCATGACTTAGGTAACGGATATAATATAATTACAACACACAATTTTATCTCAGATCACTAATGAACTTTATATCAGATCGCTACAAAACATTACAACTGATAACTACTAAACGTTGTATCAGATCGCTACCAAACATTACATCATACCTCAAATGAAACCATACCAGATCACACACCAGATGACCACACACCAAATGTCACATCAGATAAAACCAAACCAAACTACATCAATCACCACCATAACATACCTATCATACCAAACTGCACTACAATATTTCAAGCCAAGGAAAACCACATCACACAATAGTATACCATACCATAGAAGGCTTTACCATAGCATACCACACCACCCTATGGCTATACTATGCCAACCATTCAAACTAGATTCAACTATATAATACCATGCTTAAAAAGACTACATGAAAACTACATAAAACTACACCAAAACTGTCTACAAAATAAACTATCTAACTAAACCTGTACTAACGTTCGAATGTCGCCATCCACCGACCGAGTTTATGTTCATTAAACTCTAAGTAAAAACAAGATATTTTTCTAAAAGAATATACTTTGACTATAAAGTGATTTTGAATAAGCTTGTCCACACATTAAAGAAAATTTCATTTCCATTGGTCAAAAAACCAGAAGGTTGGGAAAAAGACAATCTCATGCTACTAGTGTACTGATTGCGTTAGATGATCAAAGCACAAGGCCGTCCATGAAAAAGGAAAATGGGATAATATGGCTCTAGACTTGTGATCAAAAACTAAACAAGGGTCCTTAAAAAATATTGAGTTCAGCCTCAAAGACCACGTACGTAAAGTTTGAATGCTACCATGACGACATTTAAAATAATGACGTCACATAGACAGGAGAAAATTTTCCCCCATTGCCGCGATATTTCTCAAGAGGACTGGTGAAGGCTATTTGTAGATTAACATTTGATCAGAACACCAAAATCTTACGTTGGATAAAAGACACTATACCTTACTGACTGCCGCGAGTTTTGCCACCAATTGAGAGAGAAGTTGAGTCATATAAGGCGTCATATCTTCCTGCATCATGGAAAATGTTCGCATAATGGCTGCAAAGAAAAAATGTGGCACGATGAAATTCATGAGGTAAATTGTGGCACGATGAAACTCATGAGGTAAATAGTGGCACGATGAAACTCATGAGGTAAATAGTGGCACGATGAAACTCATGAGGTAAATAGTGGCACGATGAAACTCATGAGGTAAATAGTGGCACGATGAAACTCATGAGGTAAATAGTGGCACGATGAAACTCATGAGGTAAATAGTGGCACGATGAAACTCATGAGGTAAATAGTGGCACGATGAAACTCATGAGGTAAATAGTGGCACGATGAAACTCATGAGGTAAATAGTGGCACGATGAAACTCATGAGGTAAATAGTGGCACGATGAAACTCATGAGGTAAATTGTGGCACGATGAAACTCATGAGGTAAATAGTGGCACGATGAAACTCATGAGGTAAATAGTGGCACGATGAAACTCATGAGGTAAATAGTGGCACGATGAAACTCATGAGGTAAATAGTGGCACGATGAAACTCATGAGGTAAAAAGTGGCACGATGAAACTCATGAGGTAAATAGTGGCACGATGAAACTCATGAGGTAAATAGTGGCACGATGAAACTCATGAGGTAAATTGTGGCACGATGAAACTCATGAGGTAAATAGTGGCACGATGAAACTCATGAGGTAAATAGTGGCACGATGAAACTCATGAGGTAAATAGTGGCACGATGAAACTCATAAGGTAAATGTGGCACGATGAAACTCATGAGGTAAATAGTGGCACGATGAAACTCATGAGGTAAATTGTGGCACGATGAAACTCATGAGGTAAATGTGTAACGATGAAACTCATGAGGTAAATAGTGGCACGATGAAACTCATGAGGTAAATAGTGGCACGATGAAACTCATGAGGTAAATAGTGGCACGATGAAACTCATGAGGTAAAAGTGGCACGATGAAACTCATGAGGGTAAATAGTGGCACGATGAAACTCATGAGGTAAATAGTGGCACGATGAAACTCATGAGGTAAATTGTGGCACGATGAAACTCATGAGGTAAATAGTGGCACGATGAAACTCATGAGGTAAATTGTGGCACGATGAAACTCATGAGGTAAATAGTGGCTGATGAAACTCATGAGGTAAATAGTGGCACGATGAAACTCATGAGGTAAATAGTGGCACGATGAAACTCATGAGGTAAATAGTGGCACGATGAAACTCATGAGGTAAATAGTGGCACTATGAAACTCATGAGGTAAATAGTGGCACGATGAAACTCATGAGGTAAATAGTGGCACGATGGAAACTCATGAGGTAAATAGTGGCACGATGAAACTCATGAAGTAAATGGTGGCGATGAAAACCATGAGGTAAATAGTGGCACGATGAAACTCATGAGGTAAATAGTGGCACGATGAAAGCCATGAGGTAAATAGTGGCACGATGAAACTCATGAGGTAAATAGTGGCACGATGAAACTCATGAGGTAAATAGTGGCACTATGAAACTCATGAGGTAAATTGTGGCACGATGAAACTCATGAGGTAAATAGTGGCACTATGAAACTCATGAGGTAAATAGTGGCACGATGAAACTCATGAGGTAAATAGTGGCACGATGAAACTCATGAGGTAAATTGTGGCACGATGAAACTCATGAGGTAAATTGGCACGATGAAACTCATGAGGTAAATAGTGGCACGATGAAACTCATGAGGTAAATAGTGGCACGATGAAACTCATGAGGTAAATAGTGGCACTATGAAACTCATGAGGGTAAATAGTGGCACGATGAAACTCATGAGTAAATGGTGGCACTATGAAACTCATGAGGTAAATTGTGGCACGATGAAACTCATGAGGTAAATAGTGGCACTATGAAACTCATGAGGTAAATAGTGGCTGATGAAACTCATGAGGTAAATAGTGGCACGATGAAACTCATGAGGTAAATAGTGGCACTATGAAACTCATGAGGTAAATAGTGGCACGATGAAACTCATGAGGTAAATAGTGGCACGATGAAACTCATGAGGTAAATAGTGGCACGATGAAACTCATGAGGTAAATAGTGGCACGATGAAAGCCATGAGGTAAATAGTGGCACGATGAAACTCATGAGGTAAATAGTGGCACGATGAAAGCCATGAGGTAAATAGTGGCACGATGAAACTCATGAGGTAAATAGTGGCACGATGAAACCATGAGGTAAATAGTGGCACGATGAAACTCATGAGGTAAATAGTGGCACGATGAAAGCCATGAGGTAAATAGTGGCACGATGAAACTCATGAGGTAAATAGTGGCACGATGAAACTCATGAGGTAAATAGTGGCACGATGAAACTCATGAGGTAAATAGTGGCACGATGAAACTCATGAGGTAAATAGTGGCACGATGAAACTCATGAGGTAAATAGTGGCACTATGAAACTCATGAGGTAAATAGTGGCACGATGAAACTCATGAGGTAAATAGTGGCACGATGAAACTCATGAGGTAAATAGTGGCACTATGAAACTCATGAGGTAAATTGTGGCACGATGAAATTCATGAGGTAAATTGTGGCACGATAAAACTCATGAGGTAAATTGTGGCACGATGAAACTCATGAGGTAAATTGTGGCACGATAAAACTCATAAGGTAAATAGTGGCACGATAAAACTCATGAGGTAAATTGTGGCACGATGAAACTCATAAGGTAAATAGTGGCACGATAAAACTCATGAGGTAAATAGTGGCACGATGAAACTCATGAGGTAAATTGTGGCACGATGAAACTCATGAGGTAAATAGTGGCACGATGAAACTCATGAGGTAAATAGTGGCACGATGAAACTAATGAGGTAAATTGTGGCACGATGAAATTCATGAGGTAAATTGTGGCACGATAAAACTCATGAGGTAAATAGTGGCACGATGAAATTCATGAGGTAAATTGTGGCACGATGAAACTCATGAGGTAAATAGTGGCACGATGAAACTCATGAGGTAAATAGTGGCACGATGAAATAATGAGGTAAATTGTGGCACGATGAAACTCATGAGGTAAATAGTGGCACGATGAAACTCATGAGGTAAATAGTGGCACGATGAAACTCATGAGGTAAATTGTGGCACGATGAAACTCATGAGGTAAATTGTGGCACGATGAAACTCATGAGGTAAATAGTGGCACGATGAAACTCATGAGGTAAATAGTGGCACGATGAAACTCATGAGGTAAATAGTGGCACTATGAAACTCATGAGGTAAATAGTGGCACGATGAAACTCATGAGGTAAATAGTGGCACTATGAAACTCATGAGGTAAATTGTGGCACGATGAAACTCATGAGGTAAATAGTGGCATGAAACTCATGAGGGTAAATAGTGGCACGATGAAACTCATGAAGGTAAATAGTGGCACGATGAAACTCATGAGGTAAATAGTGGCACTATGAAACTCATGAGGTAAATAGTGGCACGATGAAACTCATGAGGTAAATAGTGGCACGATGAAACTCATGAGGTAAATAGTGGCGATGAAACTCATGAGGTAAATAGTGGCACGATGAAAGCCATGAGGTAAATAGTGGCACGATGAAACTCATGAGGTAAATAGTGGCACGATGAAAGCCATGAGGTAAATAGTGGCACGATGAAACTCATGAGGTAAATAGTGGCACGATGAAAGCCATGAGGTAAATGGTGGCACGATGAAACTCATGAGGTAAATAGTGGCGATGAAACCATGAGGTAAATAGTGGCACGATGAAACTCATGAGGTAAATAGTGGCACGATGAAACTCATGAGGTAAATAGTGGCACGATGAAACTCATGAGGTAAATAGTGGCACGATGAAACTCATGAGGTAAATAGTGGCACGATGAAACTCATGAGGTAAATAGTGGCACTATGAAACTCATGAGGTAAATAGTGGCACGATGAAACTCATGAGGTAAATAGTGGCACGATGAAACTCATGAGGTAAATAGTGGCACTATGAAACTCATGAGGTAAATTGTGGCACGATGAAATTCATGAGGTAAATTGTGGCACGATAAAACTCATGAGGTAAATTGTGGCACGATGAAATCATGAGGGTAGGGTGTGGCACGATAAAACTCATAAGGTAAATAGTGGCACGATAAAACTCATGAGGTAAATTGTGGCACGATGAAACTCATAAGGTAAATAGTGGCACGATAAAACTCATGAGGTAAATAGTGGCACGATGAGGCTCATGAGGTAAATTGTGGCACGATGAAACTCATGAGGTAAATAGTGGCACGATGAAACTCATGAGGTAAATAGTGGCACGATGAAACTAATGAGGTAAATTGTGGCACGATGAAATTCATGAGGTAAATTGTGGCACGATAAAACTCATGAGGTAAATAGTGGCACGATGAAATTCATGAGGTAAATTGTGGCACGATGAAACTCATGAGGTAAATAGTGGCACGATGAAACTCATGAGGTAAATAGTGGCACGATGAAACTAATGAGGTAAATTGTGGCACGATAAAACTCATGAGGTAAATTGTGGCACGATAAAACTCATGAGGTAAATTGTGGCACGATAAAACTCATAAGGTAAATAGTGGCACGATAAAACTCATGAGGTAAATTGTGGCACGATGAAACTCATAAGGTAAATAGTGGCACGATAAAACTCATGAGGTAAATTGTGGCACGATGAAACTCATGAGGTAAATAGTGGCACTATGAAACTCATGAGGTAAATGTGGCACGATAAAACTCATGAGGTAAATAGTGGCACTATGAAACTCATGAGGTAAATAGTGGCACGATGAAACTCATGAGGTAAATAGTGGCACTATGAAACTCATGAGGTAAATAGTGGCACTATGAAACTCAAGAGGTAAATAGTGGCACTATGAAACTCATGAGGTAAATAGTGGCACGATGAAACTCATAAGGTAAATAGTGGCACGATAAAACTCATGAGGTAAATTGTGGCACGATGAAACTCATGAGGTAAATAGTGGCACTATGAAACTCATGAGGTAAATAGTGGCACGATAAAACTCATGAGGTAAATAGTGGCACTATGAAACTCATGAGGTAAATAGTGGCACGATGAAACTCATGAGGTAAATAGTGGCACTATGAAACTCATGAGGTAAATAGTGGCACTATGAAACTCATGAGGTAAATAGTGGCACTATGAAACTCATGAGGTAAATAGTGGCACGATGAAACTCATAAGGTAAATAGTGGCACGATAAAACTCATGAGGTAAATTGTGGCACGATAAAACTCATGAGGTAAATTGTGGCACGATAAAACTCATGAGGTAAATTGTGGCACGATAAAACTCATAAGGTAAATAGTGGCACGATAAAACTCATGAGGTAAATTGTGGCACGATGAAACTCATGAGGTAAATAGTGGCACGATGAAACTCATAAGGTAAATAGTGGCACGATAAAACTCATGAGGTAAATTGTGGCACGATGAAACTCATGAGGTAAATTGTGGCACGATGAAACTCATGAGGTAAATTGTGGCACGATGAAACTCATGAGGTAAATTGTGGCACGATGAAACTCATGAGGTAAATTGTGGCACGATGAAACTCATAAGGTAAATAGTGGCACGATAAAACTCATGAGGTAAATTGTGGCACGATGAAACTCATGAGGTAAATAGTGGCACTATGAAACTCATGAGGTAAATTGTGGCACTATGAAACTCATGAGGTAAATAGTGGCACTATGAAACTCATGAGGTAAATAGTGGCACTATGAAACTCATGAGGTAAATTGTGGCACTATGAAACTCATGAGGTAAATAGTGGCACGATGAAACTCATGAGGTAAATAGTGCCACGATGAAACTCATAAGGTAAATAGTGGCACGATAAAACTCATGAGGTAAATAGTGGCACGATAAAACTCATGAGGTAAATAGTGGCACGATGAAACTCATAAGGTAAATAGTGGCACGATGAAACTCATGAGGTAAATAGTGGCACGATAAAACTCATAAGGTAAATAGTGGCACGATGAAACTCATGAGGTAAATAGTGGCACGATAAAACTCATGAGGTAAATAGTGGCACGATGAAACTCATAAGGTAAATAGTGGCACGATGAAACTCATAAGGTAAATAGTGGCACGATGAAACTCATAAGGTAAATAGTGGCACGATAAAACTCATAAGGTAAATAGTGGCACGATAAAACTCATGAGGTAAATAGTGGCACGATGAAACTCATGAGGTAAATAGTGGCACGATGAAACTCATAAGGTAAATAGTGGCACGATGAAACTCATAAGGTAAATAGTGGCACGATAAAACTCATGAGGTAAATAGTGGCACGATGAAACTCATAAGGTAAATAGTGGCACGATAAAACTCATGAGGTAAACAGTGGCACTATGAAACTCATGAGGTAAATAGTGGCACGATGAAACTCATGAGGTAAATTGTGGCACGATAAAACTCATAAGGTAAATAGTGGAACGATAAAACTCATGAGGTAAATTGTGGCACGATGAAATTCATAAAGGTAAATAGTGGCACGATAAAACTCATGAGGTAAATAGTGGCACGATGAAACTCATGAGGAAATTGTGGCACGATGAAACTCATGAGGTAAATAGTGGCACGATGAAACTCATGAGGTAAATTGTGGCACGATGAAACTCATGAGGTAAATAGTGGCACGATAAAACTCATGGTAAATAGTGGAACGATAAAACTCATGAGGTAAATTGGCACGATGAAATTCATTAGGTAAATAGTGGCACGATAAAACTCATGAGGTAAATTGTGGAACGATAAAACTCATGAGGTAAATTGTGGCACGATGAAATTCATAAGGTAAATAGTGGCACGATAAAACTCATGAGGTAAATAGTGGAACGATAAAACTCATGAGGTAAATTGTGGCACGATGAAATTCATAAGGTAAATAGTGGCACGATAAAACTCATGAGGTAAATAGTGGCACGATGAAACTCATGAGGTAAATTGTGGCACGATGAAACTCATGAGGTAAATAGTGGCACGATGAAACTCATGAGGTAAATTGTGGCACGATGAAACTCATGAGGTAAATAGTGGCACGATAAAACTCATAAGGTAAATAGTGGAACGATAAAACTCATGAGGTAAATTGTGGCACGATGAAATTCATTAGGTAAATAGTGGCACGATGAAACTCGTGAGGTAAATTGTGGCACGATGAAACTCATGAGGTAAATAGTTTGGAAATGTTTCATTATTAAAAGTGAAGTTGACTGTCAGACATTATTGAGCTAAATGATATCACAAGACAAATGCTCGTATTTTAAAAGCTCACCCACGCTTACATAACACTGAAGCTCGCTGAGTGCAACGTCTTTCTCTCTATTGAATGGCAAAGTCATTTCTCCATCGACGACGAATTTCCTCTTAAACATTTTAAATCAAGCAATCCATCATTGGAGTGAAAATGGCGTCTTCGAATAATTATAAGGTGATTTTAAAGCCTCACACTGTGAGTGGGAGTGAGCTTTTACAATACAGGCGCAAGAAATCAACAAGTCCGCTGAATTCACAGACGAATAAAACATCGTTCATTTAATCATGTTAAATTGAGTTCAGATTTTTTACAGTGAGTATGAATCTAAAATGATTAACTGCTACAAATGCTTAAGGCAGAAACGAACCTTTCATAATGTACTCGTTCTCTTCAGATCCACGAATTTCAAGAGCTTTAAAAAGGTTCACCAGAAGTTCCTCGAGAATTGGTTTCACTTCAGCACGACTTAATCTTTATGAGGAGTGAAAATGAAAAAATTCACTTCAGCACGACTTAATCTTTATGAGGAGTGAAAATGAAAAAATTCACTTCAGCACGACTTAATCTTTATGAGGAGTGAAAATGAAAAAATTCACTTCAGCACGACTTAATCTTTATGAGGAGTGAAAATGAAAAAATTCACTTCAGCACGACTTAATCTTTATTAGGAGTGAAAACGGAAAAAAAATCCAATAATAAAATCGATAATAAAAAAAAACTACTTTCCAACGCAAAATCTCTACACCAAGTAGTTCACAACAACATAACACCTAAATCCACACCCACACAAAACACCTCAATCCTTCTTTACCCTCAACCTACTACACCTACCCTACTACATAGTCTACATTCATTCTTTACAATGTTCAATCCAGACCCAACTACACCACTCTACTTTATTCATTCCCTGCAATGTTCAACCATAACCCTACTACACCAACCCTACTAGATTTGTTTCCTACAATGTTCACCATGACCCTACTGTACCCACCCTACTACATTACCCTCTTCCTAAATCAATGGAAAAACTTCAACATTTAAAAGACTTACGGTTGTCCACCAGCAGGATTCTTTATAGTAAAAATTCTCTCTATAGCGTAGGCAGCGTACGTGTGTACGACGACTGATTTTGCTTTGAGATAAAGAACAAGATATGGAAGTGAACCAAAGAGAACATCACGTGGAAGCTGGAGAAAAGGAAGAAGTAGAAGTATCTAATAACATGTGATTGGTTGACAATAATTTAGTTACTAATTTCTTTCATCACGTGATCAACTATCTATAATACAGCATAAAACACGTGATCAACTATCTTAACAATAGCAAAGAACATTTGATCAACTATCTTCCTATAAGCACAGTATATAGTGAATACAAAGTAGGGTCATCCCATTGAAATTTTTCGTGCAAACATATCGTACTACGCATGTGATTACCATAGTGACAGCCAGTTAAATATATTAGTCCATTGTCTGAGTAGAAACACGTACATTCATTAAACTTTATTTAAGAAATAAAAGATGTTTACTGTGTTTGCACAGGCTTATGCAAACCGGAGACCTTTGGGAGAACTCGAGAGCAGATCAGTGCAAGCCCGAGACGGAAGGTCGAGGGTTGCACATGCTCGAGAGTTCTCACAAACCTCTCCGGGGTTTGCATAAGCCTGTGCAAACACGAAAAACATCTTTTATTTCTTTTATAAAATAACAATAATGTGAAAAAGATAAATGTAAAACAAACATTTTAATTTTTCCTCTAAAATGTATTCATGATCGATTCGAAAATTCTCTTTCAATGATTGATTGTTTTGATTGATTTGATTGGTTGAGCTCAGATCAGTTTTGCACTGGCTAATGCAAACACGGCTATAGACCAATCATTGCACGCGTTTCATTGTGTTTATTTTATAATGTAACATGAAGCATCACCTTACCATATTTCGAAAAGCTGCGACATATTTCAACGCGTCTGCCTTGAGAACAGGAGTCATATCAACTAAAATAAACATCTTAGTGTGAGACACCAAAGACCATACACACAGAGAATACACTGCGCATGCTCGGTTCTTACTGTTTGCGTTCTTCAATTCCGGCAAAATTTGATTGTTGAAAAAATCTGTCAAGTTGACCAACTCGCTAGCTTGTGTTGCTCCATGCTAAACGATGAATAAAAAAATACTCAATAAACACTTAGCATACGCTTAAGTATAGACGTTGAATAGCTGGGGAATATGTAGAGCACTTGGGAATTTGTGGAGCACTTGGGAAGTTGTAGAACACGTAGGATATTTGAGGGATACCTGAGTGTAGGTACAAAAATGCAAAGAGAAGAAGAATGCGAGAGCTGAAAAGAGGTTTTCCAAAAGCCCAAAACGTACCCTACCTTAGAGGTACGTTTCTTTGTGGCCAATGACGTCACCAAATATATTGCGCAATCCTTACTTTTCCAATTAGCTGCAGGATCCTCGGCATGTAGCTAAAAAATAAAGTGTGTCTGAGTACAGTGTAACCTAAGTAAATTTGCAAGGATTAAGTCAGAGACTCAAGTTTTGAATCAATTTGTCCGTTGTGTCAGTATAAGTAAATGAAAGTTCTGAATGAGATGACTTATGGATACTTAAAGAATTAATGAAATATCAGTTACATGTTGAAGCGAGGAACTTCATGTGTTAAACAATGCAAATCCGCGCAAATCAAATGTCATTGAAATTTAAGTCACAACGATTTCTATTAGGAATAAGAAAATACGACAAAAGATTCAAAAGCAGATTCAGTGTTAGAGAGGTAGGGGGTGGTAAGGTGGTGGGGGGGTTAAGCCATTCAGAATTTTAGATCCATCAACGTGTTTCAATTACACTCACGTTGAAAACCAGAGAAACAGGTTTGTATTTATTGAACGCACAAAGCGGGCTGGGAGATATCATACCTCAAGCATGGTGACGTAATGAGAAATATCTTACCTCAAGAAGCATTGTGACGTAATGAGAAATATCTTACCTCAAGAAGCATTGTGACGTAATGAGAAATAGCTTACCTCAAGAAGCATTGTGACGTAATGAGAAATATCATACCTCGAGAAGCATTGTGACGTAATGAGAAATATCTTACCTCAAGAAGCATTGTGACGTAATGAGAAATATCTTACCTCAAGAAGCATTGTGACGTAATGAGAAATAGCTTACCTCAAGAAGCATTGTGACGTAATGAGAAATATCATACCTCGAGAAGCATTGTGACGTAATGAGAAAAAATAGCTGTGACAGGTCCTTCAAAATGTTTGCACAAGCCACGAACAAAATCACAGGCAGCACGACGACGGGTATCTACATCTAGATATAAAATGAATAATATTAAAATTTTGTGAATCGAAATCTTTTTACGATATCTGCTATGAAGAAGGTTGATTGGACAATAGAAATAACGGTCGATATCTTCTTACATGAAGTACAATGAACTATTGTCAAAAACATTTCAAACTAAAATTCTTATCATTTAATGTTATGGTCTATGCTGATAAACGTAATGATATCTTTTGATGTTACTTTATCCTAACACACTGTTCCAAAATGTTCATCATTCACTTATAGTTTCATACCTGATCCCTCAATATCCCTCCTGATGTATTCTTCGGGATTATCTTCGAACTCTTCTTCATCTGCGTCTATAACGAACGAAAAAAAACGAAACTTAAAATTAAAGGTACTTTGGATAGCAGAACACGAAAAGTGTATCTCTTAACAAGACAGTTTTCACAAAATGCACTGCACAAAAAAATAATAAAAAAAGTAAGAAACAATTAAAAAACTTGAAGATCACGCATCAAACAGATTTAACATTACTGAATAAAAACAAGTGAAATACTTTACATGATAGACACACGTGACATTCTTCACATGACTAGAAAGACACAAGTGACATACTTTAACATGAAAGCACACGTGACATACTTATCATGAAAGCACACATGACATACTTTAACATGAAAGACACACGTGACATACTTTAACAAGAAAGACACACGTGACATTCTTCACATGACAAGAAAGACACACTTGAAATAAAGTACCTCTAAACTCCATGTTGGGTACAATGACCTTTTCACAAATACTTTGTAAGTTTCCCTGATCTTCAAACAGTCCTTTATAGTGAGGTCGCTCACAGACTGACGTAAGAAACTGGATGGCATTGCTAACAAGCTACACAGGGCAACACAAAGAGACATACAGGGATTATTGTCATATACTCCAACAGAAAGACATTAATGTTGTTTTGGACTAAGAAAATAGAGGCCCAAGGGAATTTTTCAACCTTTAGTTTACTAATAGTACAAAGTAGTGGTGAAGCCAGCCCGAAAGTTTGAGGTGAAGCCAGCCCGAAAGTTTCAGGTGTAGCCAGCCCGCAAGTTTGGTTATGCTAAGTACATATTTCTGTATTCACTTATTGTAATGACAACGGTTTCTAAAGAAATGAATAATGCTGATGCTCCAAAATTTGCAGGCTGGCTACGCCATTATATAGAAAGACAAGGAATGTATACTTCGTAATTAGACCAAGAGTTATGGTCAATAAACTCAAGGACTACTCAAAGAAATAAAGTTGATCTACCACAACTAAAGAGGAAAACAAAGTCATTCTCTTTTAGACAAGTTTTCCATGAATGATCTCAGTTGTGGAAGAATTTTAAACAAAATTCTCTGTTCTCATGAAACATAAATATGAAAACAAAGTCATTCTGTTTTAGACAGGTTTTCCATGAATGATCTCAGTTGTGGAAGAATTTTAAACAAAATTCTCTGTTCTCATGAAACAGAGACGTGAATACCTCGCACCTTGCGTGGAGATAAATATTTACGTCAGGTGGTGCGTCATGTCCTTGTGATCTTACATGGTGCGCAGATACGTATTATTATAGATGAAAGACGCATAATGATTGTTCTCTGGGAAATATTAAGTGGAAGCAGCAAATAGTTGACAAATAACTACAATACTTATAATGTCCACTGCACGATTTGATTGTAAATATTGCATCGCACTGTTGTACAACACATCACACTCAACTCGTTGATTTTGAAAATGGGATGGAGTAAGAAAATTATTCACAAAAAAGTCACGTTCTACGTAGATGTAATACGTATGTTTGGGGTCTATGACACGAATGCATGAAAATGTCTCCCATTTATTTTGAATACAAAAAAAAATTCTACTTACCAAATCATACTTCACTCGATTCTCGATAGTAGTAAGTAAGTTCCATATGGCACTGACAAATCCAGGTAAATATGGCTGAATAAACACACAAACAAAAATGTCATATACGTAACGTTTTGTTTTCATGTACAGTTGTGGAACCGAGAACTTTGATCAAAAATACCTTTGATCATTGGTGGATCCAATGTACGTCAAAATAAATTATAGCTGCTCAATTTTAAATTCAAATTACATTCAGAAAAGCACTATTGGTTTTTAATTTCTAAAGAATATAATTTTGTCAATGAATTTACCCCTAAGGTGTTTAGAAATGTAAATATACACCAAAATGTGCTGCAATAATTTATTTTAACGTACTCTAGATCTGCCACTGCAGTGTGGAAGGTGTACAAGAAAAACTTTAAGAGATTACTATTCTGAAGTTTGGAGAGCTATGAAACAGTTATCGAAAGATTAAAATTTAATGCTCACCTGAAACTCCTCGTCATATTTCTGTGCGTACATGGAGACATTGTCACATATTTGAGATTTGATCAATTCAAGAGGACCAGCTTCCTCGTCGTCCTTAAAAAACATCACACCATCTATTCCACAATGCATTGAGGCAATGCAAAATACGTTGTTTATTTCTACGCTTAATTCTGAGTTGCCGTCAATATCGGTTGAATGAAAATAAGATATTAGAAATAATTTTGTCAATGAATTTACCCCTAAGGTGTTTAGAAATGTAAATATACATTTATTTCTATGTTTAAGCGTAGAAATAAACATAGAAATAAATGGTATATTTACATTTCTAAACACCTTAGGGGTAAATTCATTGTTCATTTTAACATCGGTTTTTAACATCATTCAACATACTTCACGCCAGAATTTGAAGCCAGTACTTCAACCAGTACTTCAACTAGTCCCAGTCCCGATCTTTTTACGCAAGGCCAATAAAAAGTAATCAATTCAAACGATGCGCGGAGGTAAAATTTGGCTTCATTCAAGAACAATCATGTTCACCCAGTTTGCTATCCAGTAATATTTAAACAAATGAAAAAAAAAATTACCTCAGTTCGTAACAGTTTATTATCAGTAGTGAGAATGATAAGAAAGTGCTTCATCCATGTCTCCATATTGTCTTCAAAATACTCAGGAAGATCCTTGAGAAGAGAGAAGATAAGCCAAAACATCAATACCACAATAAGGAAATTACGTACTGTCTAAAATCATAAAACAGATCCTTCAATATCCGTAGACTACCGTCATTTCATATCAACTTCGCGGTATCAACTTTCTAAGGGGACTGGGGACACGTGTCTCAACCCAAAACCATGGGGACTGGGGACACGTGTATCTCAACCCAAAACCATGGGGACTGGGGACACGTGTATCTCAACCCAAAACCATGGGGACTGGGGACACGTGTATCTCAACCCAAAACCATGGGGACTATGGCCGTGTATCTCAACCCAAAACCATGGGGACTATGGCCGTGTATCTCAACCCAAAACCATGGGGACTATGGCCGTGTATCTCAACCCAAAACCATGGGGACTATGGCCGTGTATCTCAACACAAAACCATGGGGACTATGACCGTGTATCTCAACCCAAAACCATGGGGACTATGACCGTGTATCTCAACCCAAAACCATGGGGACTATGACCGTGTATCTCAACCCAAAACCATGGGGACTATGGCCGTGTATCTCAACACAAAACCATGGGGACTATGGCCGTGTATCTCAACACAAAACCATGGGGACTATAACCGTGTATCTCAACCCAAAACCATGGGGACTATGACCGTGTATCTCAACCCAAAACCATGGGGACTATGGCCGTGTATCTCAACACAAAACCATGGGGACTATGGCCGTGTATCTCAACACAAAACCATGGGGACTATGGCCGTGTATCTCAACACAAAACCATGGGGACTATAACCGTGTATCTCAACCCAAAACCATGGGGACTATGACCGTGTATCTCAACCCAAAACCATGGGGACTATGACCGTGTATCTCAACACAAAACCATGGGGACTATGACCGTGTATCTCAACACAAATTTAATGCACTTTGTTAACCATGCATACCGTCAGACTATTACACTTTCACGGATTTTCATCTTTTTTACAGGGGTGATGCGTGGTGGCGATGGTGCTAAAAACTTAGGGGGGGCTGGTAAGGAAGTGACGTAAGATAAAGTAAAGGTCTAGACTCTAGAGTTTAAGAGCAATCTGGTAATACAACCACCAAAGGTACGTAGTGTAGAAAGTAGGAACATTGCCTAGAAAAACTCAGTTAAACTGTTCTATAAAAATTGGGGGTTTAAAATGTTTTTTAGATGGGTGAACAATTTATTCAGAGGGAGATGAAATTGATGTTGGGGGTGAAATCCCCGCACCCCCTGAAAATCCGTCCATGCTATTACACATTTAGTTGAAAATGAGTCATTTGATAGAAAATCACATAGAAAAATGTGAATTATTTTAATGAACTATGGCGCGTTTTTGCGACGTTGAATTCTTTATACTCCTTAAATCATTACACAATAACCACCAAACCTATCAAACACACACGAAAGGAAAACCTACATGTACATTAATGCTCCTTAATACTCCTCACCTGCGAATTTAAACTGTAAAATATTTTAGATATCAACGTGAGAGAACTAAAAAGTACTTTCAAAGATTCCGGATCATTACTGTGTGTATTTGCCAAGTCCATTGTCGTCTATGAAAAAAAGCATCATGTCAACGTAACAAGAAAAGTAAAGAAAACGAAAGAGGCAAATCCCCCTTCCTCCGTAGTTGTACGTTTTAGCCACTGATCTCTAAATAAGACTGGATCAAACATGAAGCACGAAAGTTGAAGGACAAAAAATTAGGAGCGCCGCCATTACTAAGGCGCCAACTTTCAAGAATAAGGAGCAAATTTTTACGAGAGTAATCAAGAATTTTCAACATTTAACTGCATGAACATAATTAAGAGATAAATCAGTTTATAGAAAAGCTAACAATACGATGAAATATGATGAAGTATGATGAAAATGCGGCGATTTTTGTCATCAGTAACTCTACTGTGATATGGAAAAACTATGGAAAATAGCCCACAACTGCATATAAATATCTAGAATTGTTGGAATCGTAGTTCAGAAGTACAAACTGATTAAATAATCTCATTTACGATCGTTGACTGATCAATCCTTTAAAACTAAAAACCTTTTTTACGACTGATTCGGAATGAAACCTGTATGCTTTTGTTTTATACGGCCGATTATTCTTTCTGACTCGCTCTACTATTGCCACAAAGGTTGTTTTTCATCTTCTGCGTTATCTTAAAGCATAATTTGACCATGTGTTGCTATGTTTTCCATAGTTTTGTTAAAAAATCTTACGATGTGTTGGTCCCTTAATACGGCGGCGGTGGCTTCAAAATTTGTTTACAACAAAATACAGTTGCTTGATTCAATCTTTTTTCGAGATCAGTGTTTTTAGGAAATAGAATCATCAAAGTTTTGGCGGGTGACATCTCTTGGTGAAAAATCTCCGTTAGTCTGCTGACCAACGTCGTTCTAAGTTGACGGTCCGCTGACCGATAATATCGTTCTCAGTTTTGAGTTATTGAGATTTTTTGTACGAACGACGACAGTCAGCAGCGAAACACCATTAAAGACAGTCTTAATTTAATAAATTACGACTTTTGTACCTGCAGCAATTCGGTCAGCGGTTCACAGAAGCCATTCAAGACAATCTTGATCTCTTCCCAAAGTTCTTGAGATTTAAATTCATAGCGATATCTTTAACGCAAAAACGTAAACAAAACGTTAATAAAGATTGGTTCATCAAATACACGGTGATGATTGGTTGATCAAATAATGGGTAATGATTGGTTGATCAAACGTAGCCTGCACCCATAAGGCATTACGGCACCGACCCATCTTCTCTTTCAAAAATACTTAAACAATTTTGCCTGTTTTCCAACATTTCCGAGTCTGTAAAGCTGTAATTATTTTTTTACTCAAAACAAGTAAAAAAAGTGTTTTGTAATATATAGTGACAGCAAAAATTTCTTCAACCAAACTTATTTTAACAAATTATGAATTCAACTCATTTACACAGTTCCATAAATGTCTCCACCCCCCCTGTTACATGTTTATTTAGCATACAGAGCTAATATTGACTCAAACCTTTTAAACAAGGAGTGCGCAGTTTTTAAAACACCATTAATGATATGAAAGTCTCCTAAAGCAAATTTTTTTACCATTTCCTAAAGAATAAAATTGAATGAGCCACATGGTGGAAAAAATTAATGTCTTAATTTGATTCATTAAATAATGCTAAAACACATGTCTAACAGGTATCCATAGATATGGAAGGGGATAATAACTGTGGTAATAATTTAACAACATTTCAGTTAACAATAGTTTGCAGAGTGAAAACTCCTTTTAGGTTTTCGATTTGAATGTCTACACCAATCATAAACTAATAAGAGTATGTAGGCCACAGGTTATGTTGTATTGGACTCTGGGATAAGAAAAGCCAGCAAGTGATGTATCCATACTTGGGATACTAGATGATTGGGAGGAATACGACATAGTAAAAACATGGTATTAACATGGATACTTGACACAAATTTCACACCCTGTCACAACTTTCAATTCTCATGATAAATCCACAAATCCTCAATGAAGTTAATTCTACACATCCTATCTTTATCACAGAAGTTGTAAAATCTACCCAAGGTTACCGGCAGTAAATTTGGCCATTTTCTTGGGAAATCTTCACGTCCAATGATACTGGCATCACTTAACTAAAAACATCACAACAACAGATAACACTGATTACATAATTTGATCTCTTTCATCTCAACATCTTTCTTTTGACTAAGACTTCTACATGCAACAAACCTGAGTTTGAATTTGAGGCGGGCTCTTTAACATCAGATCAATAATCAACACTTTTACTGAAAAAAGGTAACACATTTGAATTGACTTTGAACATTTACATGCTAAAGAAATTGTGAGAATTTCACAGGTTCAATCTTAAGAATGAAAAGAATGGCAGAATACACTGACAGATACTACATGGCGGTTTTTTCTAATGTTTGACTTTATTTTTTAAAAAGCTTCCATGTTGATCTTAATTCCTTTGTTAAACCCTAATCTTTATCCAAATGGCGTATGGCTTGAAAATCCAACAAGTGTGCTGTGTATGTATGAAAGACTCAAGGGTTTATATTTGACAAAGTTTCTCACTTCCATTTCACTTGAAAGAAGAAAATGTCAAAATGCACAAAAATTTAAAACATACTTTTCTGTCGGTCATCATGAGCAATTTTATTTGGTTCACCATCAACCTAAAGAAGTTCAGAACTTTAAAAATTAAGAGAGGTGGAAAGAATCCTGTCCTTTATAACAAGATTTGAATTGATTATTTGAAAATGAAGAGCGTACACGTGAGAAAAAGAAAACCCAATGGTAAATTTCTTCATTGTGTCACCAGAGTCAATGCATGTTGCAAAATACTTAAATCAACGGGTCTTTATGTTGCAGTTGACCACATTGTCAATCTGTTTCAGTGAATCAGTATGAAATGGATAATTAAGCCTCACAAGGCCTTTCAACTTCTTTTCCTTAGTCATTATTGTGGTGAATTTTATAAAAGTTTGGACAAATTGTAAAATAATCTATGCGATTGAACTTTGAATTCAAATTTTTAAACAGAGGCTAACCTATTTACGTTAAAACACGATCAGTGTGCGAATTAACGGTGTGCAATGTGCAATTTGCACATCGTTTTAGCTAAAATGAAAACAATTGTTCATCACTTTTCAAGCGATGTGCAAAATGAGTGGTTTTAACGAAAACACTGTCGTAAATCATATGAATTTGTTCACGCTTAAAAATATTAATTTAGCAATTAGCGCTATATAATAATTAACGTTATATCGATTTGATTATGCCTATAAAGAAACACTTTTGTCAAAAAAATTGCACATCGCTTTTTCTGAACTAATTCGCACACTGCACGATTTACATGAATAAAAAATTTAAGAATTGCCTTGCCCCCCTAAGTACAAATAACACTCTAGTTGTTGATGGCTTCACGCTAAAAACTGTTTGAAAAAACATAATGCCTCACATATTATATTAAGATCACAGTTAACCAAAACACAAAAACTTTCCTTTCATACACATCACAAGTATCCCTTACCACGCCATTGCCTCTTGACAAAATTCTTGAATGTAATCGCTGCAGCAAGTCGAATCATGTCATCAAACGCTGCATTGTCAACAATGTGAAGGAGAAGCAACGAGTAATTGCTGTTGCCTTGATTGTCTGGAGAAATTGTTCAGCTAAATAAGAATGCAGTGATCTTAGACATGTATATTCAAAACACACCAAGTATGTCCAAGCAACATATCTAATGTTGGTTTTAAAAATATTTAGCAATTGCCATGATGGATGGCCATAAGAGTTTAAAAAAGAACTGTTTTAGAACTAAAAAACCAAGCAAAAAGTTCTAATGCATTTCTGCAGACTGCTCATCAGATGTCAACTTCTGCTGTACGAGAACTTGATATCATACCATATTTATTATGGTAAGAAAAAGTTAACATCATCTCTAAATTGGGAAATGAAGCTTAAAACAGAGATAAATTAAATATGCAATCCTTTTGTTGGCATATCTAATAGAAGAGACATGAGAAAACAAGTTCAAAACAAATCAAGAACAACACTGACATATGAATTGTAGAACTGAGTTTATACATCATAACAAATAAAAAACTATGGAACCGAAAAATAAAAACATATTAAGCAATGAAATGCGGAGATCACTCAAAATATATATAACAAACAATAGTGATCATTATATGGCCATAGTGAGCCAGTGTATATTATGTATTTTCTGCTGGCTAAGGAACGAAAAGAGGAAAATGTGATCTTACATCATTGGCTACATGTTTACAGCTAGGAGTACATGGTATGTATGTTTTTGGTATTGCTTTGCCAATGCATGCCCAACCCTCCTTGTGTAAATAACTATGTTATATTCCTACGTAGCAGTACTTTCTGAACTTTATTCAGCAAGAAGTTATTTTGCTTATCTTAGGATAGTCGTACAAGTTTCATAAAGGTAATTTTTAACAAAGTCAAGCACGAGGTGTTTGCCAGCAATAGTTACCAGCAGTGTGTGAGAGTTACCATTTTACCAAACTTCATGATTATTTATCTTAAGTAATTAAAAAATCCCCACACATTTCAAAAGACTAAATTTATAACATAACAAACCATCTTGTCTAGCAACTGATGATGACGAAAACACAAATTCAAGGCAAGCTGTTAAGGCCTCTGACACCATTGAGGATATCGCAAATTTCGAAAACATTTTCGCTTAAAGAACATTGAATCTAGTTCTTCAGTATGTTGCCAGACATATTGTGCTGACATGGCAATGAAAAAACATAGTTTGCATACTTTCCACCAAAACTAGATGGTAATTCTTATATTGAATATCATGCCCAAACTTGCCCGCAATTTATTCAAGGATAATTTATAAAATTATGCATGCATTTTCAATCATAATTTACATTGTAAGTGTTAAAGTGTGTTCATTTAACCATTTGCCAAGCATGTACTTTTTCAGTCTTTTTGCAATTGAGCATTCAAATTAAATGATCACTTTTCATAAAAATTCTTGATTATCGCACAAACATATTAATCATCTTTAAATGTCATTAAAACGGTCAAAATTGGCTAGCACTTTATCAAAGTAAGAAGCATTTTGCTGATGTAGAGTTACTGAATTTCTTTTTACATACGGCTCAAATACATCTTAAGGCAGAGATATATTCTTATTTATCTTACCGTCTTTTCTCACTTGTGCGTCGGCTATAAGTGTTGCTCGAAGTCGTCCGGCAAGAGCTTCAAGATTTTGAGCGTTTGCTTCCAAGTTCATGGCCATTTAAGTGGAGCAAGGTCAAAACCAAATGCGTTATAGTTGTATTGTTTCTTTGATATCAATGCGATGTCTAACTGATTATTAAAAATATTGATAATACTTAATAATTCGTCTAAGTAAAACTCACTTTCATGATTTTATCAATTTCATTTTCTTGCTCGAGCCCTCGAATTGCCCGCCCAGTGTTTCCACTTGTTAAAACAGAATTTCTTGATTTCATCCTTGTTGGATAATTTCCTTGAATATTTCCTGATACAGCAATGGTACAGCCATGATAAAGTAAATGGTTTGAACCCGGGAGTATCGTTACATGTTTGTAAATGTAGATCGTCCAGGTTGGTATAGTCCTGAGAAGGACTGTTTTGTTGTTGTTGACTGACGTTTCGACAACCTTAGCGGTAGTCATCTTCAGAGTCAAATCAGGACAATAGCAACCTGGAAGATCTACATTTACAAACAGGTACAGCCATGGGTACCAATCAATGGTACTAATGGGTATAGCCGTGACAGTGCGATGAATATGACTGCATAGTGCATACGAATGCGACATATAGCTCATTTTACAGCCTCAACAATTATAATCTCAGAATTCTCTGTCATTATCCAGCCAATTTATTGTATATCCTGTCCATTTACTTCCGATGTCTCCCTGCCTTTTTCCTGCTAAAGCCCTATATAATATACTTCTTTTCGCCAGGAAATTTTTAGGCAAGTGGAAACAGTAGATTCCAATATTTTGTTTTTCACCGAAACCCGGATCCGAAGGTTGAACATAAATGTTAATAATTATTGGAAATCATCGTGCATTTCATACAATAACTTTATTGGTTTACAACATTCCTAAAAGATGTTTCGGCAATCCTTAGCAGTTTTCTAACTGTCTCCCTGATCACATTTGCTCTAGAGGTCTACGTCATCGCAAGCACATGTTGTCAGTGACGTAGCTAGCTGCAATTTTGCTCCTGCCATGTTAATTTTTCTGTGTTTACTCACTTTAAAAACAACAGATTTCTAAAGAAATGAATAATGTTAATGTTCTAAAATTTACATAGCAGGACTAAAACATGAGGGGTGGCTACGCCACTGCATCTTGTTCACCAAGAATTTGTCTCATCGTCTCAAATTTTCCCTAATGACTAAATAGCACCCTTTTTTCAGTTTCCAGCACTTTGTCCTCACATCACCATTCTAGGTAGTTTAATTACACTCTCATTTTCCGTTATTTTTCTTATCTCATTTGATTTTTTAGATTACATCATCTAAATAAAATGTTTCTACCCGTGCATGCTCGCTTCTCTCTCTCCTTTTTTCCTCAATTCATGTTCCTGTCTCTCCTATAAAAGACATTATGAGCAACAACCATTTCCATTCTTTTTTACGAAAGTTTCACAAAATGTCTCTCTATGTTTCCATTATGAATATCGAGCCTGCCCATTACTTTAACGTCGCCTATATTGAAAACAGCACACATCACTGCCCTCTTTCTTCAAAGGATACTCTATATTCCATTAATTAGCTCACCGCAAAATTCCTCCAAGTCTATTACACATCTTACCTGTATGGCATAAGCACTTACTTACATTAAAAACGTCGTAATCAAATTCTGACTTTAATCTCTTTGATCATTGATTTCTCCAGCTGTAGAACATTCTTGACAAACTCTTCATTCAAGATAAATTCTCCAACTTGTGGATTAACTTCACTCTTACAGTACCTTCATGAGATAGTCCAAGACATCGAAAGAATAAGTTGAGAGTTGCGTATGGATACTGGTGGACGCATTGTTTTAATTAAAACAAAAATAAAAAACAACAAACAACCAACTCAATTTTAAGTTATAAAAGGTACTATAGCTGTTTACTGCTTTGCAAAATTTGAGAATGTTATGTAAGAATGTACTCTGTCAACATTGTCAGCAATCATATATCCGCATAAAGACAGGTCGACTTAATACAAAACTAAACGGCAAAGTCAATTGATCGAGATGAGGAAGCAACTTTAACCACTCTGTCCAGACGAATCAAACGTTAAAGCTTCCGATGATTTAAAAGACGAATCAAAAAAATCTATCTTAAAAAGTCCGGGTGACTGATGCACGAAGGCCGAATTCTCAACGTTTGAAAAATCTCTTAAAACGAAAAATATATGATTTGAGCTGTGCGATTAGTGAAATAAAATATTTCTTCGAAGATTGCAAAATTTCTTTGTCGTAAGAAAATGGTTAAAAATTCCCCTTTTACAATTTTGAAAACTTTTGTTGTCCAATGGATACGTTATCCAGTCAAGCCTCGTGAAACCAGCCCCACTCGTATTAATGCTTAGGAGGTATTATAATGTCGTAAGATAGAGTAACATACAGCAGCTTCTTTTCAATTTCGTTGCAAAAAGGAAGGTAAGTAAAGTATGAAAATTGATTAAAGAAATCAATTAATACCTCAAGTTGAACAGGTATTTGAGTGTAGGATTTTTCTTTTTCATTTATATATACGAAATGATAATATTGTTAACAAAGATTACGGAAATTCTTTGTCGTAACAAAAATATAAACACCTTTTTTACAAGGTTGAATATTTTTACTATCCAATGGACAACGCCATCCGGGCTTCGTGCAACTGGCCCCTAGAGGAAACTTCACGTCAGAAAAATTACTATAATTACAATCGCGTGGTCTGTGTCAAAAACATGGCGGATGTTGGTTGTATAAGTCAGCAGAAAGACACGGCTCATGAAATAAATTTTTTTTCGCCAACCCGGATTTAGACAACCGCGATTGCAGTTACATAACATATCAATGCCAACACGAACTTTATATTAACAAATTTATCTATAAAACATGCTGCCAACTTGTGTCGTATGCGGATACTGAACTTCGGCTAGAAAGGAAAGATTTCATGACACCGGTAAGCTTGCCTACGTAAGTTTGTTTGCCATTTAAAGTGTTCAGTGTTTTATTTTTAAGTCAACACTTGAAGTGATGCTATATATTTTGTGAATGCTTTTACTACTAAGTTTTAATTTAAGTTGTTTGTCCAGTCTTATTTGTCCTTTGCTCGCTTGCTAGACGTGAAAAAACATCCAATTCTTACCGAGATATGCTTATCTTAAAACTCCTGGATTGAATTGAGTTTACCTCCAAGAAATGGAGGAGTTTGTCATAATGTTTTTCTTAGAATATGAAGAAAATATTAAGAACAGTGTGGTATTGAAATCAAATGCATTGAGTCATTAGTTAATGAACTCTTTGATACATGTTGTAAAGTAAAAAATACCTGTATTAAACAGCTTGCCTGCACAATATGGCATTTTATGGATAATCAAGATGATAGTGCATAAAGGTTTGCTTTATGCTGACCGTTTTATAAATGCTATCTGTTGTTTCTGTAACTATTTTTTCTTAAAGTAAACAGGCTAATACGTTTGTAATATACAGAAATTTTTGTCCAAGAAAAGGTTATGACAACATGCATGAAACATTAAGTATAGTACTACCTCATTGGACGAAATCAATACTTTTTTCAATTGTAGGTGATCCAAAAATTAACATAAGAGGCATTGGTAAACAGGTAGTAAACAGGTTAATACGTCAAAACGAAAATAAAAAACTACTTTCTACGTACAATAATGTATTATGTTATGCATTCACCTAGAAATTTTTGTTCAAAAAAAGCTTATGACAACATGCATGAAACTTCAAATATAGTACTGCCTCATTTGACGACATCAATACTTTTTTAAATTCCAGGTGAATCGATCCTGATCGAAAACAGATCAGGGCAAAAACATCTTTATATATCTTTTATAAAATAATAATAATGTTATAAAGATGAATTCAAAGAAAATGTTTTAATCTTTCCTCTAACAAGTATTCATGATTGATTAGCAAATACTCTTTGATTGATTTAATAGATGAAGCTCAGCTGTCGACCCATCAACGCAGGCGTTTTATTGTTTTAATTTTATATAATGCAAATTTGTCAGTTTTCAATCGGGGAAGAAAAAAATACGAACTTGATTTATTTCTTCCACTGTTATATTAAAGTGAAATGAATAAGGAGTTTTTCGAGGAGAACACACTGAAAACTAAGATGGAAACCATTTTGACGTAATTTATTATTATAGAATATAACATTGCTATTGAATTTTCAGGCTTGCATTAGCTAGTTATTGTGGAAACGACCGCCTGTAGTGCTTCTGTCATTACGAATAATTTTATAATTATACATATATGTATGTAAAAGTTTTATCGTGACTTGAGATTCTTCACTTGCAGACTATTTAAGTTTTATAAGATATGCTAATTCTATTTGTCAATGAAATGCTAAATACAAATGAGAGGACATAATTTCAGAGAGTTTAGATCAATTGGGTGAAATACAAATGTAAAAAAAGCTGTCCATTTACTAAAATCCACTGTTTTTAATTAAAAATTTATCTTGCGTGGTAGCAACAGTTGCTTGTAGAAATAACTAATTATTTGCCAACCAATAAGATTCGTTCAATTACATCATTATTTCCCTTTTAACTTAGCAACTTGCAGTGTTTGACTGTTAACTCTACGCATCTTGCTATGATAAGGAGCTTCACAAATTCTAAAGGCAATCGCATTGAGACAGATAGCATCATTTTTCCCAAGACTTTTTACGGTATATTGACAAATTTCTGATTTTAACAAGCTCTTCACTCTTCTCGACAAAGGTACGTCTGATTCACACGAATTTTGTCATATATAAGTGGAGACATTTGTTCAAAAAACAATTTTTTTTAATTGTTTGGTTTCTGATGTCTGATAAAATGACTAACAAAGCGTTCAAAAATATACTGGCGATATTGCCAAAGTGATTCTTGTTGCTGTTATGATATCATAATATCTACTAAGTTCGTCAATTCTCACAGGATAAGATTCGTACCGTTTTAAATGGGTGGGGTCTGAGGCATTCTTCTCTGAGAAATTTGGAATTTCCGAGCCTTAAAAATGCCATTTTCAGCATTTTAGAGCATTAAAAATGTATTTTGTGGGCATCGTTTTTGTGTAAAAACAACACATTTTGCTTACGTTTTTTTCAAAAAAAAAAATGAAGTGAACAATACTTGAATGTTTTGCCAAATATTTAGGCTCATTATCATGCCAAATGTATGGCTCATTAGCATGTCTAGGAACGTAAAATTTATTTTACAATAATGCTATTCAAAAACAGATATAGTATTTAAAATTTTTTACCAAGTTGTCAGGCATTGACCCCCCTAGAGACACCCATTCAAACCTCTATGTAATGAGTTAAGTTAGAAATTTGGTACTACAAGTGACGGTTCATAGATATAGAAAAGCTCAGACTTCAAACCATGCAAGTTTATTGTAACTCTTTACTTATCTCCACATCAGTGCCAGCAAATTCACCTTTTGAGAAAAAACTCAAAATTTTTTTCTGCCAAAGATTAAGCAAAAATTATCAGAGTGAAAATTTGCAGTTAAGGACAGCTTAATGCCATAAATGTTTATTAGGCATTTCACTCGACTATTATCTACATTTCAATATTTTCTACATTATTCATTACCTACAATATCTGCAATATTTTCTACAGTATCTATCTACAATATTTTACAATATTCTACAATTATCTACAATAATTTCACTATTATCTACATTATTAACATTTCACTAGACTATTATCTTCTGCAAGGTGTGCTATATAGCAATCACTAGTAGCATTGTATTATCAAATACAAACAGAATGTAACCAACATGTCTTTAATTATATAATTACATGAATGTTAAAATTGGTTCATGTGTCATGCTTACTGGTTATGATAAATATCTTTTCATATGATCAAAGCTCGTTTAAATGTAAATCTGATAAAACTCAAAACAATGTTGGCTTTCTTTTGAACATCAATGACTGAAATTAAATGAGATATGATCTTCGCACTTAGCTGGACAATTTAAGCAATCGTCTCATAAAACAATATTGACAAACATTCAAATGACCGAAATGTCGCTCGCGATTGAGATCGAGATAAAGGAGTCTCTGAACGCCAGAAACGCTATTTTATTGGTCAATGGCTAGATAAGTGGACGATATGGAATAATCTCGACCTATAAGCGGGGTGGCCGGACCTATAAGAGAGTCCACTTGCTATCGTGTAATTGGTTCGTTTAAATCTTACTGTGATTAGTTTGACCGATTTTGACTGATAGCCAACTGAACTAACATAGTCAAGCTCACTGTCTGAATTGAATGTTTGATCGTTTCATAGTAATTTTCTAAAGCATGATAGAAACTAAACTACAATCAGATGGAATTTATTGAAATCTTTTACAAATTCATATATTGACATGAATGCTGCTTTCTAAACTGGGAATTTTTTCAAGAGGGCGAAAAATTTATAGATGAATTGTAAATGCTTGGCAAAGACGATCTCGCGAGTGACATTTCAGTCATTGATGTTCAAAAGCAAGCCAACATTGTTTTGAGTTTTATCAGCAGAATATTACATCCAAAATCGTAAGTAAAGGACAACTGAAGTGTATGCATGAATGTATTATATCAAAGTCAATTTATGCGAGTGTGTGATGCGATTTATGTTAATATGGCGTATGGTAAGCAGATTGATGCTTCTAAAATTGTTGTTACCGAATGACTTTTAGCTATGATTTCTTTAGTGCTTGGGGAATCGTGACCGTTATATGGCAGGGAAATCCAACATTCCTGCAAATATATTTCAATGGACAAAAAATCTGTAGCAATAAGGCGCCATACTATTATTTACTTTATCATAAACAAATGTTTGGGTCTTTTCAGTTTATGATCATTGATCATTCAATCATAAGACAGTTATACTACATATTGTTTAAGATTTGAGAAAACTAACATTGATTACATGAGAAGCTGTTTACTATAACTTGTGATTTTGAGTCTTCTGATCCATGAAGCTTTTTATTTTGACAATTTGACGGGAATGGTATTAAACCTTAGTATTTCACATACATGAAATGTTGTCCCATGTCACATAGTGTCCCCTTTTCTAACTGAACACCTCATGTAGAGATGTAAAGGTGTGTTAATCTACGGCTCATACCAGATTGTTTGCCATAAATTCCAAAGGGCTATTGATGTATGAAAAGCATTTTCTATAAAGTAAAAATGTCTTCCTATGTATGCAGATAAACCTTGAAATTTGGCAAAACAGCAAAGTATTTTTCATGATCACTAGGTAATTTTTCTGATGATCATTATAATTTCTAAACTAAATTATTTCAGATTTACATTTAAACGAGCTTTGATTATATGAAAAGATATTTATCATAATCAGTAAGCATGACACATGAACCAATTTTAACATTCATGTAATTATATAATTAAAGACATGTTGGTTACATTCTGTTTGTATTTGATAATACAATGCTACTAGTGATTGCTATATAGCACACCTTGCAGAAGATAATAGTCTAGTGAAATGTCAATAATGTAGATAATAGTGAAATTATTGTAGATAATTGTAGAATATTGTAAAATATTGTAGATAGATACTGTAGAAAATATTGCAGATATTGTAGGTAATGAATAATGTAGATAATAGTGAAATGTAGATAATAGTCGAGTGAAATGCCTAATAAACATTTATGGCATTAAGCTGTCCTTAACTGCAAATTTTCACTCTGATAATTTTTGCTTAATCTTTGGCAGAAAAAAAATTTTTTAGTTTTTTCTCAAAAGGTGAATTTGCTGGCACTGATGTGGAGATGGTTAAAGAGTTACAATAAACTTGCATGGTTTGAAGTCTGGGCTTTTCTATATCTATGAACTGTCACTTGTGGTACAAATTTCTAACTTAACTCATTACATAGAGTTTTGAATGGGGGTCTCTAGGGGGTCTATGCCTGACAACATGGTAGAAATTTTTAAATACTATATCTGTTTTTGAATAGCATTACTATAAAATAAATTTTACGTTCCTAGACATGCTAATGAGCCATATATTTGGCATCATAATAAGCCTAAATATTTGGCAAAACATTCAAGTATTGTTCACTTCATTTTTTTTTTTGAAAAAAACGTAAGCAAAATGTGTTGTTTTTACGCAAAAACGATGCCCACAAAATACATTTTGTAATGCTCTAAAACGCTGAAAATGGCATTTTTAAGGCTCTGAAATTCAAAATTTCTCAGGGGAAAATGCCTCAGACCTCTCCAGGTGCGGAGCGCCTCCGACGTTTTATGACTGATGTTTGAAAAATCCTAGATCCGCCCTTGCTTCCGCCGTGGAGTTTTTCTTAATGCCGTGAAGTTTTGTTTATTGCAGTGGAGTTTTGTTTATTGCCGTGGAGTTTTGCTGATTGACGTTGAGTTTTGCTTATTGCCGTGGAGTTTTGTTTATGTTTTTCTTCGAATACGAAGGAAATATTAGGAACAGTGTGGTATTGAAATCAAATGCATTGAGGCATTAGTTAATGAACTCTTTGATACATGTCGTACAGTAAAAAATATCTGTATTAAACAGCTTGCCTGTTCAATATGGCATTTTATGGATAATCAAGACGATGGTGTATAAAGGTTTGCCTTATGCTGACAGTTTTATACATGCTATCTGTTGTTTCTGTAAATGAACTATTTATTCTTATACTAAACAGGCTAATACGTCAAAACGAAAATAAGAAACTACTTTCTACGTACAATACTATATTATGTTATGCTTTCACCTAGAAATTATTGTCCAAAAAAAGCTTATGACAACATGCATGAAACATCAAATATAGTACTGCCTCATTTGAAGAAATCAATACTTTTTACAATTCCAGGTGATCCGATCCTGATCGAAAACAGATCAGGGCAAAAACATCTTTATATATCTTTTATAAAACAATAATAATGTAATAAAGATGAATTCAAAGAAAATGTTTTAATCTTTCCTCTAACAAGTATTCATGATTGATTAGCAAATACTCTTTGATTGATTAAATAGATGAAGCTCAGCTATCGACCCATCAACGCAGGCGTTTTATTGTTTTAATTTTATATAATGCAAATTTGTCAGTTGTCATTCGGGGAAGAAAAAAATACGAACTTGATTTATTTCTTCCACTATTATATTAAAGTGAAATGAATAAGGAGTGTTTCGAGGAGAACACACTGAAAACTAAGATGGAAACCATTTTGACGTAATTTATTACTATATAATATAACATTGCTAGTTGAATTTTCAGCCTTGCATTAGCTAGTTCTTGTGGAAACGACCGCATGTTGTGCTTCTGTCATTGCGAATAAGTTATAAATAATACATATATGTATGTAAAAATTTTTATCGTGACTTGACATTCTTCACTTCCAGACTATTTAAGTTTTGTAAGATGTGCTGATTCTATACGTCAAGGAAATGCTAAATACAAATGAGAGGACATAAATTCGTAGAGTAGATCAAATGGGTGAACTACAAATGTAAAAACAGCTGTCCATTTGCTGAAATCCACTGTTTTCAATTAAAAAATTTTTTTGCGTGGTAGCAACCGTTGCTTGTAGTATAACTAATTATTTGCTAACGAATAAGATTCGTTCAATTTAATCAACATTCCTTCTATCTTAGCAGCCTGCATTGTTTGACTGCTACTCTACGTCTGCTATGATAAGGAGCTTCACAAATTCTGAAAGCAATCGCATTGAAACAGATAGCATAATTTTTCTCAAGACTTTTTACGGTATATTGACAAATTTCTGATTTTAACAAGCTCTTCACTCTTCTCGACAAAGGTACGTCTGATTTACACGAATTTTGCCATATATAAGTGGAGACATTTGTTCAAAAAACAATTTTTTTTAATTGTTTGGTTTCTGATGTCTGATAAAATGACTAACAAAGCGTTCAAAAATATACTGGCGATATTGCCAAAGTGATTCTTGTTGCTGTTATGATATCATAATATCTACTAAGTTCGTCAATTCTCACAGGATAAGATGCGTACCGTTTTAAATGGGTGGGGTCTGAGGCATTCTTCTCTGAGAAATTTGGAATTTCCGAGCCTTAAAAATGCCATTTTCAGCATTTTAGAGCATTAAAAATGTATTTTGTGGGCATCGTTTTTGTGTAAAAACAACACATTTTGCTTACGTTTTTTTCAAAAAAAAAAATGAAGTGAACAATACTTGAATGTTTTGCCAAATATTTAGGCTCATTATCATGCCAAATGTATGGCTCATTAGCATGTCTAGGAACGTAAAATGCGTTCAAAAATATACTGGCAATATTGCCAAATTTATTCTTGTTGCTGTTATGATAGCTACTAAGTTCGTCAATTCTCACAGGATAAGATTCGTACCGTTTTAAATGTCACTATTTTCAGACATGGGACTTCTAGAGAAAAACTGCTGTGATGTGAGAAATAACAGGTCCCTGTTAGTGTTATATATTTTCTATTCACCGAAACGTGTACTTAACCCTCTAAAGGGCCATATGTAGTGAAATGCATCATAATGTAACTACTCCACGCGGTCTGCGTTAAAGAACTCGAGATTGACAAACTTTTAGGCGGACAAACATAATGTGTGTCGCATCGTGTTGTGACTCTCTTGGGGCCAGATGTTTTCTCAATTAAGTTTCGTTTCGTAATTATTGCTCGCGCGAGCAATGGCCACTAACAGGTTAAATTGTTCGCCATGGCGATTACTAAATGAAAAATGCAGACATGCGAACAAATAGAAAAAAGGGAAGCTGTAAAGCAGCACAACTCAGGGGCGGATCTAGGATTTTTCAAACATCAGTCATAAAACGTCGGAGGCGCTCTGAACCTGGGTGGGGTCTGAGGCATTCTTCTCTGAGAAATTTTGAATTTCAGAGCCTTAAAAATGCCATTTTCAGCGTTTTAGAGCATTACAAAATGTATTTTGTGGGCATCGTTTTTGCGTAAAAACAACACATTTTGCTTACGTTTTTTTCAAAAAAAAATATGAAGTGAACAATACTTGAATGTTTTGCCAAATATTTAGGCTCATTATCATGCCAAATGTATGGCTCATTAGCATGTCTAGGAACGTAAAATTTATTTTACAATAATGCTATTCAAAAACAGATATAGTATTTAAAAATTTCTACCAAGTTGTCAGGCATTGACCCCCCTAGAGACACCCATTCAAACCTCTATGTAATGAGTTAAGTTAGAAATTTGGTACTACAAGTGACAGTTCATAGATATAGAAAAGCATAAACATGAATGTTAAAATTGGTTCATGTGTCATGCTTACTGGTTATGATAAATATCTTTTCATATGATCAAAGCTCGTTTAAATGTAAATCTGAAATAATTTAGTTTAGAAATTATAATGATCATCAGAAAAAATACCTAGTGATCATGAAAAATACTTTGCTGTTTTGCCAAAATTCAAGGTTTATCTGCATACATAAGAAGACATTTTTACTTTATAGAAAATGCTTTTCATACATCAATAGCCCTTTGGAATTTATGGCAAACAATCTGGTATGAGCCGTAGATTAACACACCTTTACATCTGTACTTGAGTGTTCAGTTAGAAAAGGGGACAATATGTGACATGGGACAACATTTCATGTATGTGAAGTACTAAGGTTTAATACCATTCCAGTCAAATTGTCAAAATAAAAAGCTTCATGGATCAGAAGACTCAAAATCACAAGTTATAGTAAACAGCTTCTCATGTAATCAATGTTAGTTTTCTCAAATCTTAAACAACATGTAGTATAACTGTCCAATGATTGAATGATCAATGATCATAAACTGAAAAGCCCCAAAGATATGTTTATGATAAAGTAAATAATAGTATGGCGCCTTATGGCTACAGATTTTTTGTCCATTGAAATATATTTGCAGGAATGTAGGATTTCGCTGCCATATAACGGCCACGATTTCCCAAGCACTAAAGAAATCATAGCTAAAAGTCCTTCGGTAACAACAATTTTAGAAGCATCACTCTGCTTACCATACGCCATATTGACATAAATCGCATCACACACTCGCATAAATTGACTTTGATATATTACATTCATGCATACACTTCAGTTGTCCTTTACTTACGATTTTGGCTTTTTTTGTAAATTTCTGCTGATAAAACTCAAAACAATGTTGGCTTTCTTTTGAACATCAATGACTGAAATGTCGCTCGCGATTGAGATCGAGATAAAGGAGTCTATGAACGCCAGAAACACTATTTTATTGGTCAATGGCTAGATCAGTGGACGATATGGAATAATCTCGACCTATAAGCGGGGTGGCCGGCGTAGTAATTTTCTAAAGCATGATAGAAACTAAACTTCAATCAGATGGAATTTATGGAAATCTTTAACAAATTCATATATTGACATGAATGTTGCTTTCTAAACTGGGAATTTTTTCAAGAGGGCGAAAAATTTATAGATGAATTGTAAATGCTTGGCAAAGACGATCTCGCGAGCGACATTTCAGTCATTGATGTTCAAAAGCAAGCCAACATTGTTTTGAGTTTTATCAGCAGAAATTTACATCCAAAATCGTAAGTAAAGGACAAGTGAAGTGTATGCATGAATGCAATATATCAAAGTCAATTTATGTGAGTGTGTGATGCGATTTATGTTAATATGGCGTATTGTAAACAGATTGATGCTTCTAAAATTGTTGTTACCGAATGACTTTTAGCTATGATTTCTTTAGTGCTTGGGGAATCGTGACCGTTATATGGCAGCGAAATCCTACATTCCTGCAAATATATTTCAATGGACAAAAAATCTGTAGCCATAAGGCGCCATACTTATATTTACTTTATCATAAACAAATGTTTGGGGCTTTTCAGTTTATGATCATTGATCATTCAATCATTGGACAGTTATACTACATATTGTTTAAGATTTGAGAAAACTAACATTGATTACATGAGAAGCTGTTTACTATAACTTGTGATTTTGAGTCTTCTGATCCATGAAGCTTTTTATTTTGACAATTTGACTGGAATGGTATTAAACCTTAGTATTTCACATACATGAAATGTTGTCCCATGTCACATATTGTCCCCTTTTCTAACTGAACACTCAAGTACAGATGTAAAGGTGTGTTAATCTACGGTCATACCAGATTGTTTGCCATAAATTCCAAAGGGCTATTGATGTATGAAAAGCATTTTCTATAAAGTAAAAATGTCTTCCTATGTATGCAGATAAACCTTGAAATTTGGCAAAACAGCAAAGTATTTTTCATGATCACTAGGTAATTTTTCTGATGATCATTATAATTTCTAAACTAAATTATTTCAGGTTTACATTTAAACGAGCTTTGATCATATGAAAAGATATTTGTCATAACCAGTAAGCATGACACATGAACCAATTTTAACATTCATGTAATTATATAATTAAAGACATGTTGGTTACATTCTGTTTGTATTTGATAATACAATGCTACTAGTGATTGCTATATAGAACACCTTGCAGAAGATAATAATCTAGTGAAATGTCAATAAGGTAGATAATTGTGAAATTTTTTTTGATAATTGTAGAATATTGTAAAATATTGTAGATAGATACTGTAGAAAATATTTCAGATATTGTAGGTAATGAATAATGTAGATAATAGTGAAATGTAGATAATAGTCGAGTGAAATGCCTAATAAACATTTATGGCATTAAGCTGTCCTTAACTGCAAATTTTCACTCTGATGACTTTTGCTTAATCTTTTGCAGAAAAAAAAATTTTGAGTTTTTTCTCAAAAGGTGAATTTGCTGGCACTGATGTGGAGATGGGTAAAGAGTTACAATAAACTTGCATGGTTTGAAGTCTGAGCTTTTCTATATCTATGAACTGACACTTGTAGTACCAAATTTCTAACTTAACTCATTAAATAGAGGTTTGAATGGGGGTCTCTAGGGGGGTCTATGCCTGACAACTTGGTAGAAATTTTTAAAGACTATATCTGTTTTTGAATAGCATTACTATAAAATAAATTTTACGTTCCTAGACATGCTAATGAGCCATATATTTGGCAAAACATTCAAGTATTGTTCACTTCATTTTTTTTTGAAAAAAACGTAAGCAAAATGTGTTGTTTTTACGCAAAAACGATGCCCAAAAAATACATTTTGTAATGCTCTAAAACGCTGAAAATGGCATTTTTAAGGCTCTGAAATTCAAAATTTCTCAGGGGAGAATGCCTCAGACCCCTCCCGGTGCGGAGCGCCTCCGACGTTTTATGACTGATGTTTGAAAAATCCTAGATCCCCGCCCCTGCTTCCGCCGTGGAGTTTTTCTTAATGCCGTGAAGTTTTGTTTATTGCCGTGGAGTTTTGTTTATTGCCGTGGAGTTTTGCTTATTGCCGTGGAGTTTTGTTTATGTTTTTCTTAGAATATGAAGGAAATATTAGGAACAGTGTGGTATTGAAATCAAATGCATTGAGGCATTAGTTAATGAACTCTTTGGTACATGTCGTACAGTAAAAAATACCTGTATTAAACAGCTTGCCTGCACAATATGGCATATTATGGATAATCAGGATGATAGTGCATAAAGGTTTGCTTTATGCTGACCGTTTTATAAATGCTATCTGTTGTTTCTGTAAATGAACTATTTATTCTTATAGTAAACAGGCTAATACGTCAAAACGAAAATAAGAAACTACTTTCTACGTACAATACTATATTATGTTATGCTTTTACCTAGAAATTATTGTCCAAAAAAAGCTTATGACAACATGCATGAAACATCAAATATAGTACTGCCTCATTTGACGAAATCAATACTTTTTACAATTCCAGGTG